TTAGAGACGTACGCTGTGAACTAATCTAACGCCAGTGCAGTACAATCACTTGCCTGGGGGCAGTGGCGTCACTAGGGAGAGGGGGGGGGGGGGGGGGGGGGTGCCGCTGACCCTAGTGACGTTACTGCCTGGGGGTCTTTAACGTGCACCACGGAGTAGTAATCCACGGCCGCACGCCGGTAAGATGCTCATCCAGATCGAAACGAACATGGATGTGGGATTGAACCTACGGATCCCTGAGTCACTGTACCCGGGTTCTGCAGCGCGAGCTTTCGCTCCACGCGCTCCGACCTGAGATGCGTTATCACACTCGGCCACCGATCCGCCCTCGGGTATACCCGATGAAATTAACTTGGCATAGTGGCTAGTTACGAGAAATTTCACCTGTCATAGTTACACCAAATACCTTGGTTACACGTTCACTAGACCGACAACAGTGGTTTAACCAAAATTTCTTTAAGGTGAGGGGTGAGCGAGGGTGTTTACATTATTAATAAAATTTAAAAAAAAAATACTTTTTTTTCCTGGGGGGGGGGGGGGGGGGAAGGGAAGGGAAGGGAAGGAGAGGAAGAGAGGGGAGAAGATGTGATGCACATTCATATATTCTTAGTTTTATTCTTGTTTTCTTTTAACAAAAGCTAAAATTTACTTTCTTTTCCTCCTCTCCCCACACACACACACACAAAAAAAAAAAAAAAGGCCGAGCGTACACAAGACTGGTAGTTTGACCGCTATTAAAAATACTCTAATACGTAACTAACTAAAAAAAATTGTTTGTTACTTTTATTTTTGGCATAATAATATGCATTGAGATGAAGTCCGGTGTACCCAAAAACGAGCAAGTAGAAAGCAGTGTAACTTGACTACGCAGTTTCGATTTTTTTTTTTTTTTTTTTTTTTTGTGACATTTGGGCACGAAAGTGTCCATGGAGGCATATGACCCTGATGATGTGAACAAAGTTTCGCGTTCTCTGAAACTGGATGTGGGAAATAATCTTCAGGTAGCCTTAGGTAGGCCCTTAGCTGTCCTACGGCGAAGTGTTTTTGCAGAACCCGGGAGGCTGTTACTGAAACACGTAGTATATCCGCCTACACATCTTGATGAGATGCAGAGGCACGAAAGAGATGGTGTGCTCAGGAAAAATGAAAGGGGGGAAAGGGGGGGGGGGGGTTATAATTCAGAGGGGCCCTAACCCCCCCAGTCCTCGGTATGCTCGAGCTAAATGAGATAAGTAACAGGTCACCACTCTTCGGTACATCGTCGCTTCTGAGTCTGTCCTGTCTTGTGTGTAGCGCAAGTTACGCACACATTAACTTCGTTCGATTTACCTGCGCCTTCTGCACCCGTGCAGAAAAGTATAGGGCAGCGTACTTCCGGTATGTGTAATGAGATACGACCGGAAGTACACCACTATGTTCCTCTGTAGTCTTGTGCGAATAGTGGATTTTGAGTTCAAAGCGAATATTGATTTTGGCCGAATATTTTTGATTCGAATGTCGAATAGTTTTCCCACGTCTTCCACTACCATTTCATAATGCTTAGACGAAAACCCAGCTAAACTCGTGAAGGTTGTTCCACTTGTTCATTTATAAGCTAGGTTTAATCTATCTATTTGCTATTTAAAAAATTAGAAATGTATGGCTTCGGTGGTCAACTGTTACTACTTATAAGTTCATATTTGTCTTCCCGTCAGCAATACGTACGTACATATTAATGGTCATTCATCATCAATAAAATCTATTCGGTCAGGCGTTCCCCAGGGAAGCATCTTGGGCCCTTTTTTATTCAACCTTTACGTAAATGACATTGTAAATATCAGCCGATCAACGAAGTTTATCATTTATGCTGACGACACTAGTTTATTTTTTACTGGTGATACCGCCTCAGATCTCATAGATACCGCGAATGATACGCTAGAAAAACTAGCGAAATGGAGCAAATGTAACGCTTTAAAAATAAACATAAATAAGACTAAGGCAGTTCTATTTCGCCCAAAGAATAAACAAGTTGACATAAACAAGACCATATGTTTAAACTCTTCTAGAATTGAGTTAGTCTCTTCTTTTAAAACATAGGGTATTTTTTTCTCAGGGACAATGTCATGGGATGATCACGTTAACTACATTATATCCAAATTGTCCAGCATTGTTGGCTTGATATATCGTAATAAACACATATTTCTCCTTAAGGTAAAGTTGTTAATATATAATTCATTATTTTATTCCCATATAAACTATGGTCATCTAGTATGGGGCACAACTACTTTTACTAACTGTAAAAAAATATTCATTTTGCAAAAAAAGATTTTAAGAAGTATTTGCAAAGTCCCACTCGAATGTCCAATGGATTCACTTTTTACTCAACTGTGTGTAATTAAAATTTTTGATTTGTATAGATATCGCCTTTGTGCAAAATATATGATTGAAAAAAACATGCATATACATCATCTTGAATATTTAGCGAATCTAACACAAAAAGTACACTCGTACCAAACGCGCATTCTGCAGCCCTGGCAAGTGCCTCTTTTTAGAACAAATTATGGCCATTATACTATAGCATACACACTACCGACCATCCTTAACCACCTTCATATGCACAACATAGAACTTGACACGTTATCGGTGGGTACCTTGCGGGACATGATACTCTCTGGGCAAATCGGCCACGATTGAACGGTGCCTTTGTGTGTATTTTCTGAGTATTTTTTTTTTTTTGTAAAGGGGAATGTGCTTGTGTTTTGTGTATTGTACAATTAATTAACGTAGACTATTTTTCTGGTTTTTCCTTGAACGATGTGGGGCAGTGCTATTTTTTGTCTACTCTTAAATATTGTATTTTTTGTTATAGTGCCTTGAACGATGAGCAAATGACGTTATGCTATAGTGCCTGCTTATTTTCTTTAGTTTCATACATCTCATTGCCAACTGTTCAATCTCTTTTTTTGTTTAGCGTTCTCAGTGTATTTCTTTTTTTTCCGTGCACGCTGCTTGTAGCTGCTGCTTTAGGGGGGCTTAGGACTAGTCAAGCTGTACACACAGCTTTTTTCCAAAGCCCCCACCAACACTGTACCTTTCTTGTTGGAAATAAACCTATTATTATTATTATATTTATGCACTGTTACCTCAGAAGGTCTGATGTCTTGGTATGGCAAGTAAACGACGGATTTGACATAAAATGGATCTTATAGAGATGGCCAGATTGAGTGAATTTACGAATCTTGCTATAAAATATTCTTTCTTTAATCTCGAGTAAAAAAAAACTTTCAGCCTTTCCACTCTGGTGAAGAAGGAAGAGCAGCGAAGCTCTACTATGTGCCCCCATCTATGAGCGATGGCGGCAACCAGACAATTGGCAAGCCGGTTGTCTGGTTGCCACCGTCGCTTATAGATGGCGGTAGCTGTCCAGAGGGTTGTGTCGAGATATATTTGTCCGCAGAAACGAAACTGGGAAGCTTACTCTGAACACCTCCGCTATAAAAAGAAAGAATCGCGCATGATGAATGCAGGTTGTAAGGACATATCTGCCTAACATAGTATACTCTTGTATATCGGTCAGTTTAATTTTGAAACTTTCACTTTAGTGTAGATATACACATTCACAAAGTTTCCATTTATTTTCATATGCAGCCGGCACGCATGCACCATCCCGATTTTAATGTATGCTTTTCTTCCAAGCACGCAATTGATATATTCATACTTTTCCAAGTGTATATCGCGGCGGGTTACCCCGTTGAGTGCGCTTCTTACCGAACACCGATGTAATGCAGAAAAGCGACACCCGCGAAGCTCGCTTCCGCGAGTATTGCTTCTCCGCAGTGCACCGGTGCTCGGTAAGAAGAGTGCCTTAACGGGGGTAACCCACCGCAATCAACACTTCGAAAAACGCGAATATTGCAGTTCTGCTCGAAGCGAATATCTAATAGTGAATTATTCGAAACTACTCTTTGGAATTTCGAATATTCACACAACCCTACTTTTCTGCCCTGGTGCAGCAGGACCAGGTCCAGGTAAATCGAATGAAGCTATTGTTTGCAAACAACGTTACCCGGTGATTACCGGTGCACTAGATTTCAGCAGTTTTATACCGCCAGGTCCACGAAAGCGCCATAAAATAATTGGGGTTGTGTGGATATTTATCAAACTAAAAAAGCAGATGGTGGTAACCACACTTGATAGCAAGGTGATATCGAGAGACACACGGAGGCAGAAAAGTGATGTTAGTGATGTGGAGTTATGTTTTTAGTGATTTAATACTAAGGCTAGCTAAGGTCTTTTTTTCTTATCAAAATCCCCCAAAGTTATCGCATTTTGCTCTTGTCACCACCACATCACCACAGTAGCCACCACGTCCAGGTGGCGCAAGTCACCACCTAATTTAAACATCCAAGCTTTCATCGTCTGCTCGCCTCTCGGCCGACTCCGTGTATGCGGTCTGCTTCTTCTGCTCGCTGTCGCGGCTGGCTTTCAGTACGATCGATGTACTACAAGAATTTTCGATGCGAACCCGCATTCTCATCACGGCGGGGGGAAACGAACACCAGTGGAAGCAGGGTTTGTACGGCTTTCTCAACCCATGGTGCCAATCTCAGCAGCGTTCATGCGTACGACGACTGACACGCTCGCTTTCCAAGGCAGCGCTATTATGACGACTCGCTCTGGTCGACGCTCCCGGCGCGGTGTTGAGAGCGTCTGCTGCATGCCGAGTTCATTTGTCAACTAGGCGTTCGGCTCTAAATCTGAGCTATTCGACACCGATTCGGTGGACGCCGCCATGAAAATATCGGGCAAACAACCGCGTTGCTACGGCAATGCCATGGCAACGCGGATGCTTGCCTCAAATATTCATGGCGGCGTCCATTAACTGAGTTTTCTAATGACGATGAAAATGACCCAAGACTGATGTAAAAGATGGGAAACTTAGTAAAATAAAAAAAGACATCAGAGAAGGACTGTCTCAATAGCCAAGAGACTTGGGGACACTTCGTGGCCACGCCTACTTCCGTTCTCTTGAACGGAAGTGAACTTCCTTGCCTTGCCGTTACGCGTGTTCTTGTTCCTGTCGGTTGGTTTGTATTTGGTGGTGCGCCGTTTTAAACGTTTTAAGCGTGTTAAAGGAATTGGTTTGAGAATGACGACAGATCAAGAGACTGAAACTTTTTACTGTAAAGCGCTCGAGCTCGTAAAGGAAGCTGGCACGGTAAGTATGGCCAGAGTAGATGATTAAGTGTATCGGACGCGGCAATAGACCCTTTGACACATTTCTTTTCCTCCAAAAAGATCGTACGGAAAGCGATTGGCAAAGGCAAGAATATAGAGACGAAAACGGATTTCTCTGACCTGGTCACGGAGTCCGACAAAGAGGTGGAGAAGCTGATAATCGGGAAACTGAGGGAAGAGTTCCCGAATCACCGGTAAGTGCCTCCCCTCCGCAATGCGACTAGTTCGTTGGCTGTTGATTCTTGTTTACCCGCGTATTCCATGCAACCTTGCAGATTCATTGGAGAGGAATCCGTGGCGGCAGGTTTGAAGAGTGAGCTAACTGCCGAACCGACGTGGATTATTGATCCCATCGACGGGACGATGAATTTCGTGCACGGGTAAGAAAGCCTCTCGTGTGAGACGGGTGTGATTGTTCCATACTTATATACATCAAAAATTTCGCACAGCCACAAAGAGAAAGATGGGGAAGCTGCTTTTGTACGAATTTTGAGTGACGGGTTAATCTTCTATAATCTTTTGGAGGGATAATAGCGACATCTGGGCACGTCTGGGACAGAGCTGTATTTAGAAAGAGCTCGGCCATTCATTGGGAAGTATTGACCATTCCATTTAGCGTTCTCAGGGCGGCGCCATTTTGTTAGACCGCAGCACCCTCTCGTCAAATCCGGGAAGTTCAGCAGGTTCGGCGGTGTAAAACGAGAGAGAGGGCACGCGCTCGACTCCGCTAGCAGACGACAAACCGGGAGGTTGCCATTCCCCATTTTTGGGCTGTACCTGCGGGCTGTACCGAACATCGAACTCTCACTCGTGGCTGCCGTTATGAAGTGGTTCGTGTTCTTAAAATATTTTATAATTACTCCAAAATCGGCCTTTAGCGCTCTGTTGTTTTATTTCAGTAAATGATCAACTAGCGTATCTTTGTTCCGTTACTTCATTACCAGTGGAGTCAGCCGGCAACTCAACCACTGCGTCTTTTGTGCCAGGAGTGCATGTTTTTATTTATTATTTCAGACTTCCACACGTTGTCGCTAAAGGCCTACACCAGTACAAACTTCATATAGTAGTAAAACAGCTGCTGCAACCGGGTTTACTTTTCGTAGGAGCAACCAACCACTCTGGCACAGTTTTTCCTTTTTTTTTTTTTTTATTTGCACGCAGGTAACATTGCAGTTAGACTCAGTTAGTCTTTTTATTGAGCATAGCATTACACGATAACTCGCATATCAAAATCTGCACTTCAAATTTCCAGAATGACGTGATTTTAAACCGAGTTTGAACACCAGCCGGATGTTAGGTACAGCCCACTCGGCGGAGCAGATGACACACGGGGTGAGAGGGTGAAGGTTTTTTCTCTCCTCTCCTCCTAGTGGAACGGTCTATAGGAGGCAAACAAGGAGGCGCCATTGGCCGAGAGCGGACTGGCCGTGCTCCAGGGCGTCTTCACAGATTCGAATGTGGCTAGCCAGAAGCCGCGAATAATACCCTGGCGGTGGTCGTGAGAAACAATATCAATAAGTGTGTCGGAGTATCTCTCGGTGACTGAAAATTTTGTGCATGTCATGTTTCGATTGCGGTCGTGCAAAATCAAAATCTAGGAGATCGGTCGACGTGATCGTTCTCCTAGGAATATGCTCCAGGAATATGCCGTCCGACCCACTTTCGAGCAAAACAGAGTTTGAGCAGCGCATTTGATTGTCGTGTTGACTGAGAAAGAAGAAGAGAGGACTGGATAGACTGGATGAACGGTGACATTGTCGGTTCATTTTACGGCACAATACAACATTGATTCTTACAACTTTTTGCATGATCATAATCGAAACATTAGGTGCACTATATTTTAACCATGAAGGATTACACTCCATTTAGCTCTTACACACTTTTTAAAAGTGTTTCTCGCTACCACCTGTGGGAGATCATTTTCGGCTTCTGGTTGGTCAAGAGTGCATGTCTAACCTTCTATTTGAGTCTTGTGCACGCCCTGGCTCTGCTCGCTCCTCCCATTAACTAAACTCTCTCTATATAAGGCTCTGGTCTGGGACACACAAAAGAGAGTCCTGGCGAGAGAGATCTTCCTTCCCCTCTTCCCCGGTGGTGGCCAGAGAAACGACGGGATGATGTCAGGTGCAAAGCATGTATGGTCTGATACGACATAGGAAAGAAAGTGCGAGGGGGAAAAGGGTGTGCACGAGAAAAGCTGTTGTGGAAAGGAGGTGGCTCCTCTCCACTGGAGCTTTCCTAGTTTCTGCCTTTTCCCCCTCGCACTGTCTTTCTTATGTTGTATCCGACTGTAGTAGGCGCCCCTGCTTACGGGTAATAATATCTGCTAGCCATGCACACTTCCTGCGTTCCCCCTGCATTCCCCCTTTGTGCAAATAAAATATTGATTGATTGAGAGGAACTGAAAAGTGGGAGCACTGGCAAGACGATTTACGCCTAGAATAAAGCAACACCATGTAATCATTTCATATCCACTGTATTCCATTTTCAGGTTTCCTGTTGTAGCAGTTTCTGTTGCTCTAGCAGTTGACAAAAAGGTAAATTCTTCGAGTTGTGTGTGAAAAAGATTGCGCCTGTAATGAAAAATAGAGTGGAGTGTCTAGAGTTTTGTCCAAACAGAACAGTGACAGAAGCAGGAGAGTAGGAACGATAGCAGGCCCAGCAGAGTTCCGTCCAGACGGAATCATAGCAGGTGCAGCGGAGTTATGCCCAGACGGAATGATAGCAGGCCAAGTAGAGTTCCGTCCAAATGGAACAACAGCAAACCTCTTAGAGTCCCGTTGGTTCTGTCCTGAGGGACCAGTACGAAGTAGTGTTCCTTTTCATTCAAGCTAGAGTAACGATAACAAGCTTGTCTATTTTTTTTTAAAAACCAAGGTTTTTTGGGTTTTCTTTTTGTGATTATTTACAAGATGGAGCCACGATACCAGGTTTTCAATTTGCGAACCTAATTACAAAATTATGCGCTGCAATCAAGAAGAAACGTTGTGGAAAGTTTAAACAGGGAGTGCTCCTTCATTGCGACGATGCACCGAGCCTAAGGCCTTGCATTACAATGGTTGCCGTTCCTAAATAAAGATTTGGAAATGATATCCACCATAATCAGTGTTAGGAAGTACTTTAAGTACATTGTGCTTAAAGTACTGCATTAAGTAGTTTTAGAATATTTGTACTTTACTTGAAGATAGTTCTCTAAGTATGTACTTGGGGAAGCATGTTTTTCTGGTACTTTCTGAAGGAAGTATAAAAATGACTTCAAAGTACATTCGCCACATTTGATCTTGTTAAATTCATTACCATTTCTGAAAATAACTTAAGAAAATTTCCAAAAATAATGTGTAGAATGTGCATGTGAACAGTCATTTGAAGATGAAACTCGTCTCCTACTAGAATACTCGACATTCAGAAAGTGTTGAAAAGAGCTCAATATATGGCTCGTGGCACTTGATGACTGCCCCTGGTTGCTAGAGGAGGTGCTTAGCCTACCCCAGTTCTGCAAAGAAAGGCTGGTTGCCTTACATGATTTCACCTTGGAAACTAAATAGCAGACAGTTATTAGAGTAATAGACCTTCATCAAGAAGAACACAAAACTAGAAACATCATTCTGTGATACATTGACATTACATTATTGTGCTAAAATGGGCTTTTAATATAAAAACTGTGTGGGTAATCTAATGTGCATTACGACCCCTTTAGTGTATATTGCACAGTACACATAATCGCGTTCGAGTGTATGAATTGTATGTAAATAGCATAACAAATCGTTGCAACCTAATGTAAATAGTGTAGTTTTATACTTAGGAGTGTATTGCAGGATGTTCTTTAAAGTGCTTAGTTTTTGTGACAACTGTGTACTCAAGTAAATTAACACTAATAACTCAAGTTCAAAGGAGTAGCCAGTGCCACTATAGCGGCATCCAATGTCTCCCTTTTATTAATTTTTATCAGTTATTAAAGGAAAGAAATATACACCCCAGATTACCCCTGAAGCAATGCATACCTGTATTAAAAAAAAAAAAAAAAAAAAAATTGGGGATGAAAGGGCATAATGAAAGATTCTGTTGAAAAGAATTTTGCTTTGAGAGTACATTGTATTTATAGTAATTTACTCCAAGTACATTGTGCCCGGTGTGCTTACTACTTTACTTGAAGTAAATAAGATCTCATTTACTTAGTTTTTTACTTCAAGGACTTTTTATATGTATGTACTTTACCCAACACTGTCCATATTTTCTGTATCAGGCTCCTAGTGGCTACAGACTTAAAAAATCTGAAAGAAACACCTGCATGGGTGTTTCTTTCAGACCAGAGATACATGGTTTGCAGAGGTTGGACAAGCTTTTTTTACAGAAAGCAGAAGAAATGTGATAGGATTGCTGGGACAAGTGCATTGTGGAGCATAGGGATCAACTCTCGTGTATGCTGGACAAAGCTTCAGTGGCAAGTTTCTCTTCTGTCTGGACGGAACTGTAGTGGCGGCTATAGTTACGTCTGGACGGAATTCTTGTGGCGATTGTTGTTCCGTCTGGACAGAACTCTACAGGGTTTGCTAACTTTCCGTCTAGACAGAACTCCAGTGGTGACTATTCCTCCGTCTAGACGGGACTCTAGCCACCGTCAAAAGAGAAATATATTGCAGCTATATGTTGACTTTAAATCTGCATGACTCTCTTTAAATCTGCATCATTCTTGCCTTGCCATCCTTATTTTGAACAAACAAAATCTGTTTGCATTCAAAGGTTGTCTTGGGTATCGTGTACAATCCAATCCTTGACAGGATGTACACTGCTCGTAAAGGAAGAGGATCCTACTGCAACGGAGATAAGCTTCACGTTTCTGGAAACATGGGTATGTTGCAGTTGATACATTCATGCCATGGCTCTGGCTGCTGATCTTGCACATCCACGAGGCTGCAAGAGTTAATACAGTTCATTGGACCTTGGGAACAGGGGCGAATTTGAGGGGGGGGCAGGGAACTTTTTTCTGTCAATGAAACGACATACACCAGCTTTTTCTAGAAAAAAAAAAATGTTTAGTTTTTAATAAAATGGCAAACTTTTGGTTAAAAAATAGAGATCTGAGCAGCGTCTCGTGACCATTTCGCATCAGTCTGTGACAGCAATTCTCTTTGCAGACCACCCCCCCCCCCCCTCCAAAGCCAGACTCGTAAATTTGCCCCTGCTTGATATGGACAAAGGTGTCAACACAGTGTGCCTACTTACAGGAAGAGCCTAGACAACCTGAATTTGTCAGGAATTTGGGGAAAACATTGCAAGAGTTATTGAAATTTATAATAGACCGATCTCACTAAGCATTCGGCGCATGCGTGACGCCGCCATAACTTTAGTTCTCAGGAAGCAGACGGCCGTGCACGCGAGGGCTCGGACCTTCTCGTGCTTTACACGCGCAGTGCTCCAGCGAGGTTTTTGCACGTGCAAAAAGACTAAAGTTCCCTGGATGCATTGCGGCAGCGGTGGCGTAGTCAAACTGGCTGGTGAGATCGGTCTATTAACTTCTTTTATTAACTTGTATGTTCATCAGATCCGAACACAACTTTTCGGTGCACTGGTAGCTCTGTTGGCATCATGGCCAGCTTTCTGGGACACGCTGTTTTAGTATCCCGATTCTCATGACACGTGGCGTATCAACCTTGAGCAACCTAAAGCCCCTTCGGGTTTCAAAAGTAGCGCAAGGTTCGTCGTTGCACGAGGCACGTGCAGCCCTTGGGAAGATCATGGCAGCACAGCGCAGCACTGAGCTAGATTTCAGACTCTATGAATTTCCCAGAAGTGGCACGTGGCACGTGCCTCGAGAATTTTTACAACAATGAATGGCGCCACTTTTCCCAGGATAGAGGGGCTTTAGAACGATCTTTGCAAATTTTCAATAGTGTGATTGTACCGATTGGGTAACTTCATCTAATCACCATGCATAAACCGTGCATGAAAGTGGAGCGAACCAATATTAGCAACTCCAGCGAAATTGACGGCATCTAGTGGCTAGAACAGAAAGCTGTGGAGGCAGGTTCGCTCACCAGCCTCCTCAAGCGAATCAGATAGTCACAGCGCCTGGTGGTTTAAAGATGAAGCCGTGAAAGTAGGTTCAAAAACACGTGATAAAAATCGCCAATATATCGTGCGGTGCCCTTCTCACGCGCTGGCACATTCAGGGCAACAATGGATGTATTCACCCTCAGACAGACAGACATGTAGGCACCCTAGAGCAAGATAAACGGAGAATTTGAAAGCGTGCGACCGCTATCTGAACCTCCTCTCCTGTGCCTCTCTCCAGCCTCCCACCCTTTTCACCGTTTGCGTCTGGCCAAATACTTAACTAGGGGGAATGCGTTCCAGTCCGCTGATTTGCATTAGACAGAACGCCTGCAGCGCCTAATCCAGCCCTGACGGAGGGGAGGTCCGCGCAGAGTCTTCTTTTTTTGGCAAATAAGCTATCATCATCATCAGTCGCAGACATTTCACGACTACGCGCTATGCTACGCTGATGGTCGGTGCGCCAGTACAAGCCAGTGTCTCGAGGTGTGAAACAACGTCAAATGTGTTGCATGGTGTTTTCGTTTGATACTTTTTCGAAACGATGCTCACGATATACCCCGAGTTTCAGCAAAAATTAGTTGAGTTTAGGTTTCTGAATTTGGCTTTTAGAAACAAAAAAATCTCCCTAATTATGTGTATTTTCCCGTTTTGCAATCAAAAGGCAATCTGTTATTTTCTGTATTGCGTATGTTACTTCAGTGATGTGCTAGGAGGGTGTAGTTTTGGAATTTGTATCATCTAAACAGGGAAACACTATTCTTTCTTTTAAGGTGCTACCAGCTATTGGTCAGCAAGGCATTTTGTCTTTAGTCCTTAGTTTTTAGTTTTTATTTATTTGGCTCTGGAGAGCCGCGGCACCGCGAAAAGGCAGCAGCCCATACCATGGAGGCCCGCGGTGCCGCGTCTAGTGAACATGATGATGTGATGAGTATATACATGCATGATGACGATGACATGGATTGTTGGTATTGGGGAGGATGGCAGTCCGATTCGCAGAAGTCCAGATTTCGTGGAGGTGGGTTTGGGCAGGTCAGCACCGAGCCATGGGGATCTGGCACGCCGTTCGATTGGTGCATGAAGGAGCCCCAGGAACATGATGGCGCTGTTCCTCACTGGGGTCCACTGGGGTCAAAGCACCAGGCTCCAAGGAGGTAGCCCAGTCAAAGTAGAAGCTGTCACTTCCGAGGAGCCAGGGCTCAGATTGAGGCACCGCCGTCGCCCGGTGTGTCATCTACTCAACGTCGTCGTCGTTAAGTTCTTTATTTATACGCGTATATATGTATAAATAAAAGAAGGTAGATAAAAAGACACACAATCGAACGGCCAGCGGCGCGCCGTTCTAGTTATATTTCTAGTTATACATGCCTGAAAGAATATTGTTCGGTTTGTGTCTGTAACCGAGCTAAAACTTTACATACACAGGTAAATTCAAAGCAAAATATATACAATGCAAGTGTTTCTGACCCTACATAACAGTTGCTTATATTTAAAATCCAGGGCACAAATTTTGATTATAAACATCTAATTATTGTATAGTCATATTATAGCTGCCACATTCTTAGTCAATATGCTGTCAGAAACGCATTGTACAAATCTTTTTTTCTATAAGCCTATGTAAAGGTAGCTTGGCCGCAAGCTTCGTGGTGCACGGCAGAGTGCTAACTTTACAGGGGCAAAAAGCGGTCCGAATTTGAAGAAATTTTAACTGAGGTGTGTGCTATGAGTCGGCAGCTATTATATTCCTCGGGAACTTTACGATTCTTCATTTCAGTGAGAAGAAATTTAAAATTTTGTCAAAGTGGCCCATAGGACCCAATGCAGCAATATTATATCGGGCCCAGGAATAAAAAGTGTACAATCCTGAGGTTCAAGTAGGTATAAATAAGAGTGTATTAGTGCCCTCTATAGATATCCCGGGAAACCTAAGGATTTGTGCAGTAGTTTGGTTGAAATTATCATTTTACTGCGTTTTGCTGAAAATAGCCAAGAGAGGGCGTAAGGAGACCGTGTCCAAGAATGTTGGGGATGATCCAGGAATTTTTTTTCAAGGGGGGTGGGGTGGATGGCTGGTTGGGTCTCCATGACTTGGGGAGTGGGTCGAGGCTGAAGACCCATAAGCCCCCTTTCCCCTGTACATGTATCAGTAGAGCCTCAGAACGCTTAATTTCTATATATTTCTATATTAGTTCGGAGAAAGTGGTGGTTTCAGTCTTTTTTTTCTTTCCTTTAAAATTAGTTGAGGAATAAGGTTGATAAAATAGTTTGATAAACCTAGAAAAGTTGAGGCATTTGGGAACATAGTGATGGTAGACGTCTTGCAATTAAATATTGTCAAATTTAAGAGAACGCTGAAGGCGGGCAAACTAATGAATTTTCATATTGTAAATATCTGCAGTCGAGGGAACTGAGTATGGTATTTTCCGGTGTATAAGACACACTTTTTTTCCAAAATTTTCGGTGGTGCGTTTTATATGTATTTTTTTTTTTTTCTTTCTGGCAAACTGAAGGAACTGCTGTTGATGCTGATTAGTCTTTTTTTTTAACTATTATGACAGCTCAGTGCAAATGATGCATCATAAATGCAAGTCAACATCCCAAAACTGGAGTTCCATAACAAAAAAAAAAAAAGAAAGAAAGTCAAGGAAAATGGAAGAAAAAAGGAAAATACGTCACTTTGCGAGTCTCAAGTCAGTGGTTGTGCAATTTTTTTCCCGCGACCACACATTATGAAGTTCCTTCGTGGCAAGTGCGTGAATATAGGTGCTTCTTATAAACTAATTTTTATTTAGAAACTTGCAAAAAGTGGGGGGTGCATCTTATACAACTATGCATCTCATACACCGGAAAATATGGTACTTGGCAGTCATTGAACTCATTCTGAAGCTCTGTGGTGGACACACACATTGCTTGTATGAATAAGTTGTTCTTAAAATCCTGGGATGGGCTTACACATCCAATAGTAACATAGTTAATACAGTGCAATCCACTTATAACAGTACCACATATAACAATGAATTGCTTATAACAATCAGTTTCTAGATCAAAAACGTTGAGTTTCTACTGCAGATACAACATAGTCAGTTGTAACGACTGAAATTTTGGGTTTTCTTGTTATTGTTAAATAAGTGGATTGCACTGTATATGCTAAATGAAGTTGATTATGACTCTCTGTTATCATGTGTTATTAAGTGGATATAATCTTTTAGCCAAGAATGTTAGCATGACACCATACGTTACATTGCAGATATTTCTAAAGCGCTGATTGTCAGTGAAGTGGGAAGCTCCCGTGAACCAACTAGGATAGAATTTGCGTTTCGGAACATGCAAAGAATCACCCAGAAAGCACATGGGTAAGTGCTGAAATTTAAATGAATTTGGCCGAGGTTCCGATAGTGAATATTTAATTCAGTAAATATAGGCCCGAGGCATAATAAAGCTTTGAATGCCAGTTTCTATCTGGAAAAGCGTATCTTATACAATGCATATTTGAGCTATGCTCTAATAGGAATAATTATTGAAGATTGTAAGTAATACAATGATCTGGCACCATTGCATGCAGATATTTGTGATCCTGATTTATCCATAATGCACAGAAAACAGGCACTCTTTTGCTTTAATGGCTGGAGTCATCACTGCTCTTGCAGGCTACGTTGCATGGGTTCCGCAGCACTGAACATGTGCTTTGTGGCTGCCGGGGAGGCTGATGCCTACTACGAGTTTGGGATTCACTGCTGGGACATGGCTGCTGCAGCACTCGTGGTCACGGAAGCAGGCGGGGTCGTCATGGACACAGAGGGTGAGAGGTTGACCTCAATTCATTGTTACCGAATTTGAGAGAGCTGCGCTTAATATTTTAGTATTTTCGGACGTGCAATTTTTGAATTAAATCTAAGTCTGGATTCCTCTGGATAGTTTGTTTTTTAAATATTATTTGTGCAATCATGCTGCAGAGAAACCGAAAGCTGAAGGGGATCACTAGGCAATGCTGCTTTGCAGCCCCTCTCACTGGTATACTTGAGGAGGGACGAAGACACAGGGGGGGAAGATTAGAAAAGTTGAAATGCTTATTCTGATAAAAATTAGCAAGCAAAAAATTTATACTTTTTTTATGCTGTTAGCATGAGCAGGAGGAAAAGCAAGAAATGTGGAAGTCCCAGAATGGGTCCTTCTGATATCACGTGCCTTCCTGCTTAATTCAGCTGTTTCGCTGGCAGGATCAAAACGGCAGTCTGAACGTTGTGTTTTAATGCAGCTAGGAGCAGAATTTTCTTATCGTTCACAAGATTATTTCCAAATGAATGGTTCAAGCATGTTTGGTTAGGACACACGTGTCCCCATGGCCGCTGCAAAGTAATCGACCTCTTCCTCGCTGATATCATGCTTCAGACGGAACACACCCCACCGTTGCCCTGTTCTTGCCAAGTTAACTCAGTGGTGCCACCTATTCTGATGCTACCACTGGAACATTCATTTTTATAAAAGTTATCTGTGATAATTAGGCACTTACCAAATTTTTTAAAGTTTTGTTGTCTACTAAGCAATATAATTTAAGAAGCATAATACCCCTGTAAAAACTTGAGAAATAATTAAACATAGAAGGAGAGAACATGGACAGTAGACGCTTGAGCCACTAATTTTGAAATAGTCTTGAGAAAGATACAAATTACGCTGCTATCGACATTAACACGGATGCTCAGGTTTCCGCTTTCACCCTGCCAAAGTATTCAATGTAAGAAGCGAAAGTATGCAGGCAAGCTGGTTAGGAAATGTTATAATCTAAGCCCCAAGACACTGAGAAATAAAATAAATTTTGTGTCATCTTGTCTATTATTTTATTTCTCAGCGTCTCCGGGTTTAGATTATGATGAAATCAGTGTGTTGAAATTAAACATGGAGACTGAACTATGTGTTTTGAAAATTGAAAGATTTGCTGTTCGTGTTCTGTCCTACATTTAATTCTTCCTTAAAAAGCTACTTAAAAAAAAAAAAATTTTTTTTTTTTAAACAGTTTAATTGGGACACGCGTGCTTTTCGAAAAAAAAAAAAAAAAAAAGTTAAGCGCAATATTGATGTCGCGAAATTTATTTTAAATTTTGCACGCAACGTCCATGACGTCACGGTATGGTCATACACTCTTTCCAACCAACAAGCTTGAGTAAACTTAGAGCAATAAACCAGCGGCTGAAAATAGCACCCCCCCGGTTACCTCCATCTTGCCTGTTTGCCACATTAGTGATCACGTGACATTAAGATGGCTGCGCCCAGAGGTGGGCCCGATCAGATTGGTGAGATCATGGTCAGCAGATGAGCACTCTGAGGCTGTGTTCCAACCTTACTCGAATGGATCTGAGTTAATCCGGCGGATCAAGTCATGTGACAAGACAGATGCAGCAATGTTGGACGCAGGTAGGTTTTCGAACGCAACGGGTATGAGACCTTCACCCAGGAGTGAGATAGAAGCTGCGTTTGATTTACGTGCACCTCCTGCACCGGTGCAGAAAAGTGTAGGGCATGGTGTAAGATAATACTCTTCAGGTGAGGACAGCGCGCTCCTCGCACAGTGCAGATAAAGTTCGCTTTTCACTCTCTCTCTTTCTTTCTCTCACCATGGTTTCAGGCGGCGCCGGCAGATGACTCGTCGACCCGTGGGCACGGCAAAGACGACTCGCGCCGCCTCATACTCTACACGCGTAGAGCTTCAGCGAGGTTGTCGCGCGTGCAGAAAGACCATGGGGTACCGGGGTGTCATGGCAACGAGATAATTGTTTTCGCTCTAACACAGTTTCGCCGTTTGGCCGCCGGCGACACGGGCACAGTGGCCGCGGAATAATGCAGCCTTTCGAATGCCCGTCGAACGAACACTATCTGATTCCTCGCGACGCGCGTTCAGCCCCGCCGTGTCCTCACCCAAAGAGTTTATCTTTCACCGTGGTGTAGGGCGAAGTACTTCCGGTCATATCTCAATACACATACCCGTAAGTAGACTGCCCTACATTTTTCCGCACTGGTGAAGGAGATGCAAGTAAATCGAACGCAGCTTCTTTCTCACTCCTGGGTGAAGTTCTTGTACCCGTTGCGTTCGAAAACCTACCCACGTCTAGCATTGCTGCATCTGGCTTGTCACGTGACTTGATCCGCTGGAATAACTCGGATCCATTCAAGCAAGATTGGAACACAGCTCCAAAGTGCCCATCTGCTGACCGTGATCTGGCCAATCTGATCTGGCCCACCTCTGGGCGCAGCCATCTTAATGTCACGTGATCACTAATGTGGCAAACACTCAAGATGGCGGCAAAGGGGGGGGGGGGGTGTGCCATTTCTGCTGCAGGCAGTGGGTTCCGGTTTACCGCACTAAGGTAAGACTCAAGCTCGTTGTTTCCAACTCATCGAGATGGTCATACACATCTCTCTACCTCAACGCGATGGCTAAGCCGATCCACCTCCCCTCCACACGCCCAAAATGCCAAGAAAGAAAACAAGTGGAGGAGGAGGTGACTATCGCGTCTCGCGCCATCAATATTGCTGTAATATTTTTTTTTTTTTCGCACGAGTGTTTTAACTATGCAGTCTGTTGAAAAAAAAAAAAAAAATTTTTTTTTTTTTTTTTTGTGGCCTTTTGTCGCACAAATGCGCTCGCCTCGAAGGAAATATCCTTGTCACAGGGCAAGGTTGGTGTCAGTTTCTTCAAATGACATTTATGTGATCGGTGAATCAGCTTACGTGCACCGCGCTGCACCAGGAGTGCCGCATGCTGGTTGGCCGATCGCTCAAATGTCATTCAATGAAACTGACATATAATTTTGTTGTGTGGCAGGGTGCAGCTTTAATTTGGCTAATTGCACAATTTCATTATTAAATTGTGCCTCGTGGTGTCAGGCATGTATCACGAAACACCAACCATTGGCGTCCGCCATGCAGCTGCATGTCAAAAAGGTCCTTTTTGTTTTGATGACGCAGTAAACTAGTGGTATTTCGGTGAAAATCAATATGTTTTTTTCTTGCCTACACCGAGCAAAACAAAATACGATCAGTAGACCTCTAGCTCCTTCGAGGTATAAATTAATTCACAGTTCCTTTAAACCTGATCGTTGTCAAACACAGTGAATAAAAAGGGGCCATTTACAGCTTCAAAGGTTCTCTGTGGTTAATCTCAACAAACTTGCTGTAGAGACTAACTCTGAAGCTTGTGCCTTTACAGACTCCTAGCTACTGCACCTTTTCTCTGCTCAGTGAAAGTCACGAAAGAGCCAACACGTGATGTTTTATGCATGCGTTGTATATATGCAGGTGGGCCCCTGAACCTGATGAATCGTCGGGTCATCTGTGCCAGCTCCAGGGCTCTAGCGGATGCCGTCAGTCAGACTATTGAACATGTGCAGTTGGAGAGTGACTAGACCTACATGTTGTTGTCAGGTGTTCAAGTGAGATAATTATAGTTTAAGCATTTTGTTTTGTGCCCATCGCTATGTTTGGAATGCCGTGAATATTTTGAACTATTGTGCAATGTATCTGGACCAGTGTGCTGGCTTACTAGTCTGACTGTGGAAGGTGCTTTAACAGTGAGAAATGATTTATATGTGGCCATTTGGGTGTCAATTTCGTACCTTAGAGGGAGAGGAAATAAACGAAGGTTTACAATTTTCGCCATTCCCACAAAGAAAGCTGCCGGTTTGCAAATTTATCAAATATATTTACAAAATATTTTAGGCACTTAATATTTCTATAGTTCTTTTCTGCGATTTGAAAGTGAGTGATCGCCCTTTCCATTTCTACTTTCTCGTGTAATAGTTTTGATTGTGTTCTTCAGTTTAGTTGTGTGTACATGCTTGAAGTGAGCAATAAAAAAAGATAAAAATAATTTTCGCTTATTCTGTCCCGTTTTTCTACTTGTGTTCATAGGATGATGGACCAACGTGGTCTGATGCTTCGATGTACACAAATTTAACCTCAAGTGTTTGAGAACCCTTCTCTTCATCTATTTTCTAAAATGCGTGGATGTTTCTTTTAGTGTTTCTTTTTTCACCTACATTTCAAGAACATATAATAAATTGGTACCTCTTCAAGCTATTCATTTCCTTGTGTCACAGTTTCGTTCATTGCTATGAGCCGAGGGCAACTAATTCTGTTTCACCTCTCACCATCAGATTGTGCCGCCTCGAAAAGCCGTTTTCTAAAGCTTGGTGAAATCATGCATTATTACAGTTGATGCCTCTCTGTCGAACGATTTGTATCGTGTCCTTTGTTTTAAAGATGCCTTTAATTTTTTTTTCTTTTTTTTTTTTAGATGTTTAAACGTTTTGATTTATAAAAATTTGTTAATAAGTGGACTGCCGGACGCACGGCAAATGAATGATTCGGCTATTTTAATCTGGCCTTCAACGCCAAATCAACGCCGAACAGTCACCAAAGGGAGACAAAGGAGAGGTCAGTGATCAGTGGAAAGGCCGGAAACGTACCGCGCGGAGATCGGGAGGATACGCAAAGGGCAAAGATGCCCGAGAGCCCGAGAAGTTCGTAGCGTTCGTAGGAAAGGCGTCATTTGCGGCGTCACGGAAGGCCCCTTGTTGCCAGGGCAACCGATAGCCTACGGCCTACGTTTTTGTAGCATTTTGTTGTATTTTCTCTTGCCAGTCTGGTAATGAACAAAGCGCAAAATATTTATGAGCTTTGTTTGTTTCTGCGTCTGAAGTTTAGATAGAGACTCTTGGAGCTATCAGATTGTTGACGGGTCTGTTAACATATTATGAGGGTGACGCGCCGTCTCTCCTTTTCTCGGTTCCGTGCTTTTCTGTTTTTGTGTATGCTTCGCAGGAATGGTGGACCGTGTGGCAGCTTGATTTGTGTTTCCGAGCTTCGATGGGTGCGGGGAAGGCGGCCGAGTGTTGGCCTGGTTGCACCTGAGCCGATGGACGACACAATGTAGGCATTTAAGCAATCAGCTCCTTTATTTGTTCATTCTAGTCCAAGTTAGTGCAGCAGCGCTCCGAAACGGGCAGGATCCGTGGTCTAAAAAAAGAAGAAGAAAAAAAGAAAGTAGTAGGCTGATAGTCGGTGATGGCTGCGTCCGTCCAGCAGAACGGCAGCGTACCTGTTGCCTCGTCCTGTTTGCCCGAAATAGAGCAGATCATCCGGAAGCTCGAGCACGGGACCTCACTGATCAAATTCTACCAGAAGGGAAGGCCCGAAAAGCGAACCTTTGCGATCAAGCTCGAGACGAGACAAGTCATCTGGTGGCGGCCTGTCACAGGTAGAACCGTCGAAGAAGGAGCGGGTATGTAGCACCTCGTTCACTTTATCACACTTCTGGAGCTACAGTTCGTCTATCTGTGGCCCTGTCGCCGCATGAATCCGGTGCCAGACAAGTTCCGATGGAAACAGCTCGTAGACAGAGCAGTCTGGGCGAAGGGCGGCGTTGTTTTGAGAGCTAAATTTATCACGACGGCACGCTGATTGACGAAGACGTTATGCGCCTGGATTTCTTCTCTTGCTCGTAACGTGCACAAGATATTCTTGCGTGTGGACGGCGAGACTGTAATTTGAAATGCGACATCTGCTACGATAGATTGAAACAACCAACCAATGTTCATAAAAAAAGAAACAATATCATCGTCGACAGATGAATGTTTCATGGGATTCAGCCCCTTCGAGGTACCGGCCAGATCATGTTGTTCCTGTTTTCATTTTCTGTAATGATAAAACACGCGTATATATCACGCAGATATTATTCCATTAATCTTTTTAAAATTTTGCTGCCTGTGGATTACTGTGGGGCAGACCATTTGCGAACAACCCGAGAAACTCATTGGTGGTATCGTTTCAGTCGACCTACGCGAAGTGAAGGAAGTTCGGCTGGGCCGCAATTCCAAGATTTTCGACCGATGGCCAGAGGACGCCAGGAAGTGGGACCCGGCCCAGTGCTTCGTAATTTTTTATGGGAACACCTTCCGTCTCAAGACTCTTTCTTGTGTTGGTGAGTGTCTGTTATATTTCATATAAATGTCTTATTCACTCGAGATTCTACCATTTAGGATTCGCAATTGCTCAAAAATAACTCTTATCTTTTCATCATAAAGGATTCGCAGTTGCTCAAATTTAACTCTTCTATTTTTTCTTCAGATATACATTTAAAGGGATGCTGAACTGAAATTCGGAGCTCATGAATCAAAACTGGCGCTATAGGTGGGACGCTGCAAAATTAAAAAAAAACATCACTTGACAGCGATATCTCAAATGGATGGCCATATTTTTGTAAAAGATGTATGCCATTGAATACGACCGGCGAGGCCAACGAGACGTGATGTCATAGTTCTCATTTCCTCTCTTCTTCGCTTCGTCCCCTTGAGCTGGTCAACCGAAGCGAGGCCGGTTCCCCTCATTCTCAACTGTTCCGGGAGGATCGTGACATCACACTCCTCGCTTGATCGCGCCCTTCCTTTCCAAAAATACGGCCGTCCGTTTGAGGTATCGATGTATGAGTGATGTTTTGGAGGTCATAGCATCTCGTTCAACGCTTGTGCGGCCTTGTTTTGCGAAATCCAAATTTTGGTTCAGCATCCTTTTGAGCTAGTAGCCATATATACAGGAAGTCAAATAATAATCCTGAAACATGCCTTTAAAAGTTAACTATTCTATGGTGGTAGCAGCTAGCTCCTTGTGGATCTTGCTACATGGAGTCTGTGGAGTGGAGATAGTTGTTGTAAGAACGAACTTCTTAATCCGAGGGGTAGAAGAACCGATGTAGGTTGGCTTGCATGATGGATTTTTCACAATTATTTTCTATCTGCAAACGTTGTGAAAATTAAGTCACTAATGTACAAGTGATCTCACTCTGTGAATATCAGTTGCAAAGTTTTTCAATGTACCAGTCTTGGGACGTTTCATGAATGGATGGAGGTACTCTTTATATGGGGTGGTAGCTTGCCCCATGCAGATGTTATAACCAGGGTTTGCAGTTGCAGTGCTTGAATTTTGCTTGTGCAAGTGATTCTGGCTGGCTATGCTTGTTAGCTACTTCAGCCAAGGACTGCGAACAATGGATCCGTGGGATCCGGTACCTGACGTCCGACACAGTGACAGCACCTTACCCCCTCCAAGTAGAGCGCTGGCTTCGCAAGGAATTTTACAGCATGCAAAATCCCCGCAATGTGTAAGTACTCGAGCACATCTCTTGTTTTGGTCTGAGGTTGGTCATTCAAGTATAAGGGTTCCGACATCTGAGGCCTTGGCGTGGTCTCCAATGTGTTGTCAGTGAGTGAAACATTTCTCCAGTCCACTGTTTGGCAGCCCAGTGGAGAAAGGTCTTGTTTTTAGAGAGCTCTGCGGTTACGCTTCATGCGATTTGTCCTGTGCCATTCTGATGCGAAAGTAAAACTGTGGGGGTTGTTGCACCAAAGTACATGAATCTAATGAAATTTGAATAAGGTATTACTCAAATTAGACTACCTTCAGTTCATTCGGCAATGCTGTTATTCCTCCTTAAGTTATACTGTACTCATTTTCTCCACAAGAACCATGGTAAAAAGAGCTCGTTTCTTTGCACGGCGTTACTAATTTCATCCTTGATATGGTCAACTATGACACTTGCATGTACTATCGGGGGAAAAATGAAATGCGAACAGAGGAGCGCGTGACTCGCGGTACAGGCTGCACCGCCTGGAAGTGAACCTAGGGGCGAGGGTGCGTGGCCTACTTCGATGTGTTCACGCCCCTCGATTGGCGCTCCCCCAGCTTCGGCAGTGCGCTTCTCAGTGCGCTGAAAGCTGTCAACACTATCTTTGCCTGCTCGGCGAGTGCGGCGAGCTTCTTTGCACCGCACATGCTGAGCCAGCAAGGATAGCGGTGATAGCTTTCAGCGCACTAAGAGGCGCACTGCTGAAGCTTGGGGAGCGCAGAGGGAGGGGCGTGAGCACGTGAGAGTAGGCCACGCACCCTCGCTCCTAGACTCACTTCCAGGCGGCGCAGCCTGCACCGTGAGCCACGCACTCCTCTGTTCGCATTGCATTTTTCCCCGATAGTACATTAAAGATCAGTTATTTACTTGCATATACGTTAAAGATCAGTTATTTACTTGCATATACATTAAAGATCAGTTATTGGTTATTTAATTATTAGGGATGTGCAAATACTGCTTCGAATTGAAGAGCTCAGTGTCATCCCTAGCTTCAACACTGCTAAGAGAGCTGGCATGTCGTGCATTGCCTTTGCCCTGGGAAGGAATGACTTTGTGCTATTCGATTTAAACCTCCATTCATGTACTCCAAATTAAAATATATCAAATGCAAATCTTGTTAGAACTCTTTGCTCAGTGTATAAGCTATGTGCAGAGCTTGTTTTTTTTCCCCTTGGCTTTTTGATATAGTCTAAATTGTAAAACAAAAAGACATTCACAAACCTTTTTTTTTTTTTTTTAAATTTTAGTTCAAGTTTAGTTATTACAGAGCTGTCTTGACTGCTGTTATTGTGACCTCAGACAAAATGCCACAAAGTCGAAACAGTGAGTGTAAAATGATGTGTCACGTAAGGACATTGTGGAGTCTTCGACCAGGAAAAGTTGTGCAGCGAATTGGTAGGAGGACTGTACTCTCTTTCTGCAGATCTTAGGAAAGAAAATATTTCCTTCAGACATATTCTTCATTCCAGCTATTGTGTGTCACATGTCTAGCACTTCATCCTTGACAATTAATGTATATTCCTATATGTGAGTGATCAGGATCTCATTGTAAGATAAGGGTAAGGTTTTTCGGAAAATGTCATGCTTGCGAGATTTTTTTATGATAGGTAGAGATCCTGACTTCACTTAAATGCCTCTGCTTTTTAGGATATTAAACACGATTACATTTGCTTGGCTTTCCAGGATAACTCTAAAAGATCTCAAAGCATTCTTCCCAAGAGTCAACTGCAAGCTTTCGACGAACAAACTGAAAGAATACTTTCAGGTACGTAAACCAGTCTACTTGGATATATCGTCACACTTACAGATTTTCAACATTTGTAATCAGCGAAGAAAAAAAAAAAAAATTACTAAATTATTGCGAAAATAAACTGCATTGCCGAATGCTGAGTGTCAGCCCAAATGTAGCGGTCCAGACCAGGTGCCAAAGTATCGGAGCTTGCCGTTATTTAATTAAAAAGTTAGTTGCAATTTTCAAATATTTTAATTGGGAAAATGGGGCCCACTCCCGGTAGCTGATGCCATTAATATCTATGCTTTCGTTAGTTTCGTCGGCCGCCATTTCCTTGTTGAACATTTCCGAAAATTGTTTGTAACTTCTGAATCGGATAATGGCAAGCTCTGAAACTTTGGCATCTGGTTCAGTCTGCTACTTTACATTTGGGCAGAGATTGAGCGTTCGGTGATGCATACGTTTATTTTTGCGATGAAAAAACACTCTAAATGTTTTTGCGGACAACCGGTATTTGGAAAAGTTGCTCTTTTCAGGAAAAAAAGTGCTAAGCTTCTTAGGTTCTAGTGAGGATTGCTTTCAGGAATTCTTTTTGGTTTCCTTACTGCAGGAGGTCGACTCCAAACGTGCTGGTGAAATCGGCTTTGAAGGATTCGCGTCCCTCTATCATAACCTCATGTATGATAATAAGGTATTAACCTACAATGCAATTCCTCTTTCACCTTGTTGGAGCCCATTGTAATTTGTGTGTGTACTTGTTATTGCAGCTGTTTGCTGACTACTTCAAGCCTTTCTCGCAGGAGGATGCGAAGGTTACTCCGCAAGCCTTCGAGAGGTTTCTTTCGCAGGAGCAGAAGGTACACGAAATGCAATTAGTAGACACGGAAATTTAAGAAGGGTGCTTTCTTTCATCAGAAAATTTTTCATTTTTAGAGTAATAAAATTGGCCCCAGTTTTCAATCTACAAACTCAAGACCCTCATGCCTCTAATTTGAGTTAGAAAGGCTTGCTGGTCACTAATATGCAAACTATCTTGAGTAGACAATATACCACATCATGGTAAGACTTTATGTATGTCACCTGAACAATGTAAAAAAACCGAGCAAGTGCCCGCCCAAAAGAGATAATCTTGAGAAAATGGATGATGGGTGCTTGTTACTTCTGAGACAGAAAAGCAGGAGCAGCATGTGGTAGGATGGTTCGACAGAATGGTATAGGAGCAGTATAGGAATCTGTCGGAACCTCTGGCTTTTAAAGCAGATGCTCTGCTCAGCTTGCTTTGCGCCAGTATTCTCGTATCAAGCTTCTCTGCTTTGCACCGGTGCACATGTGGAAAGTTTTACCACTTTGCACCGGCGCACATGTGGAATGCTTCACCGCTTTGCATCGGTGTGGGTGTGTAGAGCTTCACCACTTTGCATCGGCATGCATGTGTAAGGCTTCACTGCTTTTCACCGGTTGTTCTTAAAGGGTAACTGCAAAGAAAAAAAAGTGTTTTTTTAAACAGCCTAGGTGGGACAAGCATTCACACGACAAATCTTCCGTGAACAAACAATTTTTTTTAGCAATATTTACGCCACAGGACGTAATTTAGTTGGAGTCACAACTTCTCCACATTTGAAACTCCTGCTCTTCCGAAGCACGCGGAGTGGCTGTTATACGCCACTCCGTGACGTATAGCAGCCACTACGTGACGTGACGTACAATACCAACTTTGTGGCGTGCAATTTAAAACGGACAAAATAGCCGCAAACCAAAAATCGGTCTAGCGCAATAAATATTGCTGTAAAAAATATTGTTTTTGGCGGAAAATTTTGTTTTGTGACATGTTTGTCCCAATTAGGTTGTTTAAAAATTCATTTATTTTTCTTTGCAGTTACCCTTTAATAAGTGGCTGACGCTGAGGGGCATGTCAGTTAGCTCGGTGGGCTCTAAAAGCTTGCTAAGATGTTTCAAGATTAGTTGCTGTGCACTTATTGCTAAATGGGTGTGTGCTTGGGTTTTTATGCTTTTTGCCTCTGGGGGGTAAAACCATTTGGGTAATCTTTATTAACGGCGAGAGGTTTGGTATCGCTGGCTGGTGGAATTTTTTCTCAACCCAAAGTGAGGATACTCCAACTTCCTCTGCTGGTGCAAGCATGTACAATGTCAAGCTTCTATGCACTATTAGCGTGAACTAGAAAGGATTGAGCGGGGCCACCGGAGGGCTATTTCTGAAGCTCCACATGTGGAAAAATTATTAGAAGGTGCTATGAGCGAAGTGGTTTGGAACCCAGTCCCGCTTTGCCGTGCGTTGCTGCTGATTTTGCTGAACGTCGAAGGCTATTTTGGATAGACTTCGAAGGTTATTGGGGGATTGTCATTGATTTAGGGAAAATCATAGTTCCTGCTGGCATTGTCTCTCGTATTTGCATAAACAGCAGACGCTTGTTTATGCATAAACAAACATCATACTTGTATTTCCATAAACAAGGAGTAAACAAGCTCTATAATATAAGCTCTTCACCAAACACAGAAAATTTTTAACACAGAATGTATTTTATCAGCAGTTTTCTAGGAAAGAAGTGTTGCGTTCCAGCGCTGCGCTTGACCAGCACACAGATCAAGGTCGTAGAGACAATAGAACTCCGGGCTGTATTCTTTATAAGACCTAGATGTCACACGTCGCATCACTACATAACGTCACCATGACCCGACGTGTCGTCACAATGCCATACGGCATCGCGACGATACCTTGACGTCAACTTCATCGTCGACGTCGGCAATGTGTGTTACACGACATCAAGACTGCATTATGACGTCATTTCGCATTGCAAACCAAGTCGATGTCAACGTTGACAACGACGGCGTCCTTGTTGTCAATGCGACTTCATAAAGACGCTTGGCGTCAGGTTGTCGACGTGATGCAACTCGACGTCCCGTCAACTTCACTGCGTCGATGTTACACGACATCAAGATTCCGTCATGACGGTAAATCGACGTTGATATTGGCGAAGGGGGCAACCTTACACAATGTCAAGGCTTCGTCGTGACGTCGTTGTGATGTTGGCATTGACGACGATGTCACGCGACGTCAGGACGATGTTAACGTGATGTCATAGTGGCGTTTGACGTTGCGTGGGGTGTCGACGTCGTCCTCGACGCGACGCGGCGTCACGATGGTGTTACAACGGCGGCTTAATGTCGCGTAATGGCGCCGTTCTCGACGCGACACAATCTCACGACCGCGTTACAACAGTGCTCGTCCTCGACGGAATGCAGCGTTACGATAGCATCATGGTGCCGTGTAACGTCTTCATTGACGACGACGTTGTGGTGTCATCGTAACATCACGTCGTCGTAACGTTGTGTTTTGACTTGACCTCTGACATCAAGATTATAAAAAATTATAGAGCTGTTCTACTTCACATGAAGGTGGAGGACCGGTGAAGTTGTTATTTTTTTTTATGTATAGGACGATGCCTTGACGATGACGTCTAGGACGACCTCAAGGGTGACTTCTAGGACGACGCCTAGAGGACGACATCTAGGACGACCTCAAGGACAACTTTTAGGACGACTTCGAGGATGACGCCTAAAGGACAATGTCTAGGACAACCTCAAGGATGACTTCTAGGACGACCTCGAGGACGAAACCTAGGAAGATCTCTCAAATGACTTCTAGGACGACCTCGAGGACAACCTTGAGGACGACCTCAAGGACGACCTCTAGGTCGACTTCGAGGATGAGGCCTAGAGGACGACTTCTAGGATGACCTCAAGGACAACGCCTAGGACGATCTTGAGGACGATGCCTTGACATGATGACAAGGGATCAGGACCTCACTATCTAATAATGCCATGGAAGGCTGACTCACGCTGGTTGCCCCCTCTTTTTATTTTTATTTATTCATACTTGCCACGACCAATGGGGAGTTTTCTGTCAACATCCGTGGACACATTTTTTTCCCAGATCCTAGTGCATAACAGCTTTGCTGTGAAAACAGTATAGCCCCTAAAGGGCTATAGTGCCCATATGACCTTGACCTGTGTATCAATCGAGCTTAATGCTTGAGGATAAGGGCCAAGCATGGCGGTGGAACCTAGAGCATTTTTCGTGGAAATGAGCTGATAGAGCACATTCTGTGTTAAAAACATTTTATCAATCCTTCGTTTAGTTCGCTGGTTCTAAATTAGACTCGTCGCATATAAAAGGAAGGATGTACCAGGTACGTACTCTGACAGGTGAAACCTTATTTGCCATCGCAATACGAGGTTGTCGGAGTGGCAAAAATTAAGTTCTTCGTCTCAAAATTTAAGCCAAGAAGGGCCGAAGTCTGCTCTTATCATCGCCAACTCGAGCAAGTTGCTACGCCGAAAATCCAGGCGAGCCAAGCCACTTCGATCGCAGCACCACCACGCCAACTTTCCCCATTCTGAGCTTCAACTGGAAGCATGAGTGGAGCCTGTAGCTTGCTCCACTCAATCATTTCTAGTTCGCTCTAGCAGTATGAAAATTCAAACCTAACCGCATGGGTAGCACATGCACTAACCAGAGTTAGGATAAAGCAGAAGCACACCTAGCGAGCTTCTCTCCATGAATTGTAGTAAAAGTGAGGCTCGATTTTTTATTTGCACTGAATTCTTCTTTGTATCATAGCAAGTATTGGGACAAACATACTTTCAATAATGTGCTTTATAAGTTTACCTCCAGCTTAATAGATTCAGGGGACAATTTGATTGCAAGTAGAACCAAAGTCTGGTAGTCTTCCACATGCAGCTCTGCACTAGTTTAAGCTGCTGCTGGCTTTAAGACATCATAATAAATTAAAACAACTATTGTTGCAACCTGAAAAAAAAAAATCGTTTTTTTAATTTGTTTTTTTAAAGGTCAACTTTTCACACATGGTACCAAAATGTGTAGGAATTTATGCATCATGCAGAAAATTCATAATTTCCTTGTTATGAGCTTGCATGCTCTTTGTATAACATGGTTTCTTGCCAGTCTTTCTCTATATACAGTAATCGCCTTGTGACTTTTGCTTTTCAGGAGTTGGTTTGCAACTTCTACGCTAAGTTTATACGTCGGTGAAGATCAAGTTGCAGTATTCCACGTAAAAGTATTTCAGTTCAGAGTAATGGTATTACATACATGCTCTCATCTTTTTTCTTTTTTCATAAATTAGATTATTGTAGAAAAGCAGTGAGAGTTGAAAGAAAGTACAATCTAGTGGCTTGGCATTAATGTTCATTCAGTTGCTATCCCAAACAAAGTTTCTTAGTGTAACATTCTCAGGTTTCTTTCATGCTTATATTTTGATGTATGCCACAATATGTTTCAGGAACCTGCGTTGGAAGACGAGCAGTCAATGAGCAAGTTCATGCGTGACTACCTTCAAGATCCTCTTCGGGATGCCCAAGAGCCTTACTTCACTGTTCCTGAGGTCTGCGCAATATCCTTATTCTGAACTGATTAAGTGTCGTGCAACTGCGATCACACGCTGTTTACTCATGTACAATGAGACTGGTCTATGAAGTAAGCTTTCTTAGATGTTGATAAGGAACTTTGTTTTTTTTCTTGAATCCTATAGTTCCTGGACTTTCTGTTCTCGAAACAAAACGAAATATGGGACAGCAAGCATAACCAGGTGAACCAAGACATGACGCAGCCCCTAACGCATTACTGGGTGGCATCTTCACACAACACGTAAGAGGACAGTTCTCACCTGTGCTCGCTCCCTCATGTTCTAGACACCATTAATTTTGCGTCTGCTTTGTTTTTGCAGGTACCTCACTGGGGATCAGGTGAAGAGTGAATCGTCTACGGAAGCTTATGCCAGGTGTCTTTCCATGAGCTGCCGGTGTATTGAGCGTAAGGCTATTTGGAAACATTGTTTTGTCACAGTTAAATTCAAGTCACATTTTGCAAATCTACTCATGCTCCATTATACTGCTTTTGGGCTTTTAGTGTTGGTTTTATAGGCAACAATCAAACATAATTATATTCTGTTTTCTTTTTAATTTTGGGCAGTCGACTGTTGGGATGGACCTGATGGAATGCCCTACGTGTACCATGGTCACACACTGACAACCAAGATTAGGTTCATTGATGTCATCAAGGCTATCAAGGAGCACGCCTTTGTCGTGTCAGAGTAAGTGTCATATCTTTATCCGAGCATCTGATAAGATGGATCAATTTGGTAAATTGTATTTGTAAGATGTAACCTGTTGCTAAACTTATAATTTCGAAAACTGATGTCTACATAGTGTATTCTAATACTGGGCTGGTAGATTATCTGAGCAAAGAAATGTGGACTGTAAACATTAATCTCTCACTGTGAATTGTAGGTATCCTGTCATCTTGTCAATTGAAAACCACTGCACCTTGCCACAACAAAGGAAAATGGCTAACTTGTTTCAAGAGGTATTTGGAGGTAGGTCATTCCTTAACAATAGGTACACAATCTGGTGGTTTTAGTATCCGTGAGTGAACAGTTGCATAACAGTTACATAATCAGGACTGAGTAAATGGTCCCGATTGGTTTTTGGAACACATTCTTACCTACAGGGAGTATGCTGGACTTCGTTGGCCACAGCATACAAACGGTTGCCATTCCATACTGCTAGCTCCACATAGCAGGGACCCCCAGAAATGCTGTGTCATTGATGTTGGTGTGGAACTCATTCTGGAAGAGCATTTTTCAATGAACCGGGCATCTGTAGTGTTTGATGAGTAGTATCTTCTAGGGGTGGCTGTTTGCGTGTTACAGCTGACGAAGCCTGGCATATTGTCGAGACCGGTTATAACGAAATAACGGTTACACCGAAGCGATCACGATTTCTCATTCCCTTTTGTACTTCGTTATAACCTAAGTCGGTTATAACGAAATAGCGGATATAGCGAAGTGATTTTCAGTTCCCATTGACTTCATTATAACCGGTCTCGACAGTAGTTAGTGTGGACAAACCATACATACCAGAGCGTGGCATCTTTATTTCTTTTCTTAATATTGTACTATAATTTGCACACATTAATACCATACTTCTCATTCTCAATCCTTATAATAAAGTGTCCTCATTGCTCAAATATTTTTTTTTTTTGTGCTTCAGAAATGCTTTTGACACAACCTATTGAACGAGACGGCACTAGGATGCCATCACCGGAGCAACTGAAACGAAAGATTATCATCAAGGTAGGATGACCCTTTCATCTCTCAGCCTTGCCAAGGCCAACATTCCTTGATTCTTGTTTGACATTTGCTGAAATTAGCTTCTGTATATATATACCACACACCTAATGTATTGTTTTTCTTGTGTTTATTATAAATCTGCTAAGAATAAATACTTTTATTATAGTCTTTTCCTTTATAATGCAAGATATTCTGGTAGCACCACTGGAATATTTCTTTTATGAACACTTTTACTTGCAGCATAAGAAGCTCCCAGAGGGAACAGATGAAAAGGTGATCGTCACCAGGAGTGATGAAGGTAAACTCTTTTCCTTTTTCTCTTGTTTTTTTTTTTTTTTTTTCATGAACAGTATTTACAATGCTTTTCATTTTCAATACCTGTACAGGAGGTCAGGAGACCGATGTCAGCAATGCTGTCAAAAATGGAATCCTCTTCCTTGAAGATCCGGTCGACAAAGTAAGTTTGACTTTGTCTTTTGGAAGTCCTGCTAGAACCTGCCAATCTTATGGGCTGTTTTGGGTAAAAGAGGCTTCTTTTCTGCTACCTTTTGGAACACTTTAATGGGACACTTTCTTTGGGCCATCAGATGAGTATCTAATATTTTTTCAGAGAAATTGTTGTAAATAAATTTGCTGATTTGTAATGACAGGTAATGACCTTAGTTTGTATTGTTTCGGCACTTTCGTTCCTTGTGTTTCACACTCCTTAGGTGTAGTTTTTACAGTCGACTTCTTTTAATTCGACCTTGACGGGACATGCGGAAATGGGTCGAATTGTCCGAAAGTCGAATTAAAAGATGCGTGCGAAATTCGTAATACCCAGCGCTTTAGAATAGGTGGACTAACTTTTTCCGATGAACCATTGCACATTGCCGCATCGTGGTGTCAGCGGCTCTGTATGTCCTTCGCGTATTCGGTGTGGTGTCAGCAGCGGTGACCGTCGGCCGGCGCCGCCACCGCTGGTGCCCTTGCCATTGCAACGCTGCTGCGGAGTGGTGCTCGCTGCTCCGCAGTGGTGTTTCAATGGTTGTGTGTATCGGCGCCGCCACCGCCGGCAACCATTGCAACACCGCTGCGGAGCAGCGGTGTTGTAATGGTTGTTTTGTGTTGAAACCCGCCATGTCCCGTGTCTCAACATGTTCACTCGTCGTGCTTCAAAATTTGAAAACTGGTTTTTTCGCTGTTGGGCGCGGAAGATGGCGCTTGTAACTTGCCCACTGCATAATTCGTAAAGAAAAGGACAGTTTTTGTGTGTCACGCATGGCCAATCGTGCTTGTGACTTGCCCATTGCCGGTTCTCTCTAGGTCGAATTAACTAATATTTTATATTTCAAGATTGAAATAACGAGTTTCTTTTTCTATAGAAATGTATGGGCTTTTACCAGGACCTTCGAACAGGGTCGAATTAACGCAAGTCGCCTGTACCTTGGTAAATAAGTACTAAAGATAAAATACAGCTGCAGTCACAAATTGGCCGCATAAATTGCCTGTTTTGCTACATTATTTTCTTGAAGAGTTTCTCTTCCCATCGCCACTGTGCTAGGGCGACAAAAAACTAGGTATAACATAACAAACAAGTGGCATGTTAAAAAAAAAAGTATTCTGTTTGTGGTGTTCTCTTCTGTATATTGTTTTTTCTGTACAGCAACGAGAACTAAATCAATTATGCAAAACTGCGACAAAACATTGGTCTGAAGGTTGCCTCTAGATTACAGGAATTCGATACATGCCAATGATTTTTTCGGCACAAAAATTTGAATGGAGCACTCGGAACATATGGGAATGGCCATGCTATCACAAGCAGGCTGCTCTAACATTTAGCTACTGAAGATCTCTGTTGCTTGCATCCATGTCACAGTCAGCATTTTCTCTGGGAACGTGGAGGGTAGTTCAGTTGATCCTGTTCTCTCGACAGGAGTGGCGGGCCCACTTCTTCATGCTGACTCAGAACCGGATGTACTATGCGGAGGAGCAACAAGCCCAGGATGAAGAGGACGAGGGCGAAGGTGACGGCACTGGGCTACAGCAGCAGCGTGAGGTACTGCACTGGGCCACTTCCTCAAAGCACAGCAGTGAGGGAGTTACCGAAGCTCTGTTTTAGTTGGAAGATGTTTTGTACGTTGTTCTCAAACTCGTTACCTTTAAATTGGAAATTACTTCCTCGCAACGAGACCCTTGGAGTTAAATAGCTTGAGTATGTTATGTGCAGCAGCCAGCTTTTTGTCTTTGGCAGGGCGTGCCGAATGAGGAGCTTCACTTCGGGGAGAAGTGGTTCCATGGAAAGTTGGCCGGGGGCAGACTCAAGGCCCAAGAACTGCTGCAGCAGCACTCTCACCTCGGGGATGGCACCTTCCTGGTGCGGGAGAGTGACACCTTTGTGGGCGACTACTCCCTTTCGTTTTGGTGAGTTGTGCTTGAAGCTGTTTTTGATTAGTGTTACCTGTTATGCAAATATTCGAAATTTCGAGTAGGTAGTAGTTTCGAACAATACATTACTATTCAATATTCGCTTCGAGATGAACTGCCATATTCATATTTTTTAAAGTGTTGATGAGGTCGGTACTTAAAGGCGTAACCCGTCGCGATCGACAGTTGGAAAAGTATGAATATTGAAATTGCATGCTTGAGAGGAAAGAACATTCTCAGAGCTAGATGGTGCATGCGCACGCCTGGTGTATTTATCCCCTTAACCGTTTTGGACGAGCCTACCTCATGAATGTGGAGCCGTCCCCAAACTGTTCAGGACGAGTATAGCTTGTCTGCTTTCCCCAGTTCACGCACTCAACTGCTTTGGAGGAATTAGACTTGCTCATGTTTTAGTTTGAGGCTCTGCCATCAATAGCAACACTAAAAAAAAAAGTTCAGTTCTGTTTGTGGCTAGAAACTTGATTTTGAAGGCAACAAATATAATCTTGAAGACAACAATTGAGCAGTTGAGGGTCAGAAATTTTCCAAAAATGAAAAAGGTTAAGGGGTTAAAAATAAACAAACTTTGGGATTGTTGATATCTACAGGGTCAGGGTGTCCCCGAAGAAAGGTTTACATTTTTTTTTTACTACAGAAAGAAATTGTGCTTGACGGAACGCTCATTCTCTACCCAAACTAATCCTAGCGGTCCAGACCAGATGCCAAAGTTTCACAACTATAGTAAGTAGTCCGGCCCCTCAGCCATAAATTTCAGAGACCCCTGGTGTAGCAACCGTTGTTATCTCAGTCAAAAGGTGTAGATGATTTTCTGAAAAATTTAATGGGAAAATGGGGCCCATTTGTACCCGTTTTCGGTAACCGGCGCTATATGACTCCATGTATTGTAAGAAATCCATCGGCCGCCATTTTCTCAATGAAAATTTCACAAAATCGGTTATAACTTTTGAATAAGATACTGGTTAATTCTGAAATTTTGACCGCTGGTTCAGACTGCTAGGGCTACATTTGGACGGAAAATGAGTGTTCGGTGATGCATTGTTTCTTTTGGAGGTAAAAAAAACCCTGGAAATATTTTTTTGGGGACACCCTGTACATTGCAGTAAAACTTTCAAAACTAAACTGTGGCTATTATGCAAAAGAGTACATGTTAAGCAGAGATGCCCTGACAACCTGCACTCATCATTCATGATTTTTTTTTTTTTCTTTTCAAATTTGAGATTGAAGAAAGAATATTTGCATTTAGCTAGATTTTTAAATCGACTCATTTAGGCATAGCTGCACATCTCTGTGCAGAGCGGAAGTTTCTTTGCTTCTTGCACAGGAGTTGCGATGATGCCAAAATGCTGAGCTCTTATTGGCTGATTAAAAGAAAAGAATAGTGGGTAGACCTCAAGGCATCTAGCATTGAGGTCTACCCACTATTATTTTAATCAAAGCCAATCGGAGCTCCTCGTCGTTCTGGTGTCACCGCTACTCCTGCTCAAGAAGCAGACGACTTGCTCTCCGCATAGGTTTAAGGAGCAACACTGCTTCTAGAGCTTTTTTATATAACGTGTGATTCAATTCAAATGAAATTTACATAGCTTATTTCCAATTACAATCTGACTACAAGTATGTACTTGGTTTTGATGTAACCTAATTAGTTTTGTTAATATTGAAAATTTCATTTGCAAAGATTATAGGAAGGATTAAGACAAATTGAATTACTAAAATAAAAAAAATAAACATATATCAGTGAACTAAAAGGTATCTGGAATCCAATAAGGTATAAATGAAAGCTCTAGGATGCTTTATAAGCTTTTTAGGACATTTTTGAACTTTTCAGTTTCAAAATGATTTGTTGCAGGATGCCTAAAAGGCACCTAAGAAAAGCCTGATACCCTATTTAATATATTTGTACCCCTTATTGCACATGTCACACATACACCTACCAGAGAAAGAAAAAAATATGAAGGCTAGATATGTGCAAGTGGAGATATGGCTTCCATATAATAGTAAAGGGCATAAATAGTTCACTCAGAAATAATATAAAAAAAAACATCCTCAGATTCATTTTACTTTGTTTCCAAGAGAATATATCAAGATGAGAGAGATTTATTTAAAGAAAATCCTTCAGGACAAGATAAGTGTCTGCCAATCTTTAAGAAACACAATTTCAAAGATGTGTTTTCTTAGCATATTTCTGCCTCAAAGAGCAGTGTCTCCCCTTAATTTTATGTGAAATCCGTCGTTTACTTGCTTGCCATCCCAAGACATCAAGCTTTCTAATGTCACAGTCCATATAGTTAGATTAAAATTAGCTTATAAATGGATAAGTGAAACTTGGCAATAACTTTCATGAGTTTAGCTGAGTTTTCGTTTAGGCATGATGCAGCAGTAGTGAAAGGCTTGAGGAAACTTTGATATTCGGTTAGAAATATTCAAACAAAACCACTATTCACATATGACTATTCTTTAGGATTGTACCACGGAATACCGGTCTTTGGTGTCAGCCGTCAGTACTAGTCTGTAGTAGCAGTCACTTCCACCAGGTGTTGTCTAGTCTATTTTTGGCCTCTCAATTTGAATCACAGCACCTATAATCCCTAGCTTCATTTTTATATTGGTGCATTTTTTTGCATGTTGCATGTAAGTTGTCAAAGAACAATTTGAACGACTTTTACTTTGCCACGTAGTAGATTTAGTGTTTGCGAGTGTATGTAGCTGAGCAGCCATAAAATTGCGTATGAACAGTTGCTTTCTGACTGCAGGCGCCAGGGCAAAGTGAATCACTGCCGGATCAAGTCGAAACAGGAGCGGGGTCAGACCAAGTACTACCTAATTGACACTGTGGCTTTTGACACACTGTACAATCTGATCAGTCACTACCAGACACATCCACTACGCAGCCAGGAGTTCTACATGTACCTCAACGAACCAGTACCTCAGCCTAACAAGCACGAGGGCAAGGAGTGCGTTCAGCTTTGCTCTTTTCACTTCTCACTTTACTGCCCTCTATGTTTCTGATATTTCTGGACTTTTAGGGTTCCTACAGCAATAATCAGGTTTTTCTTTCGTTGACTAGGTGGTATCATGCTAACATGACGAGAACCCAATCGGAAGAGCTCCTCAAGCGGGTGAAATATGATGGCACCTTCTTGGTGCGTCCGAGCGAAAAAGAAGACAGCTGCTTTGCCATATCCTTCAGGTACCTTGGTCAATTTTTTTATTTTTCATAGCAATGCCCATGTTGGAAACCAAGTGGAAAATGGAGACAATGATGTTCTCAGGGCCGAGAACAAGATCAAGCACTGCCGCATCAAGCAGGAGGGTCGCCTGTTCCTGATTGGCACGGCCCAGTTTGAGAGCCTGGTTGAGCTGGTCAGCTATTATGAGAAGCATCCTTTGTACCGCAAGGTCAAGCTCAAGTACCCCGTCAATGAAGATGTCATCCGGCGCATTGGAACCGTATGTAGCCCCTGTTAAAATATGACACCAAATTTAAATTAGTATGTGCACACTACAACATTGTGCCGATGAGGTATGCAAACGTTACAGCATCCCTTCATAGGTGTTTGTGTTTCATTTGACTTGCAACTACATCATAATAGCTTGTAGGGGTCTACATCTCTTGCCTTATGATTTGTGCCAGTCATCGAGACCCTTGAGATAGCTCTCTAGTATATTTCAAGGGACTGTTTTCGAGGCTTTTGAGAGGACCCTGAGGTTTGTCAGGATCTGGGACGGAAAATTTTTGCTACATCCAAAACGTGCCATTTCAGTGTATCATTGTGAGTTTCCCGTGTGCTAAAGGACGTCCATGTGCAGTAAATGAAATTCATTAAGGAAAAAGTTTGCTGTTGTAAGCGGTGCGTACGACAACTGCCACGGCAGTGCTAGTTGATCCAATTCTGCGCTGATGTAGGCACCATTGTGGCGTTTCATTTTGTAACAGGAGCCCGAGGAGAGTCCCCCGCATGCTGGGGGACCCGCGGGGACCTACATGGACCCGGACAGCTTTTCGGGGGCCTCCCAGATGACGGTGAAGGCCCTGTATGACTATCGGGCTCAACGAGAGGACGAACTGTCATTCTGCAAGCACGCCATCATCACGCACGTGGTGCGCCAGGATGGGGGCTGGTGGCGGGGCAACTACGGTGGCAAGCGCCACCACTGGTTCCCGGCCAACTTTGTCGAGGTCCTCGACACGCAGGATGCCTCGGAGGATGGGGTGAGCCGTACACCGATCTTCCCGGTCCTCTTGTTTGGCTCCACTTTGCCTGTGGTGTTTTTTCTTAACTCTGCTATGTGGCTGGTGGGTTTCTCCTGTTTCATTGGGAAGCAAGCACTAGCTGCTTTGCTGGCAAGTTGCAATGCACTACAGTCAAGTGGGAATTCAACCACTTGATATTAGAGGCCGTGACATTTGAGGTTGTCCATTCGTGCAATAATATTGTGAAGTTCGAAGGGAACAGCTTTTTTTTTTTGAAAATTAATGAAAATGAAGCTACTTTTGAAAATTAATACATTGTGAAACCACGCATAAATTAACGATTAATTGAATATCAAATTATTGTCTGTGATGTAACTCGTGGGAAATTATGAGTATGATCCTTTTTTTATTTCCTTCCAACCTTTCTTTTCTTTTGTTCTAGTTTCTATGTTTTGACTTGTTTAAATTCTATTTTTTCTGAGTTTACAGCTCCCTTGCTGTCCTTTCCTCGAAAAAAAAACAACTGTTGTTTACGGAGGAGAAATCTTTGAGGAAGGTGCTTTTTATAAATGTATGGTAGTATATTGAGAAACCCGGTTGTGTTGAATTTGATGCCACCTACTCCCATGCCGTTCATTTGCAGTCTGGGGAAGCGATGCCACTAGGAACCCTGCAGAAGGGCAGCATTGACATTGCAGGCTGCACCGTCGGTAAGTCCTTTCAGAGACGCGCAGATGAGGAAAGTTGCCACCCAAACTTGGCCAAAACTATAAATGAGGTATTCGGTTGGGTAGAGATTGTGTTACTGTCGGACAGTAAAACTATAAAAAAATGTTATAAATGCCACCTTCTATCCTGCTTATAACCTCCTTTGTGTTTTCTCCTCCGAAAAACTTATAATTCTTTTAATTAATAACTCGTACGTGCAATTGTTTGCAGGCTGTTGCTGAACATTTCCTTAATTACTATTTTTGTCCTTAGTTGTACCTAACCAACTTTGTTTTTTTGAGGTGTCTGCATCCTTTGAGGTGTCTGCCCACTTGCCTCGTTGCCTATCGAAACCGTACGTCTTTCGCAACTGCCACAAAAACATTAGTGAGGCTTACTCTCTTCTGCCTATCTTGAATTGCTGCCGTTCTATCGTTAGCCATACCTATACGCAACCGTGTCGAGATCATATTTCATAACCCGTAGAATTTTCACGACGCGTGCGGTAAACATGGTGTTTTTTTGCAATAGCCAAGAAAAGGTGGTTCCTCGAGGTAATACTCCTTGTCGAATCTGGGAACCCCTTGCAGACATCCTGCAGAGCTGGCCGGGTCGAGGACGGGAATGGGTGTTCCGCATCGTGTCGCCCACGCAGCTGGTGCCCATCGAGATTGCAGCACTGTCCAGGGAAGAGATGCACGACTGGGTCCTCAAGATCCGGGAAACTGCCCAGTCGGCCAACGACATGGTGGGTACCTCCCCCACGCTCGCCTCGGGATGTCTCGCCGATAAGTGTCTCGAACCGTGCATCCGGCTCGACTCCGAGTCGAGCCGGAAGCCTGGACGTTCTAATAAAAGGGGACAAAGAATGCGACCCCTTTTAAGTACGCAGAAGGAGAGATCCAAGTTCGACTCGGTTGTGCTTACACCCCTCACCATCACAGATCCAGCAGAGAAGGGAAATGGAACGGAGCTTGAGGCTTGCTAAGGAATTATCCAACCTCATCATCTACTGCAGATCTGTGCAGTTCTGTCCCGAGAGTGAGTAGCCGTGCCGCCCCGCAGAGTCGTCGCACAAATTGCTCGGCCTCGGGCTTGCAGATTTTTGTGTCTCTCGAATGCTGCGGCTCACTGCCCTCTTTGTCTGTTTGCAAACAGGAATCGGGAATTTCACGGAGATGTCGTCGTTCCCAGAAACGAAGGTTGAGAAATGGATAAGTCCTCAGCATTGCTCTTTCTTCCTCAAATATCCTTTTTACGATTGTCTTGTTTCTTCTCCCTGTCTGCCCTGTTTCAGGTATGTCACATAAGTGCATCAACGTGGTCTAGTTTTTTTTGTTTGTTTTTTCTCCATATAGTGGCGATTTAGTTATGTTTGTGTGTAACCTCTGAACGGCATGGTGGGCCTTGGGATAATTTTTTTATTTACACGAGCCTCTTGAGGTCCTTGACTGCTTGGCACATACCACCGACTTCAGTTCAGCCGTGTGTACCCCAAGGGCAGTCGCATTGATTCCTCCAACTATGACCCTGTCCACCTGTGGAACTGTGGCTGCCAGATGGTGGCTCTGAATTACCAGACTCCAGGTATTTGGCTTGCTGATCGAGCTCACTGATGAATCTGCCACCGAGTTAAATTCAGTTTTTGGAGCAACCCAACTTTGAAAGGACTGTAGTGGAATACTCTTAAGGTTCGAGTGGCAGCTGTGATGGGCACTGATTGTGACTGCGTCACCTCGTTTGCAGATCGACCAATGCAGTTGAACCAAGGCAGGTTCCTGCAGAACGGAAGGTAATGTAAAGCTCACATATTGGTCGTTTGGGTGAATGCAACTGTCGGTATTGTTCGTAGGCATTGTTTCAGGGAATGCAGGTTCGGCAGGAATAAAGGAGTATGCAGCGTGTGTTTCTCATGCTCAGACTTATCCTTGTGAAGAGGAAGTATATGTCAGACTTGCGTTATGCTTTGCTGTGCTGTTCATACATTGCATTTGTGAAAGTCGCAAGGTCCTGAATTCCTTTTCATTTAGGTCTGGCTATGTCCTCCGTCCTGAGTTCATGCACGAAGATGGCTATGATCCATACGATCGGACCAGCTTGAAGTCTGTGCACCCAGTCACACTGGCCATCAAGGTAACGCATTATCACCGTTGATATTGTAAGAAATGTATCCCTAATGTAGCTTAGTTAAAAACTCCTGGAACAGTCTGCTTGGGCAATAATGTTAACTTTTACCGGGACTGTTGAGAGGAGGTGTTCATGTCCCAAGATTCGTATCTTGATGACAGGAATAGCATGAAAATTAAAATCACTTCTGACAAGTTAATCCCACAGGGCTGGAACTGTCGGTTTCGCAGTGCTGTGTTTGTCTTTCACTGGTGTTACGTTTTGCAGTGTTACATTTTTTCATAACAATTTATTGACTGTTTTTCACTTATGCTTTTAATAATCGTTCTGCCTTTGGAGTTTCTTGGTGCCTTCCTTCGATGAAAAAAAATCTCGGATTAAAACGTTATAGCTCAGTGCAGTGTTCCGAATTTTCACCTTGAGAGCAGACATGCTTTTCTCATATTCTGTTCAATACTTTGTCATTTGCTCTCTCATTTACATATATCAATTAGATTATTAAGCAGTCTAGTTATTGCATATCCTTTTAGCTATATCTAAAATTTTCTGGTGTTTATTTATGTGGAAGTTTGTAGGTAGTTTTTGCGAGCTATTAATTCTTCAAATATTTCACTGCTTTGTGGGCTTTGCTCTCTCCAGATTTTAAACCAATAAATATTAGTGCAAAAGAAAACTGAACAAATCACATTAAAGTGAATGTACTGTCTAGCATTACGTCAGATGTAACTTTAAACATTAGTTCTCAGCTAACTTCTTTCTCTGTGACATGGCTGCATTGCATCGGAATGTTCCAGGTGATAGCTGCTCGCCATCTCATGAAGTCTGGGCGTGGGATTGTTAGTCCTTTTGTGGAGATTGAGATTGTTGGAGCAGACTTTGACTGCAGCAAATACAAGACGGGGACCATTCGTAAGTTGTTTCTTTAGAATTCATTCTTTAGCCCATACTTGCACCCAGAGGTAGCACGTTGCTGTGAAGAAGTAGTCCGCGATGCTTCAATATTAGCCTACTCCGTTTTACTACATTTCAAACCAGCTAGAACAGCCATGGCCATATTCACGCTTCTGCTGCATGAGAGGGTATGGTGTATGCTCTAACTACATGCTCCGAATGTAAAACCAAATTACGTAGTCGGCATTTTATGCCAGTAAAGCCTTAATAACTGTGGTGGTGATATGCCTTATTGCTTAGGAACTTATCAGCTGCCAGATGTTTAATGCAGTAGGTATAACACTTTGAATGTGGTGCACTCTGTACAAATGGCGTGGGTTTGATTTCAGCGGACAATGGTCTGAACCCGATCTGGAATGAGGCATTCATGTTTGATGTCTGCAATCCCAGCGTGGCCCTTCTCCGTTTTGTTGTTCAGGACGAGGACATGTTTGGTGACCCCAATTTCCTCGGCCAGGTCACCTATCCTGTGAGCTGCCTCAGGACTGGTAACTGTCATGTTTTCTAGTCTTTACTGTAGCTGTTGATTGATCTTTCGCTGGGCAGGTCGATCTCAAGTGTGCCGTAATGTGGATGGGCCACCCATGGGATATAAGCTCGTTTTTGTTGGCAAAAAGGATCCACACGGTGTGCATTTTGACCAAAATGCTTCCCTCTGTGCATGAGAGGAGGAGATGCGAAGATGTGAGAGGGAATGATCACATGTGCGACGAAGCTCTGCTCCAGCAGACACACTGTGTTCCGAATCTTACTCGAATGGATCGGAGATACTCTGGCGGGTCATGTCACATTACAGCACAGATAGAGTAACGCTGGATGCAGGCACGTTTCTTCATGCCGAGGTACAGAACCGTTACCCTAGAGTGAGATCGAGCAAATTTTGGAACACTGCCTCCGTTTTCTTTGGTGTGTAGCAGACATAGCACGCAACATCTCTGGCGTGATTTGGTCGTTCGTTGTGGCTTGTCTGCTAGTTGTTAGTCGTCAAAGCAACGTACAGTCGCAATCCACATGAAAATTAAGACGAGATCGTCAACTGCTTCATACTGGCAATGTCGTGAAGTGGTGGCCATGGTGGTATGCGTGTGTTTTGTGAACCAAGCATGGGCAAGGCGTGGAAACTGCCATGATTGGCGTTCCATGATGCTCCCCGAAGCAGTCGACGATTGTGTGTTTAAACTTCGTATGGATTGTGGCTGTACCCGCTGCTATGACTCGCAGTTAACGTTGGAGCTCTGTGATTCAGCACCGACGCCATAACAATCTCTGTGCAAGTAGCGGACAAACTTTGCCTTGCTTTCTGTCTACCCACTCGGATCTCTCGAATCAGTGCTCAGCACTGGGAAGTTCAGTCATTGTGTCTACCCACTATATTCTTCCAGTCGGAGCGCAGCTCTGTGGCATCGGGACCCTCTGTGCAAGAAGCAGATGAACTTGCTCTTTTTTATATGATTTAGCGCTTTTATCCGTACGGAGTGCTGGTTTTAATTTAAAACTTGGGCATTCACAATGCTCAAAGTTTGATTGCGCCATGTTTCTTTTTTTTCTTTCTAAGGATATCGCAGTGTGCCACTCAAGAATGAATACAGTGAAGAACTGGAGCTTGCATCTTTACTTATTCATCTGGAAGTGTATGCTACGAGGGTAAGTTTTTTAGGTGCTATTGTTTGTTTGAATGCAGAGGTACATAAAAACCAATATATGTAGGAACTATCGACTGTACCTTTTATGCTCCACATCTAGACTGAATTTAAATCACAATAGGGCGGTTGTTCAGCCTGTCAATTTTAGCAGACTGTACACCATACTCTACCGTATAATCCCGAGAGATAGCCCACCTAAATTCAAGAGCGAATCGGCTGAAAATATGGAGTGGGCTAACTTTCGGTGTACAATCAAGGGAGGTTTAAAAAAAAATAGCTATTTTTAGATTGTGTCCATTCCAAGCTTGTTAGGGTGGCAAGGGGCAACGAAGCAAAGATGACTGTACTTCTCAGTCATAAATGTTTGCTTTTATCCCACCATAGCGAACTAGCCGCATTTACGCCGAGGTCATCATCGATCCTAACACTACTATTACTAAGAGTGGGCTATCTTTCGGTGTTTAAATGAATAAAACAAATCAAGCCAAAAATAGGGGTGGGCTGTCTTTCACGGGTGAGGCATCTCTGAGGATCTTACAGTAGTCATTGCAAATGCTGTATGAAACATAATGTTCAGAGAAGTGTTTATGTGACATCATTACTGTGTATAGGGTCCTTTTTTGATTGAAAGAAATATGACATTTTTTTGGCAGCGGAGCTGTTAACGGCTAGTTTCCGCAGGATCGTGTCCCCCGCAAAGAAATGTCGACACAAAACTCCCGTTGTCGCCGTCGCTCATAGATTGCGGTAGCTGTCCAGAGTGTTGTGTTTGCCGGTTGTCCGCTTGTCGCCGTCGCTCATAGATGGCGCAACCTTTCCAGCCTTTCCACTCTGGCTTGGCGACTTGCGGCCAGCCATTACTTCATTCTCTCCATAGTACAGCTTCGCTGGTCTTCCTTCTTCACCAAAGTGGAAAGGCTAAAAGCTTTTTTTTTTATTGCTTAAGTGATGAGGCAGTTTGTTGCATAGCAAGAAGGAAGACTCAAGGATTCATTTCTTGTTTCAAAGTAATTTTTTAGCCCCCCTTCCCTATTTTCAGAATTTTTATTATTATAAGCTTTTAGTCTTTTAGCTTGTCACTTTTACATATTTTCGTGGCTCTATAAGTTTATTGCGCTGGGTGCGCAAAACATATTGTAGCATGCACTAAGTGACAACTTGTCATGTTTGTCTGATCATAGGGAAACCTATAATCAAACCATGTTGATGCATATGTATGAGGCAACTAGGATTCCTTATTTTCTGATTTTTTTTAAATTGAAAGTTCTGCATTTATTAGTGTTTACCTTTGTCAACCGTATAAATTCTTTTAAGTTCAGCTATATCGGATCTGAATAAAAAAATATACGTGCCAAACACAAATATCAAAAGACACAGGAAGTCATTAGTCTGAGCCTGTTGCCTGTCTAATGCCATTAAGCAAGACGATGCATAAGCCAGATGCGCAAGCACCACACTAGCATACATCCGCGAGGCTTGATGATGATAAGTTTTTAAAATGGCAAAATATTCCGCAGCTTGCATAATACGGAATCCTGCTAATCCCAATGTGTGTGTGTGAATTTTGAATGCATTAGAAGAGTGGAGTGTACAATAACTTTTCAGGGGCCTTTTCAGGAGTGCTTGCATTGACGCCGCCTTTGTTTCCAGTCAGTGTCGTGCTCTGTCTGAATATCTGTGCTCCTCCCGTTCCCCCGCTGCAAACATATAAGCGAGTTGTCTCCAGTGTAGTCGGAGGTACCATTAACCACGCCCTTGCCATGGACTCCAGGAGGAAGATGAAGCGTACGTGTGCATCCAGCGACTGCGGGATGAAAGCCGGGAACTTGGGCGTGCGCTCGAGGAGAGCGAGCGTCGAGGCGACTTGCAGCAGGCCCAGGCCCTGCGCCAGCAGCTCTCAACCACTCAGGAACAGCTCCGCACAAAGCACGAGGAGCGCAGGTCTGTCTGCACGGACAGCGGCCCAGCGGTGGCCCCGCTCCGCCTTGTCTAAGGATAGTTTTGGTGCTCGGAGTGGAGTGCCCAATTCTGCTCGTGTTTGTTCTTTGTTTGAAAAGTCCAGCCTTGTGTTGAGGTTCGAAAGCTGAAAGTAACAGTGTCCATTTCTGCTCATGTGTGTTCTTTGCATAGGAGCCTTGCATAGAAGTTTGGAAGCTGAAAGGGTTTCTAAAAAGAAATCAAAATGAACGCAAATTTGTGGCCAGTTGACGTTTCTAAACCCAAAATCACGGTGATTTACTTCAGAAACAGCAAACAGTGGTGAAGAAGAAAGGGAACTAAAAACATACAAATGGGCCCCCTGGTGACATTGCAACGGGTTAGTTACTCGTAAGTGTGCACTATCAGGCAAGCTTTAGCGGTGCTTCGCTGCATTGCGTGCATTAGCTGATACAGTAGACTCTCAATAATTCAAACTCCAGGAAGCCACACATTATGTTTAAATTATCAGAAATTCATCTGAATATGATGCAAGATAAAATTATGATTTGCCATATGAATGGCTACACATAAAAAGTGGATATTTGGTGATTTTCTTTACATAAGCCTACTGATCATAAGCAGGTATGCCACACAAGAAACATTTGTGAAATGTATGACATAAGTTTATTCATCCCTCAAAAATGTTGTTTATCGTGGACTGCTAGGCAGCACATGATAACTCAAAACAAAATTAAGTTTGTTTATCAGTCCAAGAAATTGTCTAATGTGGACTATTAAGCGGGGACACACGAGCGATGAGAACGGACATCGCGCGGCAGTTTTCATAGCAACTTGCGCGGACGCTGTAACGTGGACCTATGCCATGCCACCACGTCACAGCGTCTGCGCAAGTTGCTGTGGAAATTTTTGCGTGATGCCAGTTTTCATAGCTCATAGTGCCCTGCTTGAGCCCCGTTGAGTACGCTTCTCACCAAGCACCGGTGCACTGTGGAGAAGCAACACCCGCGGACGCAAGCTCCACGGGTGTTACCCTTCTGCAGTGCACTGGTACTCGGAAAGAAGCGCACTCAACGGGGCTGCGAGAACAAAAAGTATGAGTTACACGAAAACGCTGTTGAAATTAAGCGGCTTATGAATACATTAAAAACATAGCAGGACAACCAAAATTTTGAAATTTGTTTGAATTTACCGGAAGTATGAAATATCCGAGCTTGAATTATCGCGAGCCTACTGTATAGTACTAAATCTACTTCGATGCACGGTCATACGGGCACTAGCATAAGCCAACTAAAGATGTGACTGCTACTAGAATTGCCAGTTATGACGTCGCTATCTAACAGATTCTTTACAGCCTGTTAATTTAGTGTTGATGCAACAAATTGAAAAAGCCCGGAGGTGTTTCCTTGTCTTGTTCTTGTTTGTTGTCATGCCTGCATTTGCCTATTTTTGGTCTTGCTGCACGAATCCTTTCTATTTAGTGTATGCAATGACAATTTCTTCTCTGTTTTTTTTTGTTTTTCAGCTCTTACTTTTTTTTGTAATTGGAGGCTCACTTCAGCACAGGCACTAAAAGTGCCAAGGACAGGGACATAGTAAAGGTGACGACAACACTGGGTGCCTTGTGTCGTCTTCACTCTGTCCCTGTCCTTTGACGCTTTTAGTGCATAGTGAACCAACTCGCCCAGCTCACTATTTTGTCGCACTTTAGCACTTTGACTTGCATGATTCTGGTTTGCAAGTCGATACAAAGGCACGGCAACTGGAAAACTTGGTCTTGATCTCTGATATGTATGTGCATGGATGTTTCTGGGTAGTCTTCCTGCACCTAACTAGTCTCCTTTTTGAAGAATGCACTAAGCAAACAGTAACTGGTGTTTCTTGTTTCCTCATGACACTCTTTCTTCTCCTCAAGGACCACTCTTGCCTCTCCTTAAGTGACTTAACCTCGATACCAAAGGTTGGTTACCAATTATCTTGTTTGGTTCTTTATCTGACTACTTTTTCCATTGATGTTTACTAACTTGTGCATTTTGAATAGTCATTTCATCTTTTATTAATGTACTAAACGAATTGTAACCCTTTACTAATTTTAACACAGTTGAAGACAGTACAGCCCAATTTAACAATCTAAATTTGAAAAATATGAATATTTAGAACAGCACTTTGTTAAGAGCAGGATTCTACTGTCATATGCGTGGAAGTTTGGGGCATTTGTAGCCACTGAAGCACTTGCTAGAATTGCCTGGAATGGTTCTGTGAAAAACCTGACAAAATATAATCGGGTCAAGACCGTTGTTAGCATAAACATGCAATAGTAGCTGATTTTTCTTCACGAGAAAAATTATGAAAAGGCAGCAATACTATATTGTGTTTTCACTATCTGTGTTGTGCACTATGCTATGTAAACGATTCCAAACTAAAGTATATCACTCATGATGCAGCCACTCTGCAGTTAATTTGGCACTAGATGTAGTCAGATTAGGACTAAAGCCAGTAAGCATTGTCAACTCTAACATATGTGGTCAGCACCCTCTTTCCAGAGAGTTCTGAGAGTCTGAGAGGACTTGTTTTTCAGGTTGGAATTGGAAAGATCTCAGCCTGCTTGATCTGCCATGGGGATCCTCGACAGCACATTTCAACCCGACCGATCAGCCGGATGTGTGCCTCGGTTCAGACGACAGTCTTTGTGTAATTTCGTCCAGTGTGAGTGTTGGTGTGGCATTTTATGGATCAATGCCTTTGAAAAGTTAGCTATTTTTTGGTGCTCTTGCCAGCCACTCAGCACAGATGTCTCGGCCTTTCTTTGTCTTGGTGTGTGTACATAATATATATTTTTCCAAGATATCAACCTGAAGGACCCAGAATCTGGTAGACGCTGACTTGCGGTTTCAAAGACCAAACCACGAGATTGCAGATAGAATAAATTGTTTGTGCCTGGGTTTTAGAAGTAGGCTGTGTAATGTTTACACAGCCTACTCCTAAGGCCTTCTGTCGTGACACAGTTTTCAGAGACTGTGTCTTTCTAGTAGCACAAACGTTTCTTCCAGTTTCACCAGTCATTCCCTTAAATTTACCTAGGGGCTGTTTAACACAATACATTGCTGATGGAACTGTGCATTGTGAAAGGGCTTTTCCATTCACTTCCCATTTTTGAAGGATCTTTTATGCGGCCACTATAAAGTAGATGCACAGTGATATGTTTTCATGCAACAAAATTAGAAGCGTTACTATGTTTGTTACGAGTCATTTAAGGGCAGGGAAGCAATGTTGTCAAAGTTCTACCAGGTGCTACTAAAACAATGTATATAAATCCACTTAATATTAGTAGTCCGAGAAGGCATTTACAGCTTTAGCACACCTCACTACTTTATTACCAGCACGCTTCAGGGAATGAAATCCGGGCATTGTGGAAACATTTCTGAACATTTACAGCTTCATCGATAAAGTTTTATTGGCAAATTGTTTTGTAATTTAATATTTTCATTAATGTGCAGCATTAAGATATGAGATTTCTTTCGCTATTATACTATTACATCTTTGGAACATTAATTGTTGTACTGAGTGTTGCACTGAATGTCGGCCAAACTTTTCTTAAGAAAACTATGCATTGCATAGAAAAACGATTGGAGCCGTATCATTCATTGTTGAGGAGCCAATTTAGTGAGGTTTTAGGATAATCAAGTTTATTATTAATTTCCCACCTTTTGAGTAACATAAACATGATTCCAATGAGAAAATTGCCAACCATCATCAAAAACCACAAAAGCAGTAAATTTTAGAGTGATTTAGAAAATATGGGAAGCATGGTGTTCCACAAAAAGTTACTGTTAAATGGTGCAATGCTGGCAGAGTGAAAATTTAGATAAGAAACGGAAACACTGCGGACGTTTAGAATTTTGATGCATTCTTGAGACCCAGAAAAATGAAGCACGTGCTCCAAATCTTACTAAAATTGAGACCTTGTGATTTTTGATGATGCCCAGCGAATTTTTAATTGGGCTACATGTTTATTGAGACTAATTAAGTAGTTATGCAAAATTAGTAGAAAAGCTTCATTACCCTAAATGCTATATACAGGGCAATTAATTCTAATTCAAAGATTAAAAAAACAAACACGAGGTGAGGGTTAGACGAGTTCTATCTTCACTATGTATTTATCAGGCTCGGCGGACAGTGGATGAGGGTATGATCGTTGCGGTAAGTTGCCTAATTAACTAAAATCTGTTGTTTAACTTTTTAAATATTGGTTTTAGGTGTCATTTTGGAATTGCAGTATTGATGACAATTATTACTAGAGGCCAGACCAATGAACTTTCACATTTTTTTCGCTCAATTTACAAAATTGCAGTGGCTTAGCTCGGTTATGCCAGGATATACGTAGCGTAAGCTTAGGTTCAATTGGTTATTCTTAGCTTTCCTGGTTGTCTAGGATTAGCTTGATTATCATGCTTACCGCTGCTTCCATGATGCACACACGGTATACGCATTATGTGACTACTTCGGGATCCGATGACTCCGCTCTTCTTATTGCGGAGGAGGCGCCGTGTAACCGAGCTTTCGGTTGCATGTCAAAAGATTCTCAGGTGGTCCAAATTAATCCTCAGTCCTCCGCTGGGGCGTGCCATATACCCGTTGTTGGTTTGGCCAGCTGTGCGCCGTGTTGTTATGTATCAAGCAACCAAGCTGCCGCCCAGAATAACCGGACAGCGCGAGCCATGATCTCGAGCGGGTACATGCGCGCGGCGCGTGCATGGGGGACTGACCTAGGCGCCATACCAGTCCTGTCTGTTCCGTCACTGCTCCTCGCGCATGCGCAGCACAGCTCTCCAGGAGCCATGCGAAACTGCTCAACCTCGGTCAGTGTAGCTTACGCTACAAAATTGTGTTTTAAAAGGGCGTTGCAAGCCCTGCCCACGTTGCCAATTGGAAGAGTGACATAGTCGTTTCAGTTGCGTCGTCACGTGTGTCATCAGCGCACCCACCAAGGGCGCGCTACCGAGATTGTGACGGCATGATTGAAATGACTATGTCACTCTTCGAAGCGTCAATGTGGGCAGAACTTGCGACATCCTTTTAAAGCATAATTTTTAAATCAAGCGGAAAAAATGCGGAAGTTGATGTATTAATATATAGGAAACTATTACCTTTCTGCATATTGTAACTGCCGTCAATACTCAAACTGCAACATGACCCCTAAAACCCATAATTAAAGTTAATTAAACGGCAACTCCGGTCAATATTTTAGAATTTGGGATTACGACTGTTTTCAGTTCAGTCAGTATACCTAAATCACAAGGTATATATTTTTTTTTTCGATATTGTGCATAGTTTTCAAAATATCACGGCTCAAGTTTGATTTCGGGTGTCTACGGCAAATCCGGAACTATCTGCTCAAGGGGGATGGCAACAGTGATCATCAGCTGTATGGCCGCGACGTGACGTCGCCGTGGTGCAACGTATGTGTTACAACGTACGGAAACAACTGCAGCACCACTGCGACGTGATGTCGGGGTGCTGTGGTACACGTCGCCCAGTGTTGCTTGACTAAAATTAACCCGCTTGCCATCCACTAAAGAGCAGCTGGTCGCAACTTTAAAGAAGCCGGTTTTGGTGGAGTACACGGCTTCACTTTGACGCAATGTTTCAACTGTAATAGATACAAGGTGTTCCAAAAAAATTTTTTTACAGTGTTTATTGAACCGCAAAAAATAAACTATGCACAGCCAACCGCTCATTCTCTGCCCAAATGTAAAGCTAGAGTTCCGAGCCAGATGCCAAAGTTTCAGCGCAAACCGATATCTTATTCAAAAGTTTTGTGATTTCCTGAAAATTTCAATGGGAAAATGGGGCCCATTTTTGCCTGTTTTCGGTTTATAGCGCCATAGAGCTCCATGTATTTGAGAGCTCTGTCGGCCGCCATTTTCTCATCTAAATTTGTAGAAAATCACTTGTAACTTTTGAATAAGATAACGGTTAGTGCTGAAACTTTGACAACTGATTTGGACCTCTAGCGCTATATTTGGGTGGGCAATGATCACTCGGCGATGCATAGTTTATTTTAGCGGTGAAAAAAAAAAGCGGATGAATTTCTTTTTGGGACACCCCGTACATGGTGAAAACGGAGCTCGTCCAAACTCTCACCTCATAATAAAAAATAAAAAAAAAAAAAAATCTGTTTGAATTAAAATTAAGCACTCTCTATACCTCGGTAAATAGGCTCCTTGACAGTGACTAATACTGTATCAATCTGATTTCTGTATAAGGCATAGTTTTTACACACAACTTTGGGCCAATGTTCGGTGAAGCACCCTGTATACAATCGCAAACAAATTCTGCATTGGGTAGCATGATCTTGGCAAAGTTTTTATTTATTTGTGGCATCTATTGATGCTCATGCCTGTCTGTTAATAGTGTCATTTTGGTGAGTTTACACCAAGTATTTAACTCTTTATTGAAAGAATGGAAAGGTGTTTGTCATAGCTTCTGATGCAGCACTGAATTCCAACCATAACAAATGCTCTCAATTTGCCTTGGACCTCTTTCAATTCGTAAATCTTTCATGGGAACATGTTTGTGTCCCAAGCATGGAAAGGCAGACGTTGCCAAGAACCTTCGATGAGCTTCATCTGAGGGCATGCTTTAGCCAACAGTTGAACCATGATTGTGGAAAGAGCATAGTGAGCACTAATTTTACTAATTGCTCAGGATGTAATAAATTCAATGTGGTTTTGAGGTCAGGTCATTTTAAGAAATATGTTTCAGCATGACTTGTCTAATGGCAGCACTCTAGTGGATTGAAAATATGCGTGCTGCAATACTTAGTGTCTCTGTGGAAAAACATGTGCAGAGTTCTACTGACAAACTTTGGTTTTCTAGCCAATTACTTCCGAAGTATTACCAGATTTGCTGACATTGTGAACTTAGTGTCATGCTGATAACTGAGGAGACAGTCTTCCACTCATGCCAATTGTAACTATATGATAGCTGGGTGCAAGCAAGGATCATGTGGTGGTCTGGGAGTCTCTTATCGTAACAAATTATCTTATCATGAGCTCAAATTAGATTTGTTTGTCTTCGAGTTATTAGTATTAGCAGACTTAATTTCATGCAAACAGGAATTAGCACTTTTTTTTTACTGATTTCAGTTATGCAGTATTTATTTTAAAATCTACATTGTGATTAGAAAAAAAAAAACAGTTCATATTGTTGTGCCACCATATAGGTCACAAAAGTCAGTTATACTATTGTGGTGAGAACAAAAGTAATGGATGTAGAATGCTGCCAGAGAGTAGTCACAAAAAAGGTGCAGCATAGCACAGCTATTTTGCACTGTCCGACATGCAGCACATAATATTAAACCATAAGGGCGCCTTCAAGCATCTTTGTAGTATGCCTCGTAATATGTGAAATATGTTATTTGTGTAAGTTATATTAGTGCTGAATGTAATGTGCAATGAGAGTTACGTGCTCTAAGATGTGCATTTAAAAGATGTGATGTGTAGAGCAAGATGGTAGATGGGGCTTGCGTCAAATGCGAGGTCAGTGCCACTCCAGAATACTTACTGCCAGTGATGGCATTGCTCCTTTGCCATAAGATGTTCCACAAACTACTTTTTGTGTGTTGTATAAACTTCGATGTTTTAAAATTAAGGCATCCTATGCAGGAACGGAAGCAGCTAAGTACATATAGCTTTTCCTTTAGTATACTATTGTTGAGGAGTGACGACTGTAACCTGGATGTCTTATTTTAAAGCTGGTCCTCTCTTGCCTTTAAGCACTGGTTGCATTTGCCCATGGGCATGTTCTCTTTTGCAATTTTTTTCACGGTTTGATGCAGCATTTTTGTTGTGCTGTACCTTCAACATGCCTGTTTGCCTCTCATACCATCATATGCCAGTTTGAAATGTAAATGTTTCATGTTGCCGTTTTTGTTAAAAATATTTATTAGCACTCGTTAAGAGGAAGCATGCCATTTCAAATTTTAGTCTGGTGTAATAAAGTCACTGCATTATGCCTGATGTATTGCAGTCTCACTTTCCATGTGTATTCCTAGAATTCATGTACAGGCTCATACAATTCAATCAAACCCCCAAGTTGCCTCCCTTTCGTTTGAGTCTTGCAACTATAATGGGTACTACTCCTTTTTAGCGGGAGGCAGTGCCTTCCATTTCATTTTCTGCCCTACTTACTACATAGCTAAATGTAGGTAGAAAATAAGTTGCCGCACGGTCGGCCCCCTTCTTGTGCGGCAACGGCAGACTCCTTTTTCAATGTGTGTAGCTCACAACTGGCGGTCTGATGGCACCCTCTGAAAAACGGGGGTGTTGCGATCTTCGATCCTGTTTTTAATACATGGATTGGACTGACGTCGCATTGCATACTTTTGGATACCATGAAAGAGAGAGAGAGGGAAGCTTCTTTTGTGGGAATTTGGAGCGACGGGTTGTCTATAACCTTCTAGGAGGAGAATAGCGACGTCTGGGCAAATCTGGGAGGCACGAGAGGGTCCCGGTAAGGGGGGAGCTCCTTCCCCTCTTCTCTGGTGGCCATCAGAGCACTCTCTGGATGACGTCATGTATAGGAAAATCATTTAATCTTTTTTTTAGGATATTGGAAATCATTTTAGTGCCTCTTTAATTGCAGTCTTAAGTTTTATGCACATTTAGGGAATATAATGTTCTACTTGATATATAATATAGATCTGCCATTTAGAAACTTGAACTGAACAGACCGAGCAAGACATGGCAGAAAGAATGAGAACAACCATAAGGGACAAAAAGAAAAAAAAAAAAAAAAAAAAAACCCTTCTAGGAAACTGCAGCGCCGAATGATCCTCACTGTGCTTAAAACACGTCAAAACTACATTGTCACATGCCTCTCTCCGATGCTCCAATTTGCTCGCTGAGGTCGTAGCTTTCATCGCTTGCCAAGCTGTGATGAAATTATGTATAAATGGTCGAGAATTCAATGCTTGAAGTGGGATGAAGAGAGGCTTTATTTTCTGACAGAAATATCTGACTGCTATACATATTGGACTTGACCTCGTCAGTTCAAGTGGCAGCACCACCCGTGGCAGCACCACCCTAAAGTCCAGGCTGTCCCATTTGCATGCTCTGTTAGGGGGCACAATTTTAGCAGCGAAGGCAGATTTCTGTCAATAGCCCTGTATCACTTGAGCACTTGGACATTCATGGTTCCAAGTGCACACAAGATTGCACCTATGAAGACTGGCCAACATTTAATTGCTTGCCTCCTCTCAAACAGCCCGAACACATGTACCGTCCCCTTATGAATGTCCATGAGCGTGCTCCTCTGCTATGAAAACCAGTCATCTGTCGTGCCGCCTGTACAGTGCCGACTCTATGTCCGTGTCCGTACCTTCGGACAGCGCGTCAACACTGTCAAAGCCCATCAGCACATTGTAGTAGGCCATGGTTTTGAACCTGTGCTCAAGCAACATGAGCCTTCTGTTAGTGTCTCGATCAACCACATTACCCAGCATCTGCACAGACACTGAATCGCGCTTTCCGCCCAAGGGTGCCAGCCCTCCAGGACGACATGTCCTTACTTTCTGCAGTCCTGGGATGGCCCTATGAAAGACCATGCGAAACAGCTGCTGCGATGGACTGTAGTAAATGCGCACGGGAACGTGTGATACCAGATATACACCAAACAGCATGAACACAGTTGCAAAACAACACCCCACACCCAGTTGAAGAGGGCTATCAAAGATTTCCGCCATACTTTGCTGCATTGGCGAAAGTTCCATGTTTGGCTTGGGTTGGGTTGCTTGGTCTGAAGTGCTGAGCATGGTTGCTAAGCTTATACCAGCCAATGCTACACCTGAGGAAGTGCAGCTGGTAAGGAGCAGGTAGTTCTGCAATCCACTATTGTAGATAAGACGATCCTGGGTGGGATTCAGGCCGTCCTTGCGAGCGAAGGCTTCGGGAGATTTCATTTGGAACGGCAGCCATGACCTGGTACTTGCTTGGCGGCAAACTCCAAAGGGCAGCTGCACAAAATCATGGTTCATGGCCTGCACTGCCAATGCTCTCCAAAAGCTGCCTCCTCAAAAGTACTATGGGACAAACCTAACATTTAGTGGGCAGGTACACTTCTAAAGGCTGGCATTTCATACTCCCAAACCAACGGAACATAAGGGACGCCCCAGTCGAGGGCAGAGTAAAGGAATGTTACATGCTTGATTTGATTACACAGTGCCTACAGCAACTGGCCTTGATCTGGGTGTGTGAAATTTGGTTTCAATCTGAACTTGTCAACTGGGTATTTATGAGCAGCTTTATGATCTACCAATTTGAGGCTCTGAATTGCTCTACCGAAACTCTTGCCTTACTATATTTCTTATTTAATAAATAAATAAAAAAAATTGAGGTGCATACCTGTGGACGAAATTTCAGCAACGGCACACAAGTGGTTTTTAGGCAGTGACTGCACCAACTGGAATGGAAAGGCTGTGTGTCAAGATTGGACCAGCATTTCAAAGCTTATGTTCTCTTATATCTGACTTGCCCTGAACTAGATAGGGCATAGCACGCTAAACTCTTGTCTACTCGACTCGGAGCTCTGGGGAAACCATGCATTTGGGCAACCGCTCTCGGGGGCTCTGGACCATCTTTGTCTGTTCTTTTTATTGGATATGCACACTTCCCGAAGGAGCGCACAAACGCGCTTATACGAATCAATAGAAAGTGAAATTAAGCTCATACCGCATGGTTTACTGCTGCGAAGTGCGCCGGCCTTATTTTGTTGAACCTTCGTTCGCCGGCGTCGGCTCTCGCTGCTCATTAAACGAGAGGCGCACAACAGAAGGGTTACTAATTTGTTACTGAAGCACAGCGTTATATGCCCTACCGGTCCTACAGGTCCTACCAAAACGAACCAAGTCAATCGAGTTGCCTGACCGGCTTGACTCAAGCCACTCAAGCTCAAGCCAACCAAAGCCAACGGCAGCGGCAGAAAAGTAGCAAAGCTGGCAAAGTCGGCAAACTGCAGCGCTGGTGGAGGCGCGCGGATCACTCGGATAATGATCACGTGGGTTGTTTCCGTTGTGGCCAGCTGCCGGTGTCCCGTATCCGCGGGAGGAGCAATATAAAGGGCCTTTTTATCCAGTTTTGTACTCGGGTGTTCGCAGCATTCATTCTTTTTTTGACGCTACATTGACACGATCAACGATGTCGGCAAGCAAGCCCCCATACAAGATCGGTGAGTTTTCGCGAGAAACTGCCCTGCAAGCGGGCGCGAGCGTGCACTCGTGATGAGCACGTGTTTTTTTTTTGGCGCGATGAACGAGTGGACGACCATGTCGCCGGTTGACCTCACTGTTTCTTCTTCGACTTGAAGTATTAATTTTCTTCTTCCAATAAGATGCTCCTAAGCAGCCCTGCCGTCGAACCTTTACTCAGTTTTCGTTGTGTTGACAAGTTCCAGCCAGAGATCAATTTTCGTGGACTCGTCAGGGGCTGTCTTTCGTCTGATTCACTCGCTCATCGGTCCTGCATTTCGCACATAAATGTTTTCACTCGCAGAGTAGATCGTGCAGGGAGTCTCCCTTGATTGGACAGCCAGACACAGAAGCGGCTTCGCTTCGTTTAAGGTAGTCGTATATCGTGCACTCGCAGCCGGCGTACCGTTTTAACTTTGGAAGCAATGTTTTTCTGGGATGTGGCTTGTCGCAATAAACCGTGCTGATTCAGTATCAAAGTGAGGATGCGCAGGTTGGTTATACGGTACTAGTACACATATTTAGGGAAAGAATGTCAACAGTGTAAGGCAGAGAAGATGAAAAGGTGGCAGAGTTGGGAAGGCCGTACGTTTCTCCTCTACACCAAAATATTTGCAGTGATCCAGCACTTTAATGAGTGCGACGTCAGGACCACTGCCGAATAACTTCGGGAAGAAGAGAATAGTTATGCGAACAGAGCAGTTTCATTCCCAGTAGAATTGGTGCACTTTTTTTTCTTTCTGAGCCTGCTGTGCACCCCCAACACCATCATTCTTTCGTACGCCTCTTGGGAACGGATAGGTATGGAATGTCGTTTGATTTCACAACGTTCTGTCTGTCAAGCTCCGATAAAGGACCCTTATCTTGATGCTTTGGAGACCTCGCACGCCACCATTTCTGCTGTTTCGTCAAGAGTGATATCTGAGGTGTTCGTACCGTTATCGATAGTCTGGTCTTTAGGGTCTTCAATTGAAAAAGACCCTAAAAAGAAACCTTTTTTTTTTCTTTTTTAGGCAGTCTTGTTGGGACACGCGTGTCAAAAAATAAATTTTACGCGATTTTTTTTTTTATTTTAGGACAACATTGACGGTGAGAGATTTTTTGAAATTCTGCGCACAAGGTCCATGACATCACGGAATGGTCATTCGCTCTACGAGATGGTAATTCACTCTTTCTACCTCAACGTGAAGGTGAAGCCGATCCACCTCTTCTCCTCGTGCTCGAAATGCCGAGAGAGAAAACAAGTGGAAAGGAGGTGACTACAGACTAAATCATGTCTTTTGCCGTCAATATTGCTCTAATTTCTTTCTCGTGTAAAATTATTTTTTTGGCACACTTGTCCCAACCAGACTGTTTAAAAAAAGTACATTTTTCTTTTCAGGGGCCCTTTAAATTCCTCCTTTCCCTTCGGCCAGGCCTCAGCTGAACCAGGACTACATAGCTATGTCTAGACCAGGGTTTAAGGTAGACAGGTGGGGAAACGAGAGCCAAATGAGCGACCAAATTGTGTCCCCCTCGGTTTTCTCTTTTTCTGTGGTGCCATCTATGTGGAGCACCGCAAACTCTGACTCCAGGTGGGCGACCGGTGGCGACCGGCTACACTGACGGTGATGGTTTCTCGTGGATTTTCAATGGAAGACTGTCGTGCTCTCAGTTTATTTTGCGCACTCTCCCATAAAGTTCCATGCAAATCCGATTCCGATTCTTTTTCTCTCGCCGTAGCGCCATCTGTCACAAATCGGGGGTACCCCAAGCAGACGAGAACACAATCCGGTCACGGCACTGCGGTTGGCTTCTATGGGCCTGTTTCCCCACCTGTCTAGGGGGGGAATAAACATTCTATATAGTGCCAAGTCTGGCACTCTTTCTAATGACAAGGTTTAGCACAAGCTTGCATAAGACAATAGACACGTAACTGCAGAAAGTTTAGGGCTGCAGACAATATGTACTGTTAACAAACTGAAGGAAAAAAAAAATCAAGCAGCATCAAAAAGCAAGTTGCTGGGGCCTTTTTTGTTAACGATTGGTTCAGCGATGGTAGAACACTTGGAGAAACATGAACACCATGAGGGTGCATTTTTGACGCTGTGTGATTGGTCCGATCAACTCGTAGTGTCGTTGCATCTGGACTTAAGGTGAAACCAAGTGTAGGAACACATTTCATGCCTTCTTTTTCACAATTCTGTAACTTAAAAAAGTGCCAAGATCTTGGGTAAGCTCTTAACTCGGGACATTTAGTACAACAGCAGGGACCATAAAACATTTCTTGCCTGCTCTGTAAATTACTTCTGTCACTTTTTTTCCCCCATTATGGGAATCTAAAGGCCGTTTTACAGGTTACGGTTTGTTTGTGAAGCTGCATATGTGGGGGGGGGGGTATTGCTGCACAGACACCATTCTCCTTTCCCTACGTAAATTCAAGTGTAGTGTTGCACACACAGCCTTGCAATAAACATCGCCATGCGACACTCCCTTTGGAAAAAGATCAGATTTGACTCGAGGGCCACTTTACTACCCACCCAGTATGTTTTGTTCGTGAGGAAAGTCCATGAGGAAAGTCAACATTTGTACAAGGGACACTTCTGTTCTCTCTCCTGTTACCCACTGCTGAAAACAAAGATTTTCAGCTGAAATAAAGGGTTCTTTTTGCTGTAGCAATCATTTACTCCTTTAGGACTCAAGCTCCCCACGCCTTAATTTATTTTCTTTTTCTCTCTGCATCAAGCTTTTTTTTTAATTCTTTTAGTTCCTTAAAAAATTATAGCAAGTTTCCTGTTACTAGATGAGTTTTTTTTTTTTTTTTTTTTGTGGTTTGCAGTTGACATTCAGCACACGTTTCGCCGGGCATCACCAACAGCTTGCTTTCCAGCTGCATCCTCTGTACCCATTTATGGCTTCATCCGTTTCGTTTTGGCACCACATCCGTTGCAGCTAATATTATCTCTACACTTTTAAAAAGCACCTTTGTCATTTAAAATCATATCTGTTTTGTGTGGCATTTGAATTCCTAATAGTTTTCTCTCATTTTGCCTATCCAGTGTTGTAGACTTGCTAAGGGTAACATTGTAGTCTCCAGAAGTCTGACGACAGAAGTCCTGCAAGCTAGTTCTATCTTGCAAACTCCAAAGGATTTATTGCTTAATGTGTCCCATACTCAGTTGTAAAAAAAAATAAATAAATAACACTGCTTTGATTTTTAATTATAAAAAGAATACTCCCCTGCATTTATTTAATTTAGTGGATATTTCTGATAATTTTGGGCAATTGTGGATTCTGTTTGTCGATGCACACTGGTAAACAACTAAATAATATCAGTTTTCTTTTTTTTTTTAAATGAGCCAAATTGAGAAACTGAAACTGAGCCAATTTCGGCTGAAGTTCGGAGTATATCTGGGGAGCCCATCGTTTCCAAAAGGTATTAACCTGAATTCTGTCATATTATGCGAGGGAAACCAAAGCAAAGGCGGTCGCGGCACAGGGCTCGGAGCTAGTCCGATAAGCACATATTCCTGTTTTTCTAGGCCTGCTTCAGATGTTGAACAGTGCCCTGCTCATTTTGAAAAAAAAACAAAAAAAACAATTGTTGAGCACCGGATGGAACATGTTGAACAGCGACCTGCACTGCAGGTGGATAGTGTCGCTACACAGCTGTGCCTGTACACTGCTGCATTCCTTCCCTTCTGCAAATGTTTAATCTCCTTTGAAAAATACAACTAAAAACTGGCAGGTTGTGTGCCCTTGTATGCATGCTCATGCAGTTCTTGCATGTGCTGCCTCTACTATGGATGACTGCTGTTAAACTCCTACATTTTCCGAGTGGCAGACTTTGCCCAGTTTTGTAAAGTGTTTTTTTTTTTTTTTTTTTAATGCTATTTTGTGTTGACATTTGAACTTGGAATATTTTAGAAATAATTAGTCTTAGCCCCATCTCCATTAATAAAAATAACAGAATACAATAATTATAATTTTGATACCCTCTGAATCACCTCAATTGCGTTACTTTAAAAAAACATTTGGGTGCGTGGAATGCAACAACTAGTGATGGGCTGGATTTTTGCCGAATTAAAAATTCGGCGCCGCATATTGGGATTCAACACAGAACTTTTGCCAAATTTTTCAAAAGATTCGGCAGATTCAGCAAAGATCCATTGGTAACAGACTTGACTTTGATATTTAATTCTTTTCTGGCAAAAAGGTTTTTTTTTTTTTAATTTTTTTCTTAAATTGAAAATGTAATGCATATTGACAGTTGTTACTAAATAATGTGATATTCTACAAGATAATTGTATCGGTGTCATTTTTGTGTGTTTACTGGCAATTTTACAGCGGCTTCTTGTGGAAGGGGCGTGACGAGGTTAGGTGGTAGTGCGTGTAGTCACGAATCATGATGCAGGAGTTTCGGTCTTGATGCCTCATCTGCGCAAGCCTGAAAGTATGTGTACAAATAAAAGCAATAACACTGCATTCTTACTTTCTCTGGGAGTTGCCGTCTAGTACGCGAAATTGAATGCAACGGTTGCTGAGCCTTCACCATAATTGATAACAATATTATTGTAAATACACATGTCTTTTTGAGTCGCATGACGTCAGCTTTGCATGAAAGTGTGCGTCCAATATTCACAACGTCTCGTTTTTAACCTTTAAAATGCCGGTTTCTGATGTTAGGACACACAGACGTTTAGGAAGATGGGAAAAGTTAGGAATGTCGGATGTGCAACGTCGAGCACGATAGTTAAAACACAATATTATTTTGTTTTGGCACAAACTACTTGCGAGCCGAAAACAGGATCGTTATAATTGCGAGGAGTGTTTTAAATTAATTTTCAATGTTTCAACTACCTCATTGCATCACTGGAAAGGTCAAATGGATATGACGTTATCCAGAATGTACCGGATCATTTGTCACTTGCGCAGTGGACTATGTAAATTACTGGTGGTATCTTCTGTTCTTGAGACAGTAAATATTGAAGAGAACTACACTCTCAAAGGCTCACAAACGCACAGTTACCGTATTGCCTGCTCTATGCCTCGCCGTAACCGCTGGTTGACACACTGTACGATAATGACCGCACGGTGTCCATTTGCAATCCATGGCCCCGTCGCATTCTCGCGCATGCAGACAAATATGGGGCTCACAAAATGTGTCCTTTTCACATCTGCCACACATCATCTGGTAAGCCTTTCATAGTAATGGGATGCACTTTTGCCATAAATTAATTTGCCAGCTCATTACCATTTTTTTATGCCCATAATAGCCTAGTTTTTGGCGCATAGTAGTTCGATAAAATATTGGCGAGGGCGCACTACACTGGTACTTGTTTTGCATAGTCCGGCACTTTTTCTTCTGCATTGGTCTGTTGCTTTCCATTGCTGCTAATCGGTGGCCTCTAATGGGTTCCCCTTTATTCCCCGTCTTGCAGCCGACATCGGCCTGGCTGAATTTGGGCGCAAGGAGCTCGTTATGGCAGAGAATGAGATGCCTGGGCTGATGGCTCTGCGTCGCAAGTATGGGCCGTCCAAGCCCCTCAAGGGGGCTCGCATTGCAGGCTGCCTCCACATGACAATCCAGACTGCAGTGCTCATCGAAACCCTGATTGAGCTGGGTGCCGAGGTGACTTGCCCTTCCCACAGTATCGACTTCAATGCCTGCTGCACCGAGGCCACCGGGCGCACAATCTTTGTCTACAAACTGTGGGGCTCGTCTTTGACCTACCTATTTCTCTGTATTTCATGCTTTTGCATTTCAAAGTATGCGAAAGTTATTTTTAAAGTTAAATTCGATGCTCCTCAACCTCTTTGTGCTACATTGTTGTGGCCAACGTGGTTTCTACAGCACTGCTGTCGCTTCTTGTGCGAGTGCGCACGAATGAGGTGCGAGATGAAGCTGCAGCAGTGCGGTGCTGCGGCGGCACTGTGGATACTAGACTAACCTTGGCAGTGTAGTAGAAAAAAAAATGGCACTGGAGTAGAAACCATTCCAAAGATTGCCTTGTGCGTGCTGCCATCTTTGTCTATTAGGCTGTGGAATGCTTTCTGAAAATGCATAGTAGTCCTCTTTTGCAGAGTATCGGACACTGCGCATGCGTCCGTAGCCCAGTCACTTGGCATTTTTGTCGTGGGCAATAAGTGCTGGAAAGGTGTATGCCAGAGGTATCCTAGAAGGACCAATTTTAATCCTAACTGAAATTTTCATGCCATAAGAGACCTTTCCATAGACGTAATTTGCGGTCTACTTCACCGAAGAACTTCTTTTCATATTAAATAATTCATATTGTACCTTTACTCGCATCACCATGCTACGGGCCAGGCTTAAATAAACATGCTCAAACGGCTGGAACAATCATACTAATAAAATAGCTGCTAGTTATCCATTGCTGTGGTGATTTTCAAAGCTGAAATGGAGATTACCGTTGCTGCTTCTCATGTCAGGAGTCTATTACCTCTACTTCGTGTGATATGTAAAGCTGCAATATACTGTCTAGTTATTCTAGTTTTGACTTATGTTTGTGTCCCATATTTTCTAGAACAGTGCTTTTGCAATGTATATAATTTTAAAAGAAGTTTGGCAGCATATTTAGTCCCTTACCCTATGTAGTGTTAAAACACAATTTTCATAAAGACTAATTTCTTTTGTGTTCCTGTAATGTCTGTGATGCCACTTGGAATTTCGGAGGGAGTCATTACATAAGGACTTTTTGTGCATTGAGCTGTGCTGTTTTCTTTTGTATGTCTCAAAGACTCATCTTGGTGCACTTTTTCCAAGTGATTGTTGATAGTATGTGACCTTTATACTAATATCGGGGGAACCATTCTTTGTGTAGATTACAGGAGCCCAGCCTAAACGGGGCCCTTCAACAGCCCCTCTCCTTTATATTTTGATTCTGAAAGCCACCCGGTCTGTCAAGGAAGCTACGAAAGATCAATGGATAGTTCTGCGTTTCCTTCAGGATGTGACAAATTGTTTGTTTTATACAAACAATTTGTCTGTCATGGAAGCTATGAAAGAATAATGGATAGTTCTGTGCTTCCTTCAAGGATGTGACAAATTGTTTGTTTTAATTTCTGACTTCTGTAACCATAGTTTTTCCTTCTTCAACCCTATTTCCACAAGCTTTTCCTCAGTACTGCTTTCCACAGTGCATAGTTCCAACTCCAAGCCTTTGCCAATATCCAACTGCTGCTGTTAATTTGGAATGTGTATTTTTCTTCCCTGGTTTAGTCAAGATACCTAAATGTGCATTATTCTTAAGTTCCTGTAGTTTTGTAGTCTTCTATAGAACCTCTTGCAGTAGCTTCAACAAGAGCTTCAAATATACTGTATATAATAGCCAATATCGCTGTGTTCCTGGTATTGTATTCAAATTGTTTCCAGGTCCCTTCTGTTCAGTGTATTCAGGATACTACACGAGCAATTGTAAAGTTGTTGTGTGAAGATTGGTGTCATTAGTTGTCTCATATTCCCTCTCTACTTACTGTTTCTAGGTGCAGTGGTCAAGCTGTAACATCTTCTCAACTCAAGATCATGCAGCTGCTGCAATAGCCAAGCGCGGTGTGCCTGTATATGCCTGGAAAGGAGAAACGGAGGAGGAATACATTTGGTGTATTGAGCAGGTACAGCTCTGTTTGGCTGCAGTTTGTGTGTGTTGGATTTCATTGTTTTGTCCCAGCTTTTTGCTGCTTGTTTATTTCTATACATATCGCCTAAATTATCCTTTCAGACCCTTGTGTTCAAAGATGGACAGCCACTAAACATGATTTTGGATGACGGCGGTGACCTGACAAATCTCGTGCTCACCAAGTACCCTCAATATGTCTCTGGTGAGCCTTTCGACCATAAGCAATTGCTTATGCTCTTTTATATTGCTGTTCAGCAATATGGTGCAACAATAAATTTCAATCTCTGCTGCACCAGGCATTCGAGGTGTGTCCGAGGAAACTACCACGGGTGTTCACCACCTGTACAAGATGAAGAAAGAGGGCAAGCTCACGATCCCTGCGATTAACGTCAATGACTCTGTGACCAAGGTTTGTACACCTGCAGCCTTTTCGAGATTGTTTTTTTTTTTTTTTTTTTTTTTTATCTCTGCCCTAGGTACCTTGATATGGTGCTTATTTTGCTGGTCTTGCAATATGTCTGTAGTTTCTTAGTGCAAAATTCGAATTCCTTGCCACTTTCTGTTTAGCCGACATACATAATGGGCTTGCACTGTGTGATGTGCTACCCTTTGCACCAAAGGTGTTGCTATTCATTGTCTGTCCTGTTCAATAAAACGTGCAGATGTTCAATGACCAGCAGAAATAAAACCTCCCGCGAGAACTAGTTTGTGTATATTGGCACATTCATGGACGATATGAACAAGCCCAGTCTGGGCGTGGCTTCAAAAGACCTCCAGTGCTATTTAACGGACAAAAGCACTGCTATCATTGAGGCTATTGTGTGAACAAATGGCATTTCAGCGGCAGTTAAATTTTTCTCATTACTGCCCACTTAATTGGCAGACGATTGCCAACACCGATGTGGTAGTGTTCAATAAAATAAAATAAATACCGCTTATCGTCATTTATCTGCAACAATTTTATGGTTAAAATAATTTGCATCGCGTCATTTTTACATTGTTTATCGTGTCCCGGAGCATAGAGACAACTCCTTCATTAAAAATGTTGCGATTCCGCTGCATAATCGCAAAACAAAAGTCGAGCTTTTTCCACCACCTGCAGCCGCGAGTGGCGGCCGAAGGAACTACGGCGAGAAGCTTACGTGACCTCGCTTGGCTCTAAGCTGCAGTATAACGCCCGCTAATGTCAGCAGAGAGAGGGAGAGGAAGCTTGCTCCGCGAGAGCACACGGGAACCTACACGGCACCTCGAATTATGTCGCTAGGAGTGCGACCAGGTGTGCCTCTGAAGACTGGGAGTGAGTTGGAGGGGTGCCAGGAATGCCAATATTTATCTTCTTTTTTTTTACACAACAACTAGGACACGCAGGCGAAATAGATTTTCTGTTTTTTACTTCAGAAGTGTCAGAGAGCAACGTCCACAAATTTTTTACTGAAGTCCGGAAATCGTTGCACCCTCCTTTAAGGCAGAGGCTCCTGTGGAGAAAGCCAAGGTCTCTGCACTTCTTGTTGAATGTATGATGTACCGTATTTACTCGCATATTGGTCGATACGTCGTATAGGTCGACCCCCTAACTTCGGGACCCCCGAAAAAAAAAAAAAAGTTGAAAAATATAATACCGGGATTCGCGTATTGGTCGACCCCCCAGTTTTGATGAGGCGATTTTTGAAAAACAGGTCGACCTATACGCGAGTAAATACGGTACTTGGAGGCGGTGACGGAAGACGCAAGATGCATATACCGCTTTGCAAGCTGACACGTGTCTGGGCTGTAGTCATTGAAAATCTACTTGAAGGTAAACGTTCGGCAGCCCTCTGCCTGGTTAGGAATAGACATTAAGCAAAAAATAGGGACTCCAACCAAAAGGGATCAAAAACTGATCGCTCAACCTGCTTACCCGGCGGATTCAGCCACACTCAATTTCATTTCTTGTTGCTAATCAGCATGAACTCCGTGACAGCGGTTCAAGCGGGATTGACGACAGGTATTGAACGGCCGCTGTAACCTTGATCACGGTAGGGCTTCCTTCAGATAGAGAGGGCGGCAGGCATTGTAAGCCACGTGCTCGCCTGGACTTTTTCATGTTGCCCACGACTGCCCTTCTCGATATCTATTTGTATCGCGAGCATATCCATGGTATCCACCCGCTTTCTTCTAATATCCACTAAAACATTTTTTTTTTTTTTCTATTTAATTAGTAGTGTAGAATAGTAATATGTTAACCCCCCCCCCCCCCCCCCTTTTTTTTTTTAATGCGAAAGCATTAACTGGGGGGTGGGGGGGGTCCCATGGAGCGAGCTGACGTCATCAGTTTGAAGCGCGAAAACTGCAGCTAATTTCCCTGATCCCAAAGGTTCCATTGGCAGGCGCGCATCGACGGTGCTCCTATTGGCCGCTGCGCTCATCAGTTTCCACGACCGCTCACCTCATGGCGCTGCGTGTCTATTAGCGCGCCGTTAACACTGAGCGTCCAAGGTCACCAGAGGAGCATGCGCGCTGACCGGCAACTAAAATTGCGCAGCAGACGAAAAAGGAAGCAGACGAGTGGCTCGCATGCTTTCTCAATCACAACTCATAAGAAGTGCTTAAATGTACCTGGAGTTTTTTTTTTTTTTTTTTTTTTTTTTTTTTTTTTAAAGGGTGTTGGTTTAATGTGTAGTCTCCTATGTGAACTCGATCATTTTAACGCTTCACTGGCTGCCTTGTAGCATGGCAGTGTGCATTGACTTGTTTTTCTCGAATTGTGGCCTCAAACGACCCTTTATCCCTGGTACCTGTCAATGTTTCCTTTGAAACCTCGGACCTGCTTGGTCAAGTCCAAAGCAAGCTTTCCTTGGAGATTTATGCTCCACATCGTCGTTTTTCTCCCCAACATGACGTTGGAATGACTCTTCGATACACCCTGGTGCTAAATCGCCAATGCTGTTTCTGTCCCTTCCTGCAGAGCAAGTTCGACAACTTGTATGGTTGCCGGGAGTCTCTGGCTGATGGCATCAAGCGGGCAACTGACGTCATGATTGCTGGCAAGGTGGCTTGCGTGGCTGGCTTCGGCGATGTCGGCAAGGGTTGTGCCCAGTCGCTCCGTGGCTTTGGTGCCAGGGTGCTTGTTACGGAGATTGACCCCATCAATGCCCTGCAGGCCGCCATGGAAGGTGTGCCCTTTGGTTTATCTTCCTAGCATTTCTGGGACTAAATAGCCTATTCATGTATTTGCAAATGAGTAGGCAGGATGGAAAGGGGGAAGTGGGGGGGATTTCTAAATTGCAGTGGTTGGAATGGATAGCTTGGAGTACTAGACCGATTCTCTACATAGGGGTGACCTAATCTCTGCTTCCAGGTTATGAGGTAACCACAATGGACGACGCCGCTTCAAGGGCCTCCCTGTTTGTGACAGCTACGGGCTGCCGTGACATTTTGCGTGGCGAGCATTTTATGAAGATGCGCAACGACTCTATTGTTTGCAACATTGGCCACTTCGACATTGAGATTGACGTGAAGTGGCTGGACCAAAATGCCGTGGAGAAGGTCGAGGTGAAGCCACAGGTGAGATATTGCTTGCTGTCATTTGTTTTCTTACAAGAAAGCTAAAACACTTCTTTAAAAAAAATTAGATGGAGGTTGATTCTAGCGTAGTTTTATCCCGTGAATTTTAATACCACGTTCGATTGCCCAAAGATGTAACTGCACGCGAGAAGACTCTAAAAACCTCCGGCCAGTCGTGACATTGTAAAAGGATCTTTCGGCCGCCAAGCGCGTCTTGCTCGAGTGCCGCTGGTGCAATTGCAAGTTTGCCAGGCATATTCCTCCACACTGCTACCAGTCGTAACATCTTTTTCTCCCCTTTCTAAAAATGGCAAGAGTGCATGTGCATAGCTTTGATAGGTGCTGAAAATGCAGAGATTCCGAAAACTCCTTTTATGACGTTGCGCTCTGGGAAGGAGCGTCATCAGCGGTACTTTTTAAAATGATTTTTAAGTGTTTTCTCAAATACAAAACCGCTTCAGCTTCCCTTTAAAGGGTACCCTATCTTTCTATTCATAGGCCATTCATGTGCAAGGTTTTTCATTATTAAATGTTGATATTTTGTGTCTATACCTGAATGAACATTGTTGACAAACTCGTGTTTCTGCAGGTGGATCGCTACAAGCTCACCAATGGGAACCACATTATCTGCCTTGCCCAAGGCCGTCTTGTGAACTTGGGCTGTGCCATGGGTCACCCATCTTTCGTCATGAGTACCTCCTTCACCAACCAAGTGCTTGCCCAGATTGAGCTCTGGACCAAGAGCGACCAGTATGCGGTGTGTAGTGCTTGGTATTCTGCCCATGCTCTGGACCCTTCCATTCTCACCTTTTTCTGTTGCATAGTCTCTAGAAATTGCATTCATTCTGCTTGGTTCACTATACAGGTCTTTTTTTAGTCTTTTCAAACCAACAAATAATTAAAAAAAAAAACTGCAGTGGAAATGGAGAATTGATACCTTTGCGATATCTTTACGCACCGCGGTGGACATCGGGTAGGGAGCGTAAAGTGATGATTAGCAATTGAATTACCTAATGTTCATTGATTCACTTTAATATTTGCTTCAGCTAGCCCATTCTAGTTAGAAATTTGTTGTCTGTCATAAAAATGTGTCATAGCAGTGGTTGGAATTCAGACAACTAGATTTTGCTCCGCGCTATTTGGCGAAGTTGCGTTGTCAAGTTCCCGCCATGCCAAAACTAAGAGAAGAAGAGCACAGAAAGCGGAGCTGCTGAGGAGACGGCAGAGTATGGTGCGCCTTTTCGATGACCACATGACCCTTATCAGCGTGCAGTGATTCGCTATCCACATCATCTGCGGTGGCTGACATCGCTTCCCGGTGAGACTTCTGCCGCTGTTTTTGCATCTCAGTATCTCGTCTGCCCACGGCTTAAATTTGCCAGAGAATAGCGCAGAGCAGAATTTTTCTGTATGAATTCTAATAACTGCTATGGCATATTTGATGACCAGCAACACATTTATAATTAGATGTGCCAGCTGAAGCGAATATTTAAAAAAGTGAATTAGTGGATTTAAGTAATTTGCTAATTTACACTTTACTCTCTCTCTACCTGACATCCACCACAGTGGGCAACATTATCCTGAAAGAATAGGTTTTCCATTTCCAGTGTCTTTGTGGCTGTGTGTAGCGAGGTGTATTTTCTGATTACCTTTTCTTTTTCCCTGTGCTGTTTGCCTGTCAAAATTACCTTGTTGGAGCTTCACCCTGTGTGCCTTTCTTCAATATCTTTTCCTCTTTTTTGTTTCTTTTATTTAGCTCTTAACTTTCTGTGACATTTCCAAAGAGGAGTGCATGTGCACAGCTTTGAAGGGATACTGAACTGAAATTTCGAACTCGCAAAACAGGACTGGAGCGATAGGTGGGACGCTGCAGAACCCAAAAACGCCACTCGTACAGTGATATCTCCAACGGATGGCCATATTTTTGGAAAAGAAATGTGCAAATGAACACGGCTGACGAGACGTGCGACGTCGCGGTTCTCATTCCCTCTCCTCGCTTTGTCCCGTCAAGCTGGTAAACGAAAGCGAGGAGAAAAGAAGCGAGGCCTCTTCCCTTCATTCTAAACGGTTCCAGGAGGATTGTGACGTCAAAGTTCTCGCTTGTTCGCGCCTTTTGTTTCTAAAAACACGGCTATCCATTTGAGAGATCGATGCATGAATGAGGTTTTGGAATTCGTAGCGTCCCGTTCGACGCTTCTGCGGCCTTATTTTCAAAAATCCAGATTTAAAAAACAAAACCAAAGGGAAAAAAAAAAAAAAAAAATTTTTTTTTTTTATACAGTTTGGGTGGGAAAGGATGCCTTAAAATGAATTTACAACTAACAAATATATTTTAGAGCTATATTTACGGCGCAAAATTAATTTACGGTCGGTGCCAGCGGGAGCTGCCACTGGTTACGTGGTACACCTATGCACTGCCACACTGTGCCACTGCTAGAGTCCCCAAAACCCCACGCTGAACGTAGCGCACCGCTGGTTGAACGCGTTTCTGCACACTGCCGCGACCGCCGGAGGGAACACACTGGCTCGCCACCGCCGTCAATTTCTGGCTGGCGGACAGGTTTATCACGTGGTCCTTGCGCTCTTTCGGGAGCTTCCTTTGCGCTCTAAAAGTTGCTTATTGATCTTCGTTTTTTTTTTTTTGTTGTTGTATTTTAAACGAAGATTAATAAGTAACTTTTAGAAACCATAGGAAGCTCTCAAAAGAGCAGAAGCACCACGTGACTATAGTGGCCAGTCACGTGACCAGAGCGGTGGCTTTTTCGCTGCCTCCCGCGGTCGCCAACTGCAAATTCGTTTCGCCCCGTAAATATGTTTTTTTTTTTTGTTTTTTTTTTGCTGTAAATTTGTTTTATGCCATCGTTTTCCCGTTCATGCGTCCTTTAATCCATTTCTTGACCACATACTGCCATACCTTTGACTGCAATCCCTGGTTGTAGTGCTTGTAATTTTGAACAGAAATTTTTATTTTAGGGCCTTTGTTTTTTGGCATTTTCAGGGTTGTATGAAGGAAGTTGTTCCCTATGAAGACTTCACCTATTATAACAGCAGTTGAATTCCAGTTGGATTGGGGAGATATTATAAATAAGTAGCATGTATACCTAGACTTAGGGGGATCAGTGGCCGAGTGGGCTAACGCGTCTCAGCGTGGAGCGAAAGCATGCGCTACAAAACCTCCTGGGTTCGATCCCCGCCCTCTGCCAGTTTCGATCTGGATGAGTTTCGTACCTGCACGTGTTCGTATGATCACTACTGCATGGTGCACGTTAAAGACCCCAGGTTAGCGGTTGTACTGCACTTGCTAAATTTCTCCTCTACAGCTGAGAGACTAGTCACCCATTGAGGCATACCAACGTCAATGCTGTCTAAACATACAAGTAACACAATTTCTTTTTAGCTAGACTTTCTGTTGGTGCTAGAAATGTGATTTTTGGTTTGGTAGTGACTATGTTGACTTGCACTTTCAAAATAATTTTCAACATTATTTTGATGTCCGTGACGCCACTTCCTGAAGATGTGAAAATATTTTCAAAAAAATTTTACGTCCCCCGTCAAAATATTTTTGTCATTATTTCGACATCTTAAAGGGATGGTGAACTGAAATTTGGATTTCAGAAGAACAATGCAGGAAACGTAGGCGGGACGCTACAATCCCTACACCACTACTCGTAAGGCGATATCTCGAATGGATGGCAGTCTTTTTGGAAAAGGAGGTCGAGATTGAACCAGGCCGACGAGGCGCGTGATGTCAAGATACCGAGTTTCCTCCTCTCTTCGCTTCGCTCCCTCAAGGCCGCGAGGCGGAGAAGACGCGAGGCCGTTCCCTCTCCTTCTCGGAGAAGCATGACGACACCATCTCTGTCAAATGCGCCTCCTTTTCTTGAAAAAATCGGTCATCCGTTCGAGATATCGCTGTATGAGTGATGTTTTGGTGTTTGTAGCATCCCGTTGCACGCTTCTACCGCCCGTTTTGTGGAATCAAAATTTCGGTTCAGCATCCCTTTAAGCTCAGAACTTTGGAGCTTCCGAGTCGAGCTTTTGATCGAAAGTGGCTGTCAAAAAATATAACCTTGCGTCGAGATTCGACACACATTTTACGAAAACAAATGTCATCAGTAGACTGCTGATTTTGACCTTCTAACTGGTATGGAATGCATACATAACCTTCTCAAAGTACATAAGCTATCAGGGCAAAAGTAACATTTGCTTGGTTGTGACAAACATTACAGAATGCGGCACCGCTGCTTTTTATGATTTTTTTTCACAAGATTTATATAGACAAAGGAGCTGAATGCCGTGCCATAAAAGTTGCAGTTGATTGGAAAATGCGTGTATCTCGTACAGCCGTGCCAGAACCTTTGTTCGTTTGCATCGGTCAAGAAACATCAAGGAGGCAGTGTTTACATTCACATCCTTTTAATTAACATCCCGGTGGTTTCGTAGTTAACCCGCTCGTTATACACAAACCAAACAAACAAATATAAACTAAATGACGAACATGCGACACTCCAGGTAAAGACAGGGTGGGAGCCAGATGCAAAGCGAGACTGCAACCATACAGAGACACGCTCGCATGATATGGAGGCATAAGAAGCGTGCCGAATTTCTCAGTGTTACGTAGTGTATGCACTTACATTTATTACATGGGAAGCAGAGGGATATCCAGGTTGCCTTTGTTGTATATTCAAAATTATATGAAAAGTTTTTTTTTCTCTAAGTGAGACGTGTGCCGAAATGACATGCGAGGTCAGAACGCTTGGAACATCGCCGCCGGTCATGGCATGCCCGAAAGGATCAACTGTCAAACCAGTCCCACACACACGCTGAATAAGCCATTTCACTGTCAACTAGGACCGAAACTTCTTAGGCTTGCAACACATGAACCTCGCAAAACATCAACACAACGCCATCGGGAACTAAACGGAACAAACCATGAAACGGCTACCACTGCGACGGCTGCATTGAAAAAGGACGTCCAAATAATAAAGCCAGTATTTTGGCGTTTTACGGAAGTGACGTCGCGGACATTGAAATAATTTGAGAGAGATTTTGACGGTGGACGTTGAAATAGTTAGCCTTTTGATTTATTGCTTGCCAAGGCAGTCTAGTGTGAAAATATACCTTACATTTGGGATATTGCATTATTGTCCAATTGGTTTTTAAGCCTGCCTCGAGAGCTTAGACACGGCCTCGGTGCACTTATGACATCAGTCGTGAGAAAAGCCTCGCTTCCGTTTTTCAATAAACACATAGATACTGCTTTTTATTTTTTATGGCTGTTATACTTATGGCTACAAGAAATGAGTGCAAGGGTGTTGTTCTTCCTCCTGCATCGTTTTTGTCGAGGGCACAAGAGCATCATTTGTGCTAGCCTGAATGCAACTGCCTAAAAGTGTTTTACGTCCCCTGAAAGCTTGTACAGACACTTGAATATATCTGACTACAAATTGCCTCTCTGGCAGGTTGATGTCCATTTCCTGCCCAAGAAGCTCGACGAGGAGGTGGCTGCCCTTCACCTGGATCATCTGGGTGTCAAGATGACTAAGCTGACCAATGAGCAGTCCTCATACCTGGGTATTCCATCTGAGGGTCCCTTCAAGCCTAATCACTATAGATATTAGGATGATTTTCACTTCCTTCGTGGTGATGAGTTTTTTAATCGCTGCTTATGTAATTCTGGATATAATTTTTGGGAATAAACTGGTGCCATTGGTTTATACCCTCGCCTTCTAGAATTCTTTGGGTGGTAGCCAGCACCTAAAGAACAAGGTCATTGTGCCGAGTCCTGTACCAGGCAGAGATTGGCCACTAGTGCTGCACCAGCTTTTGGCTGGAACCTGCGTCCTCGCTACACAAGCCAAAGCTGAATGCTAAAGCACCGCTTGTGTCCAATCTGTGCTCTGTGATTGGCCTCCAGTGGGCGACGTGGAAAATCTAGCACTACGGCCTTTTTCTGTTCGGAAAGCCCTTCTACCCCCTTTCGTGAGTGGAATATTGAATACCTGCCTCATCTGTACGAGACTGAATTGTTGGAGGGACGCCACAACTAGAATGGCACTACTTAAGAAGGTAGGGTGAGGGAAAGGAAAGCCGGGAAGGAGGAAGCAGACAAAATGCTAAAGAGAGGAGGTACCCCCCCTCCAGCATTCCATCTGCTTCCTCCTCGCCGGTCTTCCTTTACCTCGCCCTACCTTCTTGAGTTGCAACGGACTATAGTTAATGTGATGAAAACTTGCCGCCCTTGTGTTCGGCCAGTGTGCTCAGTGTTGCCAATGATCTGTCGTAGTTAGCATCGGGGACATAAATTGTAGTGAAAAGGCCCCGAGATCTTCAGGCTTTCACCATGTATGCTGGTGCTGTAAATTCGGGGCAATATTCTCCAGGATCTGACAATTCCCATCTTGGTAGCTCGCGGCGACTGGCGTTGATACTAGCTATTGAGACTGCCAGGCATTTTGGTTTGCTCTTGGGCCGATAAATGCTGTTGGCTATAGTCTCTTACTTTTCTTCTCGTGTACACCCTGTTTCCTGTGTTTGGCACTTCCACTTCCGGCAGCCAAACACTGCCTGCTTTGCTGGCTGGTGTTGCACGCTCGGACGGTTGTTGGGATTCTCTTAGATCCGTAGGGCACTTAGTGCCCACAAAATAAAACCGTTAAAACGTGTTTGTCTAACGGAAGGGTATCTGGCACGCCCCAGTGGAGGACTGAGGATTAATTTCGACCACCTGGGAATCTTTTGACGTGCTACCGAAATCTGTTGCACGCTTTCTTCTCCGCAACAAGCCTCAGTCAGATTGTAACCACTTTGGCTGGGTTCAAACCCGCCATCTGGGGATTCATAGGCAGTCGCTTTGCCTTAGAGTAGCTAAAGCCCTAGTAGTGCAAATAAGTGAACCTAAACACAAGCAGGCTCATCTCTAGAAGCTGCCTTTTTTACTCTGCTATTCTGCCAGCATTTGATTGGCATCTGTACTAGTGCTTAAAGTCTTCAACCAGTAGCAGGGGGTCTCTGTTAACGACCCTCCACAACTGAGCGAGTTTAAAAGACTGGGAGATGGGCGTCAGTCGTCGAGCTCGACCATCCACTGCAGCCGTAAGTGCAGCTCCGCTCCTCTCCAGTGATATAACTGCCTGGTTCCATCAAGTGAAATTCTGGTTGAAAATTTATGGCATACCAGAAGATATCGCGCTGCCACTGCTGATATCAAAGCTACCTTCCAAAGACTGCTCGGATGCAGTTCGAGAACAACATGAAGTTGGCATTTTGGCAGCACTATAATTTAGAAAGCCCTGTCGAAAACCAAAGAGCAATGTTTGCTCGGAGGCAGCCTCCAACAGAAACATGCATGGAGTATTCTGTCTAGAAGCTGCAGCTGATATACTCCCATTTCATGATAACTTGGCAAACTGTGGAGGCTATATCCCCTGTGAACCAGTAAGCGTTTCTGAGCAAGTCTTGTGATAACACTCCATGGTCGAGGCCACGGAGGCCTCAATACCGCCACAGTAACAGCGCCGTTGGCAGCAAAAGGTAGCTCTAGGTTTCTTTTTCTTTAAACAGCAATAGACCCTTTGCAAAAATCCCAAAAGCCTGCATGTACCGTGCAACGAATTGCAAGTGTCCTCGGTACGCCCCTCCCATCGTCTTTCCTCCAGCTACCGCATGACATATGCGAGCAGGCACAGGTTAGCAAGGCAACAACACTCGAGTAGCCGAGTTGGACTAATGCACGGAGAAGGGGGTTGAGGGTATTGCATTGGCTAGCTTGCGAGGCTGCCCCTTTCTCATCCCTCTCTTTTGTACCGGCTCTGTTGTCTACTACACCCACACAACGCTTTGTCGAACCTAGTCGAACCTTGCCACGATTGCGATGCAAAGTAAGTGGATTCGGTGACATAAGACGTGAAGGTAAGTAATGACACATTACATATTCAAATAAGTGAATAGCTTCACCTGTCGTGATGCATTTACGCTGCCACAGGTATAGTTTTGGTTTAGGTTCATAATCACAACCATGGCTGCTGGTGGTAGCTCACGCGCAGTCGTGGAGATGCACCGAGAAAGTGTGTGATCTGTACCAAGGGTTCCAAAAATCCCCCGACGTCATGGTGCTGTACGTATTGCAGCAGATATATTGAAAGTTGGTTTGTTTTGCAGCAGATGACTCTTGGCCAGCAGACGACGGCCAGTTCCTTGGCGCAGCGACACACACGCTCCCGTGACGTGCTGTCATGTGCCTCGCTTCAATGCTCTTATTTGGTCGTAAATGCCTCCACACTTAGACAAGTTATCGTGAAACGTAGTGTAAAGGAATTGCAGAAGCGAAAATGTTAAAGTTTTGGATGCTCACGAGGATACAAAGGATGAACTCTGCTCCTTCTTCAACACTGAGCAGCAACAGCAGCCAAAGGAACCCAGTCAGGGACAAGCTGCTGTGTTCTGAGAATGACAAACCATGACCAAGCCATACCAGCCCAAAACACTTGCCAGAAAGATGCAGTCCAGATCAAGACTCAATGGAGCTCCCATCAGAAAGTTCTTAAACTTTGCCTGAATCGCAAGCAGGAAATGCATTTTGCTACATAATGCCCACAGCCTCTGATGCATGAATTTTTTTAATGACAATGTGCATTTCAAGCTGTGCCTAATGTTGCAAATGATCAGAAAAACTCCGGTCTTGTGTCATCAGGGCCTGCATTTGCGGGCGTTAAATGGGTTCCTTCATTGAAACCCTTCAGCTAAGTACAGTCTTGGATTCGGGTCCCACAAAAAGTCTCACGATTGAAGCCATTTGCCGAAAACTTCAGGCGACACCTTTAAACTCTTCCCTTAAACTAGTGGGAGCAAATGGGCAGCCACTTGAAAATATGGGAGAAGTGAGTGTCTAAGTCGCAGTGGACGTACAGTGATTCCGACACTTTTATGGTTGTTTCACACTTAAAAGAAGACTTTTTATGCTCATCAAGGGCATTTATTGACTGGAGTACAAACAGTCTCCATTCAGGCTGAAGGACCACTCAAAGTATATGCGACTGCCACACAAGAGATACGGCCCTTTCCAGAAAGGTGATAGAAATAAATGTTGGGAGTTTCTACGAGCAAGGCAAGCATCGAGGCCCTTTATGTGTCAAGCTCTAAAGCAGCGATTAAACGGTACTTGTTGGAATTGCAGCCGACACTTATCGACGCAGGAACAAGTATTTTCGAACTTGGAACTGCAGCCGACACTCATTGACACAGGAGCAAGTATTTTCATACTTTTGACGATAAACTCTTCTCCGAAGCCATTCAAAATCCCCGCGAAGGCGTTCTTGGGCATAGCAGAAAAAGTAGCAGCTGTCGAAACAATGCGGGGTGCAAGTTCGTCTGCTTCTTGCACAGGGGTTGCGATGATGTCGGAGCACTGAGCTCTCATTGGCTGATTGAAAAAGATAGTGGGTAGACCTCAATGTCAGAGCGCTGAGCTCTCATTGGCTGATTGAAAAAGATAGTGGGTAGACCTCAAGTCATCTAGCATCAAGGTCTACCCCCTATCCTTTCAATCAAAACCAACCAAAGCTCGGCGTCGCTCTGACGTCGCCACAACTCCTGCGAAAGAAGCAGACGACTTGCTCTACTCATAGACTTATCTCCAACTGAATGCGAATCAGTCCTCCAATGTTACAGTTTTCGGATCCAGAGAACTGGGAGGACGCTGCAATAGTTTGCAAAGAAACCCAGGAAGTAATAATGGATGGTACGAGCTTTAATGTGGGAGCCACTGAATCCTGAGGAGCTGGAAGCTGTAAAAAAGCTGTTGGAGGAATACCATTTTAATTTTGCAACAGACACTGCACAACTCTGGTCTTGAAATAAAGAAGCATTCTATTCCCACTGGTGATGCGAAACCAATAGTTCAGTACCCAAGACGGATTTCACCTGGTCAAAGAGATCTGGTCGTGATAAAATATCCGATGGATGAAAAATAATTCGATATCGACAAGAATATGTGTGTAGACTACAGGAAACTTAATGCAGTAACCGAAAACGTCATCTACCCCCTACAACTTAAGATGATGCTCTTGCGGCATTAAGTGGAAGCATATACTTTTTGCTGTTGGATCTTTCAGGATTCTAGCAAATAGAGCTGAACCCTTACAACACTTCTTGACAGCTTTTGTTACGCAGCGAGGGCTGTATGAATTTCTGAGAGTGCCGTTTGGATTGAAAGCAGCGCCTGCGACGTGTCAGCGAACTGTAGATGCCATTATCGGTAATCTGAAGTACTGCAACTTACTAGTCTACATGGATGACCGCATTGCGCAGTACGTTTCAGGAGTACATCCCACAACTCCGAGAAGTTTTTGCATGTTTTGAGGCAGCAAATCTCAAGTTCAAGCCTCGGAAGTGCCAGTTTTTTTTGTACAAGAGTTGCTTACCTTGGACATATTGTCTCCCAGAAAGGCATTGCACCTGACACAGAAAAGCTTGGTGCTGTAAAGAGATTCCCTGTTCCTCAAACAGCGGCTGAAGTCCAGTCATTCTCAGGTCTGACGTCACATTTCCGAAAGACCATTTAAAATCATAGCGCCATTGCAGCCCCCTCCCTCCCCCCCCCAGACGGCCTCTGAAAAAAAATAACGCCTTGACGTGGGGTGCTCTACAAGAACATGCCTTCCATGAACTAAAATATGCGTTATGTAAGCCTCTTGTCTTGAAGCATTTTTTCTGAAGATCCCAAATACAGCCTCCAGGTCTACAATGATGCTTCAGTCGACCTAGACGCCATGCTCCTCCAGGAAGCGAAAGCCGGAGACTACAAGCCTGTTGTGTACCTCAGCCATTTTTTTCATAGAGCAGAAGAGAACTACACCTCCACTGAACTCTAAGCTCTTGTGGTTAAGTGGTCCTTGGAGCAGTTACGTCCTTACTTAATGGGCAGAAAGTTCCAGGATGTTGTGGATCATCATGCGCTATGCTGGGTTCTTTGCTACAAGTAGGGAAACCAGCACTTGATGAGATGGTCTCTTCTACTGCAAAAATTTGACTTTGAAGTTGTGTACAAGTCTGGCACATTTCACACTGCCCCCGACTGTCTGTCTTGTGCTTCAAGTCACAGCTGTTTGGAAAAAAGTGAACGGACTCGCACTTGCAACGTGTTTGCTGTCATGGAGCCAGATTTAAGTATAAAAAAATATGTAGGACCAGCTCACAAATGATTTCTTTTATGCTTGGCAAAAACAAAGCGACCGGAAATACGTCACAAATTTCATGGAAGTCAATTCGGAGTGCACATAGGGATCCGACAAACCTACGAGAAAATCCACAGTAAATATTTCTGGTCTCGACTGTACCTGAATGTACAACGGTTCATGAAAAACTGTGACCTTTGTCAGCGCATGAAGACGACTACCACGTGCCCTTACGGACTCGTGCAGCCAATTAAAGTCAATGCGCCATTTCACACAGTCAGACTCGACATAATTTGACCGTTTCAGGACTCCCAAAGGTACGAGTTCATCACAGCAGCCATAGACAACCTCACGAAATTTGTTGAGGCGAAGGCTGTTCGTAACATTGAGGCTTTGATGGTGCAGAAGTTCATAGAAAGGATAATTATCCTCAAGCACGGATGCTCCACAGTTACCGTAATATCCCGAGTCATCGCCCCACCCCCTGCCTCCTGAAATTCATAAAAAAAAGTGAAAGCCGTTTACAACTCCCTGTAATGCCGAATTAGAGCGCAGCTCTTGAGGAGGAGGAGGGAAGGGTACTGGGGGGAGGTCAAGTGACCTTGGAGGGGGGGGGGGGGTGTCACGTGACCTAGGGGGGTCACGTGACAATGACGTCATCAGTAACGATGACGATGCGGATACCGATGACGTCATCAGTGACGTCACTGATGACGTCATCAGTGATGCTGACGATGGCGATGCGGATGCCGGTGATGTCATCAGTGATGATGACGATGACGATGCGGATGCTGGAAACGTCATCAGTGACGTCACTGATGACGTCATCAGTGATGCTGACGATGGCGATGCAGATGCCGTTGACGTCATCAGTGATGATGACGATGACGATGCGGATGCCGGAAACGTCATCAGTGACGTCACTGATGACGTCATCAGTGATAATGGCGTCATCGCATTGTCATCGTCATCAGTGATGATGACGATGCGGATGCCGGTGATGTCATCAGTGACGTCACTGATGACGTCACCGGGGGGTCACGTGACCTCGGGGAGGGGGGGTGTCACGTGACTTGGGGAGACGTGACTTTGGGTGTCACGTGGCCCTGGGGGAGGGGTCACGTGACCTTGGTTACGCCGACGGCGACGCCGCTCAAGCCGGGAACGGGCCCCTAAGAGCTGCGCTCTAAAAAGTGGGGTGGGCCATGTCTCGGCGGATAAGCGCAAAAAGTTTAGAAGCTAAAACACCCATTTTTTGTACATATCTAGAACGGCTGCTGGATATGTACAGAAAAGTCAAATTAGTTTCATTGTTTTATACAAGGAATGCTCATGAAAGAATATTTTACTATCGCGAAGTCCGTTGCTTGCATGCGTGTAATGAAAACTGCCTATCGGCACGTAGCGTGAACATTTGTTCCGTGAAAGCACGGTTCTAACACCGCTATGTTCTCTATGTTAGTAAAAAAAAATAAAGAGTCGAGAAGAAAATAGAAAAACTAACCAGTGGTGTCACTAGGATCAGTGACACCCAAGGCAATAGCCCGGCGCGACACCGCAACACTACCCTTGAAAGAAGTGACGAAGAGCAATCCTGGGGGGAAACGGGAAAGCCGGCAATCACGCTGGCAAATACTTTTGCGTCAGGCAACAAGTTGGGCACCTTGTGAATCACAAGGAGCAGGCTCTTGTGCAACTTCCTTGTTTGGTGCACACACACGTGCATCCGTGCGTGGTGTGCTATCAACACGAGTTGAGGTGCGTTCCTGCGTGGCGTGGACGGCACCACGAACACGGAGCCCAAAATGGGACGCTTTACAAACATCTGTGTGCGGTGTTCTAACAAATATTTATTTACCCGTTGACTTTGTCTCAAACATTGCACAACCTTACTAACCGCAGGCACGTTCTGGGAAAATGACTGGGTATTTGTGGTGACCTTGTTTCGGTGGATATGGACTTTGAACTTATATCTTGAACCTAGCTTACACTCTGTGGTCACATTCCAGGGCATGGGGCGGTCGGTGACCTCGCAATCCCTGAATGGGTCACTGCTTGTGTTATTTTTCCCCGACTTCTTTTTTTGTTAAAGTTGAGGCTTGGGCGAGTTGGTACATACTTCGGAATTAAAACAGCGCGGAAAGACTTCTTTGTCTGGTCTTCGTCTTTCCGTGCACTTCTTTGTCTGGTCTTCGTCTTTCCGCGCACTTCTTTGTCTGGTCTTCGTCTTTCCGCGCTGTTTTTACTTCTTTTTTGTCCGAACAAATTTTTTTGTAAGCAAAACAGTTTCATTCTGTTATCTTCGTTGTTTTCCTTTTGCACGCATGAACTCAGACTTCAGGGTCGCGGAAATTGGGAAGGAAATGCGTAAACAAAGTCTTTCCCTCCTTGGTTTTACTTTGTCACGGACGTCCTCCAACTGTAAGGTCCGCAGCTGCGTCATTCGGGTAGGATGAATGTTTGCGGATCGTGGATTCCGCGTTGGGGTATTTGCAGGGGTGGGCGATCACTCTGTGTTTTTTTTTAAAAACAACATTTGCCCCAAAAAGTGGGGTGGGTGATGACTCGGGGATGGGCGATGACTTGGGATATTACAGTAGTTACAGACCGGGGCACACAAATGACTAAAAGATTGACATTCGACTATCTCAAGCACCTTGGTATACGCCACGCAACAACTATGGCATATCACCCGGCTGCCAACGGCCTTGTTGAGCGATCCAACAAAACACTGAAACAGATGATGCGAATCACCACCTCTTCTGGAGAGCAGAGGGCCGATGTTCTGCCTTATATGGTGTTTTGCTACAACACCGGATACCAGGACACAACTCAAACTCCAACCTTTTACCTGCTGCATGGGCGTGATCCTGTTTTCTCCTCGGATGTGGTCTAGAACAGGAAGGAGCTGCAAGGACTGCAAGCAAGCTTCGACAGTAGAAGGATAAGTGTATTGGACTTGTGATTATTGACCGGGACAATTTGTGTTTTATGGGTGTCTCGGTGGGACGAATCATGCTTTGTGTGTACATCTCACATGCTGTTGTTTTTTTTTTGCATAATGTATACATTGAGTCAATGTAGTTTTGAGGGGCAGCATGTGACGAAGGAGCGCGATCGAGAAAAGGAAAGAAGAGGAGAGAGCATGGAGATGGAACGAGTATCGACTGATGAAATACATATCTAGATGACCCAACAAGCGACGTCACATGCTAGCATTGCGCCATCAGCAAGATCGACACAACTCGCAGGAGACCGAAGCCTATCCCATTGCCACTCCATTCCGGGCCAAAATGCAACCAATTCTATTCTCGTTCCAATCCGGAATCATTCCAACTCCCTGCACGCTACATTTGTTAACTATGCTGTGTATTCTGTTGCCCCCTCACCCCACAACCCCCATTCCTTTTCTCCCCCAGGGCAATGCAGGTATCTCACTTTATGGTCTTTGATCTCAACAGTACCCACCACTCTTCGGACGGCAAATAAATATCACCCGTCCATCTCTCCTTCAGGGTGGGCTTGCTCCTCCGATGGGGCAGTGAGGGTCCACATGGAAGGTCTAAGTTCATAACAAAAGACAGCCGGTATAAATATTTGCTGTATTTTCTCTTCAAAAACAATGGACAGCTGCGTGCAAAGGACACCATAAAGCCTGCACATGTGAGAGAGTCGAGGTCATGTCAGCAGAGAACACGCTCTCTCGTATAAATGCTGGACCATTCACTTTGCAAGGAAGTCGACGGACAGTCTCTATTCGAGCCATATTCTGCACATGTACACCAGGTGGAATTAGCAATGGGGTTGATGCCTGACCTCATCATCCTAGGACAAGGTTTCTCCTTTTGTGACCTGAAAGAGAGAGTAGGCCACATCATTTCAGGTCACTAAATGTGGAATGCTGATGCCGGTTATATACACCAGACTTACCCTGGCCTCCAAATACTCTATTCTTCTTTCCAGGGACGTAAGCTTTTCGTTTAGGGTTGCGAGTCGTGCTCTGCATGACATGTCTGCAAGATAATAAGGTTGCTTCATATGCTGTAATTACAGTGCTTACCAGCACACCACACAGGTTCTATTTTAGTTTAGGGCTTTTATCGGGAGGCACTCACTTGATCAAATGACGTTTTAGCGAATGCCCACGTTTCACCAAATGACACTTTAGCGAATTGTCAGTTGCCGCGAAGCGGCGTTAACGGGTGGGCCAAGTGGGTGCATATTTTTGTAATAAGCCGCTGCAGACTGTCGTTGCAAAGTGGTGTAAGCGCAGCGCAGGGGGGTGAGTTGATACGCGGCACCGTTATAAGCTTAAACATTGATTCCACAAATGTCGCTGTTCGCTAAAATGTCATTCACTTATGTAATATAAACCAAGCTTTCATCCTAAAATACAGTGCTAAAAAAAAATTAGTTTCTTTTAATTCCAAAAATGAACTATGCATCGTCGAACACTCATTCTCTGCCCAAATGTAGTGCTAGTGGTCCGAACCAGATGCCAAAGTTTCAGAACTAACCATCATCTTATTAAAAAGCTCGGAGTGATTTTCTTAAATTTTCACAAAACCAAGTATAACTTTTGCACAGGATAATGGTTAGTTCTAAACCTTGGCATGTGGTTCAGACTGCTAGCGCTACATTTGGACAGAGACAGAGCGTTCAGCGACGTGTCGTTTATTTTTTTGCAGCGAAAAAAAAAAAAAAAAAAGATGTCTTGTTGTTGTTTTTTTACACGCTGTGTTTACTTTGTGAAATGCAGTTGAAATAAGATCGATGAGCAACAGGCATAAAACATTTTGAACAAAATGTTTCTTGGAGTTCTCTCGTTTGCTACTACACCCATTTTACCCCGAGAAAAAAGCAAGAAAAGCTTTGTGCATAGTTCATATGCTGCATGATGAAGTAGTTAGGATTTGGCTGATAGAAGAATGTGATGCTTTTCATGCTTGAAATATGTACACAGTGATGAAATAAACTAATCTCCAATGCACATCAAAGTATATTAGTTTGTCGCATAAAGTGTGGAAATTAGTAACGCCCTGCGAGGAGCCAAACGTTTTATTGCCGCTTTTGAGGTCTGGTGACCAGCTGGGTTCAAAAAGGCCGCACTACACCCATGGTCAACTTTCTGTGGCATTTTCAACGAGAGCAGCGCACTTGCACAGCTTTAATCGGTGGTCATGCACATGCCCCCGTACCTTCGACTGCATAACCACAAAGTTTTGAGCGAGTACAGCTGCTTTATACTTCGAACAGCTTATCTACCTAGATGCTACACGCACTCTCATCTGCATAAATACACTTGATGGCCCACTACAGGATGATGACCATTCTTAAATTTAAAAACCAGTTGCCCGATGTTTCCCTAGTCGAGCTTTCCTACCACGTACTCAAGCTGGCTGTACTCCTCTCTACTTGTTTAGTGAAGCAATCAATTACAATGTTTTGTTATGCAAGCTGGCAAAAGTTGCTGTAGTCGTGACTCAAGTTTCTCCGTGAATCTCGTATAATCGCTTTTTATAACAACGCTACTAGGTAAGCCGCTCCAGGTTTGACCAAATGAATCTGTTCGTGCGGAAGTGATACGCATTTCTGTTCGTAGTAGTCGCAATGTTTATGCTCACCGAATGATGTCAGGAAGTCTGCGATCTTTTTGATGCTTCCACTGATTATTTCGATGTATTCTCGGTTGGCCCAGTCCTGCTGTATCTGTTTCTGGATCGCTTCTCTTTCCGACACAGACATACTGTTCAAGAATTTGCTGGTTAGTAAAATGCAAGAGTGCTTCAAAACAAAAAAACTTTGGCCCAAAACCTAAGCGGTCGCTTCGCCTCGGTCCCGTCCACACGTTCCAAGCTCTGGTCCCAAGGAATGACACCCTTTCCGTTTCCTTTTTGGTTGGATTATAATGGATAGGATTTGGATTAAAATATTTTAGTGCCAACCCTTGTCATTAGTCATACAAAATACTAATACTAATACCAAAATGAACTCATTTTATATATTTGTTTTAAATATTAGTTCGTTTGAAGTTTTTTTTAAAATTATAAATGTAGTATTATCAATATTAAAGTTCCATTCTTGACAATTGGATGGCCATGCGACTATAAAACATCACTGCTCTCACCTAGTAGTTTTAATTTGTTTATGTAAAACTATTAGTTACTATAACTTTATATTAACAGGAATGATCCCGCCAAATTCACAAAAGTATTCTACGAAACTTTTCCTACGTAATTTTTTTTTTTTTAGATTGGTGCGACCACGGTGCTAGGTGCGAGCGGTGGTTGGTGCGCTTTACGTGTTGTGCCTCATTTAGTTTTTAAATTAAAGTCAAATTAACAATATGCCTCCCAAAAAGAAAGCCCCCGAGCCGAGTAAAAAGACCGAAATGAAGAAAAAAGAGAAAGTAATCGAGGTAAGTCGGGTGCCAAGTCCACACTTCAGCACCAGTATGTTGCGGCCATGGCGCTTTTTTTTTTTTTTTTTGGAACCAATTAATTCTATTCCATAATATGCCGGCGTGAAGCTCGCCAGTGTTCAGATCTGCCCCCATTGAGTAGAAACCTGGCCCTGTGGTTCTACACGCGTTCCTATAGTTGACTTGGCCGCTTGAGAGGCGCCGGTCAGTCATCGGGTGGCACGTCTCGGGGCTGTTCACAACGTGTGCCACTTCTGTGCCGTGCCCCTGACGAATACACGTTTTCGTCGTTCAGGACAAGACTTTTGGTTTGAAAAACAAGAAAGGAGCCAAAACGCAGAAGTTTATTCAACAAGTCGAAAAACAAGTCAAGTTCGGCAACCAACCTGCCAAAAAGGTGAGCGATTTTGTGCTCTCGATGCATGGCAACCATTCCGCTGTTTTATACCGATTAACCTATGTTATGACGTTTCGTAAAGTACGAGTCGTAAGGTACTTTGGAACGAAAATAATTAAAACGTTGTGGCATCATTTTTTTTTTTTTCTGTGCGTCTTATTTGGTTATACTGGTGTCGTCGCGAGCTACTGTCGCGAGCTTAACACAGCGCTCGCAGTGTTAAGTGCGCGACAGTATCGGCTAAAATTAACTAAATCCTCCGGGTTTATAAATTGCTGTTAAAAAGAGAGCATCTGGCAATCTTTGTTTCTCCATCTCCTGAAGGGGATGAGTCATGTCAAGTTTCATCTGAATAGGTCGAGGCGGTGCCTGTCAAAAAGAAGACGGAAGCCGAGGATCTAAACTCGCTGTTTCGGCCTGTTCAGAAGGTGGAGAAGGGTATGTACCTCTCTTTACGGTCATAAACTTTATATTTTACTAAATGAGGTAACTTGCGCTCCCTCGAAGCCACTTACGACGAGAGAATACACTGGTGCCATCTGTTGGGTAGCCCTGAAACGCTTGAATTTCCACATATAGAGGGTATCTGAAATGCCGAGGCTCCATCTAAAATGAGCCGTAAAAAATCTGCGCTGCGCATAGTAATCTAAACTTCTCCTCAAAGGTGTATTTCATAAGTGGGCTTTACCTCACAAAATTACAAGGCGGAGCTCTTGCTGCAAAAACATAGTGCAAAAAACCTTGCCAGGGTCAACGGCGGGCGACAACGCAGACGACAGTCGAGTGGCGGCATTTGCCGCATGTATTGGTAGATGGCGCTACTTCTGTAGCGTATCGGCGAAAGAAAGCAGACGACATGCAGTTGAAATCTGTCGGCAACAAGAGCGCCGTCGTTATGCAACCGCGTTTTCGGTTATTTTTGTTACTTCAAGTTTTGCCATCATTGTCCACATATAGGTACAGTCGGCGGCAAAAGTTTGCGGGGCGCGGGAGCGTCAGCCGAAATGACTGGTTGCGCCTTCTGACGGTGCGCGGCCGCTCTCAGGATTCACGCTTCGAGAATGTGCTTCCTTTCGTGCTCGAAGTCATGTCTTTTTTACTCGCTTCCGCCCGACGTGCACGAGATGACCGGCGCAAGGTGCCGCTATGACAGCCATCATGCCGCGCGTCTGCCTTGGCCATCTTGATGGGTGACTGAGCTCGCACATGCTACAGATAAAGATAACATTTCGCGGCACCTTGCGCCAGTCCCTGTTATCTCGTCGGCGTCGAACGGAACCGAGCGAAAAAAGCATGACCACGAACAAGAAAGGAAGCGCATGCGCAAAGCGTGAGTCTTAAGAGTGGCAACGCGCCGTGAGAAGGCGCAGCCAGTCTTCTCGGCTGGTGTAGCGTGCCCCGCAAACTTTTGTTTCCGACTGTACATTACAAAAGGATTATGTTCATTGTAATAGACCACGGTCGTCGCGGGCAGTCTCGATGTTTTTTAAAAGCAAGTCGGAACCAGAGCCGTATATTGGGAGAGTTTGGCCAGTGGGTGTGGCGACGAAGACGCCGGAGAGGAGAAAAGTAAATGAAAGGGAGGAGAGCGCCGAAGGAGCGAGAGAGAAAGAAGGGAGCAGAGAGGAGACGACCGCCATTTTTTCGCAACGCTGTCGGAGACTGGTCGGAGGAGAGCACTGCTGAGGCTACGCGTCGTCCGCTACGGGCCGACTTCTTTTTCGCCTGAATAAAAGTTTGTGGCCATACGCCGAAAATCTTCATTTATTAGCTTTTTAACCCACCAAGGAATAACAGAATGTCATTTTCTTGCCAGAGCCAGCGATATAATAGGCAATAATCGAGATTTAGATGCCGATCCCACGCATTCCGCCGGGAGAATGATCGAAGATGGCGGTCCTCCCTACTCAGGTGGAAGCAGCCGGGAGTTCACGCGCATGCGCTGATGCCTCTCGCTCTACGCCACGTGCTGATTGGCTCACTTGGGAGGAGAGCGTTAAGGCGGCGAGATCATAGACTGACCAAACTCTCCCCATATACGGCTCTGGTCGGAACAAGGATGTAGCGCCATCTATCAATACGCGCGCCAAACGCACCCCACCACTCGACTCCGTCATCCGCCGTTTACCCTGACAAGTTTTTTGGCCCTATTTTTTACGGAAAGGGAGTTACGCCTCGTAATTTTATGAGGTAAAACCCACCTGTGAAATACATGCTTGACGAAAAGTTTAGAATGCTACGTGCAGGCGCCGATTTTTATGGTCCATTTTAAATCGAGCCTTGGCATTTCAGACATCCTACAGGGTGATACAAGGAGACGCCAGGCTCTTTAGATCGACCGGAAAATTCGGTTTCTTAACCTATCGCACTACGACTTTGTGCAGCGTTGCCCACAGATGGTGCATTTTTTTTGTAAAATTTGCAAAGAGCGAACTTACCTGAGGAAAAAGTAAAGAAAGAAAAAAGCTTAGCTCCTATGGAAATGCAGCGAAGCCACCGGTCTGCAAACGACTCGGCGCCGTTTCGCACGGGAGACAAGGAATGGCGCAAGCGGTCGCGACGCCAACTGCCGCCAACGGACGAGCAGACGACGCCGAGAGCCGGCGTATTTAGCAGACAAGGAACTGCAGTTCCTTGTTGTTACTGCGCCTGATTTTGTTTCTGCGACTGTTGCTGCCTGCGGAACGCGCGCCGCTTTTGAGTCGAAAAGATTGGCTGCTGAAGACGCTGGCTCTCGGCGCCGTATACTCGTTCATTGGCGGCGTTCGTTGCGCCATCTCTTGTCTCCCGTGCGAAACGGCGCCGTGTTGTTTGCAGACCGGTGGCGTCGCTGCGTTTCCATAGGAGCTAAGCCTTTTTCTTTCTTTACTTTTTCCTCAGGTAAGTTCACCTGTCGTCTCCTCGTATCACCCTGTATATATTTCTGTAATTTTTTATGCCTCATTCTGAGGGCTGGATATAACTCTTCCGGTGTTATAAGCAACCAATTCTCAGAGTGCATAGATTTGATCTCGCAAATACTGCAAAGCTAGTTATACGCAGATGACTATGAGAAGGGTTCCAGGAGTAGCTGATAGATGGTGCCTACGTGCCAGTGCATTCTCTTGTAAGCGGCTGCAAGCTTGGTTTCAAGCGAGCACACTGCAGTCGAGTGCACTCCATCGCAAATGTGTGAACCAGTCTTTAGAAGGCAGTGGTGTCACGTTAAAAGGGGCCTAGAAACCATTTTTAACCTTTGCCTCGATAATTCTCATAAGGAAGCTTCAGTGTGCAGTGGTTACTGAACATGTTTTAGTTTTCAGTTCAATTCCTTAACTTCAGAATGAAAAAGTTTGAGAAAATCAAATGTTACTTTGTCTTGGTTCCGCTCGGAAGAAGACTGCAATGTGTCTGGAATGCGATAGGTGCATTTTGTAATGGATTAACTGCTCCAGGACTGCAGGCGAGATGGGGAATTGGATGATCGACACCTGTAGACAGAACAAACCACCTGTTCTGAGCATCCAGAAATATCTGCAGCGGTCGTTGGATAGCGAAGTAGTACCCTTTCTTTAGATTACCCAGCAGAAACGAAGCCTTTGGTCAAGTGCTGATGTGTCTCGATTCGCTTTCCTCTCGTTGCACAAGATGCATAGAACTGTCTTGAAAGTGTCTCTTGGTCCGGCAATACTCCATGGCTCCACATGAGTTTTATTATTGAGAACACAATGCAATTCACTTTAGTATTGTTTAGAAACTCCGCATGTAAAATATAACCATTTAGTTCCATCTAAATATTTATTAAAAGGCTCACCAAAGTTCAAGGTGTACCAAGTCAACAAAATCTGCTACATTTTGGCAGCTAAAGGAATGCCCAAACAGGATACTTTAAGGGCAACTCTGCTCAGTTCTGAAGATTTTTGGATAATGAGTGATTTCACATTAAAAAGCCCTAGTAAAAGACAATATGTCATTTGCTTCGCGAACAATGGGATATGTATTTTTTAATCTAATATTAAACACAAGCAGAAAGCGAAACCAAAGCATCGGCTTCATCCAGCAACATTGGCCTCAGGCCGCCAAGAACATGGCTATCACGTGGTACGAGATGTCACATGATCCTTTACGCAACGACGGCGGGATTGGGGTGGGCGTGTGCCAGGCGCAGGTGTTGTCTGCACCGCAGTCTTCACCAGATTTTGGTGTCTACGAAATTCGACGACGTCTGGACAACTGCGGTATAAGTTTGCGCACATAGTGTCCGTAGTGTGGACGAAGCTCTGAGAGGCAATAATCACAAACAGTGAGACGACGACGGCGGTTGTGATGTGGGAGACGGCGGCAAATGGCAGGACCATTGCGGGGCATTCGGACGGCTCTCAAGAAGCGCACTGCGGAGGCACGTTCGCCAATCATGTGGACACTGCCGAGCACTGAGAGGAATCGTTGGCCGACGTCACTCGTTAAACTTGCCGGGAGAAGTTAAAACAAACAAAAGGAGGCAATGGTGATGACGTTTAGCTCAATGTTGGCTTCGCTCAAGCCATAACTTTGACTGTGCTGTTGGCTGTGCCTCAATTCGCCCGCTCGATTCAGCCGATTTCGGTAACTTGGCGAGTTGCAAAGTTTGCCGGACTGTTTAGGAAACATTCAGCCAGAACTACGTCGTAATACTTGACGTGTGGTCTTCCTAGGTGATACTGAAGAGGACTGCATTGTTGTTTCAAAAATAAAAAAATGAGACGAAGTTGCCCTTTAAAAACACTTGAGGCGACACTTCTCCGCCATATGAAGTGAAAGTTGCCGGCAGTTCATTTTCTGTTTAGACATCACGGCTTTCCTCCTTGCCTCCTCTGCTTTTCTGTGACATCAATGCTCGTCAGATTTGACGTCACACGCCACCTGCCAATGGTGTGCCTGTTGTCTGGCCATCTGTTTTGCTGTGCCCTCGTATCCTTTCCTTTCCCGTTCTCGGGACTTGAAGAGCAGCCGAGGCCTTGAGCAATTGACTGACAGCTAACAGAGCGTGTGATGTCCGGACTTAGGTGAGCATGCTCTAATCCTCCGTCAAGGACACAAGTGGACCTTGGCAAAGGGAAGTTTTCCTCCCGGCAAAAAAAGCTTGACAGAAGCGAATCGCCGCGCACTTTAAATGGCAGAGAAGTGTCGCTTCACACATTCTTGAAGTGTCCTGATCAGACAGCCGTTGACACACAGCACAGTTCATTAGGGTACGTTGGAGACATTCCAATTTTTGGGAATTCTTCTATTTTTCCAGGAAAAGCTCAGAGTTGGTACCACTAACATGATACGTACGCTGGGTGAAGTATTGTGAACACACCACATCGGCAGTCTTCTAAGAGTTAATCCTGTTAATTCTGATGTAGCGTACATTCTCTCTGTCTCGACAGCGTTTTACTTTCAAACTTGGGCTGTGTTCCTGAAGGACACGTGCAGGCCACAGCAGTACAGACGCCGTTGGAGCCTGCTGCAATGCAGATGACACTTGCGCTGCGGCCGTTTACAGGGTGGCTCATGTGTCTACTGTATGGGTGCCCATGTTATGACAATGCAAGGTTGCACGAAAAATATTTAATGTTTCAGGAAACCGATCCCGGAGAGCCGTTCATTAGTAATTTTTAGTGTGAAATCGCCCATTGCCCTGGACTATTTGGAATTGAATGGAGTTGCCCTTTAAAGCAACACTTTACTCCCAAATAAACTTTTTTTTTTATCTTTCTGGATAGGACATACAAAAAAGAAAAAGAGAATTAACGCAATATTTACGTCGCCAGGTGCAATTTAAGTTCGGAGTGATTTCGTCTGCCAGTGCGTGCCAGCTCAAAAATGATTTCTATTTGGAAGCCAACATCACAGCGACGTCAGTGTAAAAGTGATTTTGTGAGCCTCCCATCGGTTAGCAGGAGCATGGAGGAGAGTTGCTCTCACTGCATACCTCCCCTCTGCGCACTGAGAAAAGATGTGAGAAAAAGGTGGAGAGGAGTATGGTCTGCATGACTGCATCCACGGCTCTGTCTAAATTGCGTGCCGCGGCATAAGTATTGCATTAACTAATCTTTGTTGTGTGGAAAATGCCGTTTGTGACTTCCTTGAAGAGACATGACTTTCAATCGCTTTGGTGGTTCTGTGTCCTCCATCAGTGGGTTGGACCTAGATGAGGCTTATACCTTAAGGGAAACAAATTTGAATGGCACCTGTGGAGAGATCTTAGTGCAGAATGAAAATCCTTCAATCACAAAAATTGATACCCCGACTTTATGTTGCAGCATCCTTCGTAACCATTTTTGCTTCACGACATAAACCTCGCAACTTGAATTTTGATAAAAACAATTTCAATTTCTTTCTCTGCGACGTGTGTTGAAGGGCCCCATTTGCTGTGACTTGTGTTAACTAGCAGTTGAATTGATAGGCATTTGTGGTCTATTTCTCGACAGGCGCAGACCCCAAGTCTGTGTTGTGTGCCTTCTTCAAGCAAGGTACCTGTGGCAAAGGAGATAAGTGCAAATTCTCACACGACATTACCATCGAGCGGAAAGCAGAGAAGAGGGATATTTACACCGATGTTCGTGATTCCGGTAGGTTGCTCTTCGCCACGGCAGGACAACTATTTTATTACGCTGGTTAGAATTCTGTAATCTGCATGTTTAATTTTAAGTTACCCAAGTGGCTCAAAGTGGGCAACCTCTGCTTGATAGGGGGGATAAATATTAAAGAAAAGAAATACTTATATGTTGAATCCTTCGTTTCCAGGTTTTCTATTTAAAAAAAAAAATTGGGGGGTAAAAATCGGTCACTTTGTTCCCAGCTTGTAATCGGGGAGAATTCGGGTTTATCTAAGTAATTATACTGGAGTTCGGGTTCTCCAGGTTATATTTAGAAAGATATAAGTATAATGAACAAAAAATAGCATTTATCAGTTTTAATATATGACTTTCTTACCATATTTACTCGAGTAATAGCCGCACTGTTTATGAAGAAAACCTGAGGGTTCGCTTTTCCGCGGAGCACGCAGATTGCCAATCACCACGATCGACAGCATGATTCCGGCTGTTTACAGGACAGAGATAACGTCTTCGTGCCAAGATACCATCTGTGAAGATTGCATTTGTATGGAGGATTGTGTTCTCGATTTGGTTATTTGCTATGTCATTTATGTGCAACGCAATGATTGGCTGTAAATGTGCTTTTAGGGAAAGAAGACGCAAGGGCCTTGTTCATAAATAGTGCGGCTATTACTCGAGTAAATACGGTATTTCGCAATTAAGTCATTACCCCTTTGACGGTCCAGCTTTTTTCCCCAAGAGGTGTTTCCCTGTGGTTCGGTTTTGTTTGCAAAAGAATTGTATAAGGAAAGGGTGAATACGCAGGTTTTTTTCTTAATTATACAGCGGGAGCACATACAGTGCTTGCAAGCTGTTTAGGTTTAGAAGCAATAAATGAATATCGAAGGCGAAAAGTTGTCACCTTTCTTCCGTTCGGTTTCATTTTGGCGGATCCACTTCTACAACACTCCAGCGGCTTCAGATTCCTAACCGGACATATTTTACAGAACTTCTTTATTGGATGATGAGCTCCTATCCCCTAAATTTAATTCTGAAAAGCAATTGGGAAGTCTGAATCGGAAGAGCCAGTTCTCCCATCCAGCAGCGTCACTAGGGTCAGAGGCACACGCAGAGCAGTAGACCTCCGCAAACGCCCCCCGCCGCTCTCGTGGCCTGCCACGACACCCCTCTGAGCGCTGTACCCGGGGCAATCCCCTTCCCTTGTGACGCCACTGCTCCCTTCAGCACTACCGCCAGAGCGGCCGACATAGAAAGTAAGCATCACATGCACGGAGCGTCTAATTTGAAAACTATAAATAACCCACCAATGCGAAACATACAAGTAGAATGTTTATGGTTTACAAAAACGTTCAGGGACTCCTTTTATGTCATTGTAGTTAACTGAGGCCAAAAGAATCTAGGTTTGTTTGTGAGGTCTGTGGCCAGCGCACGTGTTCCTCTTACCAACCCTTTGTTTCCTACAAAATATTTTCGAGTAATTTGGAAAATGGTGGAAGTAAATTTCCGAATTCAGGTTTAACCCGATTTTCAAGAAACATGTTTCGCGTATAAATATTGGGTTTTACCCAAAAATGAAGGACCCTACTTAAATGCTGCTCTGACTTCCAGTGTAGCTGCCTAAGCCGCCATTTCCAAATTTGTGTTTGAAAGTAGCTGTGGTACTTGGTCATATACCTGTTATAATGGAATGGTTGATTGGAGAGTGGAAATGACCTCTCTGTTTACTCTGTGACAGATTCAGTGGCAAATTCAGAGGGGGAGTCCGGACGTCCTTACCCTTCCCCTTGAATTCCGCATGTGTAAAAGTTTAGGGTGGGGAATACCCCGATTCCTTCTGGAAATACCTGCGTCCGCCCCCAGACACAGCAAACACAAACACGACTGCAGTAATTCTGCAACCCTTATGCTAATTGTGTAGTGCTCTGTGTACTCTTTGTGGGTTGGGTAAGATAATGCACAATTGAGACAATGTATGGAGGAGCTCAGTTTAGATCAGTGTATATTAATGGAGCCAACAGGTTGCAGTTAACTTCCTTGCAGCGAGAAGTAGCACAGAAATAGTGTGAAGTCAAGAACATCATTACCATACCCTTAACTGGGGAGCACATGCATAAAATGCAACACATGGCAATAACTTTGAAAGGTGGTCAAGTCATACAAGTGCCTGTGCAAAACAATCTTCAATGCTAAGTTTATGCACCCATACTTCTAACTCTACAGTCCCCTAACATTTTCTCCGAGCATCAAAACTCCGTAGTGACGCAATTAACTGCTACTCTTACTGCTGTCAATCGGACCAAAAAGAAGTTTGCAATGCACCATTTGTTTCAAACAATGTTTTCTTGTAGAAAAAGTTCTAGTCACACAGGTGAAAAATTACAATTGATCCGTCTGATTGATCAAAAGGGAAGCTAGCTTTCGTGGGTTTGAAGCACATGTTGCCTTGTGTAGCCCAGCATATGGCTTTTAATGTAGCATGACGTTTTTGTAGGCAGTATGAGGTCCCTTGCAGCCTCTAAGCAGTTTCTTTTGCACAGATACAATGGAGAACTGGGACGAGGCTAAGCTGGCTGAAGTGGTGGAGCAGAAGCACGGAGAGGCTGAGAGGCGCATGCCCAAGACTGATATTGTGAGTTTGCCGCCTCTGTTGTCAAAAGAAAGGTGTGGGATATAGCACACTGAGATTAGTGTAAAGCCCCTAACATTTGTGAGCCCCTAATTTTCGTGTGTGACTTGGAAAATTTGCGAACTCTAGGGACTAAGAATATTTGTATCGTCTGGAGAGACGAATTCCAGTTTTTGGAATTCGCGAAATTTAATGGTTGCAAATATGACCCTGCCGCCCGATTCGCGAAAAATTGGGGCCTCAAAAATGAAGGGTTTTACTGTACATGTCTTACTTACTCTATGCTAAAAAGGGAACTTCTTGAGTAAAATATTGCATTTTGGCAAACCTTTAATTGTCATTTTCTGAATTGTAAGCTTCCTATGCAACAATATGTAGCAGAACTGTATAGCCACGAAAGCTTGCTGGTTTACGGTTGAAGGCAGATGTTTCGAACGTCTTCGCGAGATCGCCTCTTACCCCATGGAGGTAATACAGTAGACTTTCGATTATTCAGTCCCGTTTCATTCTAACAGTTCAGCACTACTGGCAACCGTGCATACATAATAATAAAGAAAAAAAGTTCTCTATTTCAATCTTGAAATGTCAACTATCGGTTAACTCAACCTATATTGAATTGGTGGCGGGCAGATTAGAAGCACAATCGGTTGTGCCTGAGGCGTCAACAGTCAGATATATCAAACTAAACGGTTTATTTCTTAATCTACAAAGCGTGTGCGAAGCCTCACTGAGCACACTTCTTACTGAGCACCGGTGTACTGCGTAGAATCAACACCCGCGAAAGCGAGCTCCATGGGTGTTGCTTCTCCGCAGTGCAGTTGTGCTCGGTAAGAAGTGCGCTCAACGAGGCTGACTCATCGCGAACTGTGCCTGCAAGTGCAGTTTTACGACTCCGACTCTTGGGACCTCCCAGATAGAGCACTGCACGGGCCCACTTTTTGAGGCCCGGCCCAGCCCGGGCTTGCTGACTCTTAGTCTTACTCGACCCGGACAGGCCTGATGGGATGCCTAATTGATCAGGCCCAGCCTGGGCCTGGCCCGGTGAGAGGCCAAAGCATGCCTCATCTCTTAAATTCAAGTGTGCCCTGAGGTTGCTGTCATATCACAATTACATAGTGAACATTCAAAAGCTTACACAAATATAAAAGACATAGCTTATCTTTGGTAGCAAAAAAGAACTTTTTTTTTTTTTTTTTTTTCAAAAGTTTTAAAGAAAAAAGAAAGGCAATCATACCTTCCCCTGTGACGGGATTGCTCTGGTTTTTTTGCCCGCTGGGAACTGCCCCACTATGCTGATGGATTTTCCGTATCTTCTTGCGGGATTCGCCCCAAAACAGCTTTCCTTATTTCTAAGATTATTTTAGTGGCATCGTAGCGAGATGGCACTTCCGTTTCTTTGTTTCTTTTGAATCTGAACGATCAATGCATTAGCGTTTTCTTCTCAACGTTTTAAAAAATGACGCCATTGCGTGAGCCCGGCCTGGGCCCAGAAAGAATCCGTACTGCCCTGCCCGGGCCCGGCCCAGACCTGGAAACAGTCCGTGCTACCCGGCCCGGGTTTTCGGGTAGGCCCGGCCCCGTGCAGAGCTCTACTCCCCGTGCGTCAGTCTTCTTGCACAAAGAAAATGGAGAGCAAACCATATGGCAAATTCCACTGGTCGTTTTGGAGCGCGCCTGGATTGTCTTTCCTGGAGCACGCCATTTCAGTGGGCGATCGGGATCAAGACGGACATGTTCCATTCGTCGTTTTGGATCAGATCAGGATCCATGCTTGTGTTTCGTACCAACACCAAAAACTATGTCAATGCACCGAGAAAGTGAGGGAGAGGAGGATACGAGAGCGCGCGGGGATGTCGGAATGTCGAGCTCTTGTTGGAACGATTAGTGGGTAGACATAAAGCTAACTGCCTTTGTCTCCACTGCACTCGTCGAACGCTTGAGAACGCCAATGTCCGGCGTTTGACTTTCGCATTCAAATGCGTTCGACAAGTGCAGGGGAGACAAAGGCAGCGTTTGTCACCACTGCACTCGTTGAACTTTCAGCTAAAGTCCAGATGCAGCCGACGCTACAAGCTAAGGGGACCAATGAAGCAGCGTCAAAAGCGCAAGTCTCGAGGCTTTTCTGTTTATAATTGGTACAGCCATAATATTACACATACAGTAACAACACAAACACCTTGATGGTGCACTTTTGACGCTCTCTGATTGGCCCCATCAGCTCCTAGCGTCGGTTGCGTCTGGACGTCTGGGGAAAACGAAGTATAGAGTGGCATCATTCGGTACCAGTACCCAATGTTTTTTGTGTTTGTACCTTGCAGATTTGCAAGCACTTCCTGGATGCCCTCGAGCAGAACAAGTATGGCTGGTTCTGGGAGTGCCCCAGCGGAGGGCAGAAGTGCCACTACCGCCATGCGGTTCCCCCTGGGTTTGTGCTCAAGAAGAACAAAAAGAATGCAGATGAGGTCAAGCCAGAGGATACTCTGACCATAGAGGATCTCATTGAAACTGAGGTATGTTGCCTTGTCTCTCTGCATGCCGATTTTCAGGATTTCCCTGCAGGGCATGGTATCGGTTCTCATGCCTTTTGCTAGGGTGGGCACAGAAGCAACATGACAGATATATTGGCAACTCAAAATGTGACGACAGACGTAGTGTCCGGGCGGACTTTCACGCCTTGTGGCTTCTTGTGGCAAGTGCGGGTGTACTTCAGAAGTAGACCGGCCATGTTTTTGTTTAATTTGCTAAGCATATCTTATCTGACATTTCCTTCCCGACTAGTATTGTGGGAAATGCTTTGACAGTTTGTCCCGAAGTGCGACCCCTTTGCATATTCGTGTCGCTTTAATGGCAGCCATTCCAAGGAAAGGTGAGTAATATGTGCTAGGGATATCAGCTTTACCTTATGAAGTATCTACTTTTTTTGTGTATCTTTGTAGTGTAGTATGTTTTCTTTTTAATCAGGAACTTAGATTCTGGTACAGGCAACTAATTTAAATCTGCTTATATTTCTTAAACATGTAAATCTAGAAGAACATGCTTAGACTGCTGTCACAAATTAATGAATGCCTGAAGATCTGCTGCAAGAGGTTTTGAATGGGAAATTGCAGAAAATAATGTACTCAGGGGTGGACAGTATTTCAAATACAAGTATTTGAAATATGTATTTCAAGCACTTTGTGCATTTTGCATTTGTATTTAATTACAAATTGGGTAATGTATTTGACGTGTGTATTTAAATACTAAAACGTGGGTATTTCAAATACAATTGTAATTAAATACAATTTTGTGGGCAAAAATACATCCCTCAAATTTATTGTCACTGTCCAGAGCAGGAAGAAAACTATGTTCTGCACCGAATGCAGTGTCTCTCAATCAAGCACAAGCGTTTAGTGATTTTGTGATTATGGTGCTAGTCCAGGGCAAGAATAGTGACGAAATCGACGTTCACAGGCAGACTGGCTAAATAGGTGCCTGTGACAACTTGTAATGCTTTCCAGCCTGATTTCCATCCATATTTTTGCCTGGAACATTCTAAATGCGCGGGTCGTCCAGATTTTTGTAACTGGTGCGAGTTGCAACAATAAAAAATTCTCTAGCTAGTGCTGCGTAGGGTGACCACCTTCTTGCTGGCGAAATGTGGGACACGCGGGGCAGGGGAAGAGGGGGCGTTGTAGAGGAAATTTATGAACACGCACACCACGAACCGAGGCTCTGTTAACACACTTAATATTATGTGCTGTTTATACACCTGCAAATTGTATTGCAGCAATTAAGCTAAAATAATTTTCACTCTCAGACATATATCTTTTTATGACAAATATATTATTAAATGTGTCGAAGTTGAAAGCATAAAAATGAACTCCAGCAGAACTCAATGCATCAAATGAAGTTAAAGGGGCACTGACACCCCAAAGGTCGTATTTACATTAAAACCTCGTTATAACAAAGTTGAAGGAGCGATCGTAATTATTTCGTTATAACCATTAGTTTGTTATAGCCAATGTCCATTTCTTTCCTATTAGCAAGCAAGGGGAATTATGATTGCTTTGTTATACCCATTAGTTTGTTATATCCCATTTTGTTATAACGAGGTTTTACTGTATTTTTATTGTCTAAAACGATGCAAGTTGCAGTCATAGACACGCAAAAAAAACCGCATCGCGAAAAAACATTTTCCCGCGCGCGCGCGCGCCTTTTTATTTTTGGCGTTTGATTTTCCCGCGTCTCGCCTCCTCGCTTCTTTTGATCGGTGACGTCAAAAATCAGGAAATTTAGAAGCTTTGTAGGCGACATCTCTATAACATTTAATTACGGCAATCCTAAAACATGTTTTTTAACGCAATTGCGAACGCACTACGGCCCTTCTTTTTGAAATACCAAAAATCGGGAGTTCGTTGTGGTGCCGTCTCCTGGATTTGTATCCTCCAACGGTAAACAGGCGACACCGCTCAAAACCGGTCCGCCGCAACACCGGGCGCTCGCTCCTTTCCTCCTCGCTTTGGGTCGCCATGGCAACAGCAGGGAGTGGTGAAAGGAAGTCGACTCTCAGGTCTCCGCGATTTTTGACGTCAAGGCACCGGCGCCGATCGCGCGGGAACTTCGAATTCGGCATTTGGAAATTGTTTTTTTACTTCACGAATACTGAATTCCCAAATCTCAAATTTTGAGGGTAATGTCCCGGCATCGTTTTCAATCGTTTCGGATAATAAAAAAAATATGATTTTGATGTGTCAGTGCCCCTTTAAGAAACAGTAAATCTTTTTCGGGTTATTATTTCCTGTCAAAGTTTAGTTTTATCAACATGGTCCTACACACATTTTTAACATTTTGTTCTTTTTCGACTGTTGTGAGCTGCAGGCTTTTTGCCTTGTGTAGCTATCTTCACTAAAAAAAATCCACAGCAACTTTTCTGCATTGACGCAACAATATGAAAATAATTACTATGATTTACATTTAAACTTTTGGCGAGCAATTTTCTCTTACGATATTTTGCCACCAAGGGGAGAGGCACAACGGCGCATGCGCGTCGGGTCTCCTGCAAGAACGACGGTCGCTTCCTGCAATGCTTGGACAGGAAATGGCATACCATAGCGATTCACACGATTACCAGCGACCTCCGCGCTTCCCCGTGCCCCGTTGTTCAGCGGCACCATGAATTGCAGAGCGAATTTTACGACAGTGTGAAATGCGGGACATTTTGAAGATTTGTGAATTTCTCGCGGGACGCGGGACACGAGCCCTTAAATGCGGGACAGTCCCGCGAGTCGCGGGACGGGTGGTCACCCTAGTGCTGCGCGTCTTGGTCGTCTTGGTTCTTTGTTGGTCTATACCAGTATGTAATCGACAAAAAAAGCTGCTTGAAGCTCTGTACTTTTTCCACCTATTACGTCCAAGCTGATTACATTTTTTTTTTGTGATTATATTTCTATTACGTTACTAGAGCCTCGCACACCAACTCCCGTGTGTGCCATGCAAAATGATAATGAGATACCCAGAAATCCGTTGCAGGTGACCTGAATTCGCTAACGCAAATTTTGAGGAATGTATTCGGAAAAGTATTTGGAGGAGACCAAATACATTTGATTGTATTTGTATCTTGTACTTAAATGCTTTTTTGGAAATGTAATCAGATTTGTAATTAAATACATTTTTGACGAAGTATTTTGTATTTGTATTTCGATACATATTTGCATGTATTTTGCCCTTCCCTGAATGTACAAAGTCTGACCTTCTTATTCCAAAAAGTTAAAGTAGCGTAAAAATCGTAGCAAGAGCACGGACCAGCATACAATGTCCGGACTAGCGAAGCCCAAAGTACAACATTCAGAGTTGCCTAATTACCATAAAATACCGGGCAAGTGCCCGCCCAAAATGTGGAGATAATCTCGGTAAATCTAGGGGGATGGGTGTCGTTAGGTCGGGGAGCAAAAAATGCGGGAGCATGAGGCAGGGCAGGTTTGACCACTTAGCACCAGACTGCGCGCACAAAGCTTTACTGCCTTGCTCTGTTGTGCTTGGAGAAGCGGCTGATGCGAAGGAGTATCTCTGTTAGCAAGGTAAGCTCAGAAGTCTGGGGTAGGTGCTTATTGTGCCATGGGTGCATGTTCAGTATTGTGCAGTGATTGGAACCTCGCATGTAAAACTCTGGAGACTTGTTTTAAGTACTGTTCCAGAAATTTGTTAACATGAAAGTATGAATTGTAAGTAGGGTTCTGAATTTTCTGAGTTAATTCTTGAGCAAAATTGAAAGGTATTTTTCCGATCTATTTTTTTAGGGGCGAAGCTCCTTAGGTTCTGGCCTTGTCTGTCCGGCGTCCGTGCTCACATCGATCTTGCTGGTGCTCGTGATTGTGCTTGTGTAGGGCAAAAAAAAAAAAAAAAAAAGAGATAAAAGTCGACAGCTTCGAACCTGTGCGGGGAGACCCCAATGGATTTCTAGTCCATCGCCTTAACCACTCGGCCACGACTGCGGGACGAGTAGAGGGCTCTGAGATGTAGTAACTCAAGAGCTGGGGATGTTATGGATGAAACGTTGCATGTAGCCGCTCAACGTCTATACAGGAGAGGACGCTGTTGTCAAATGCGTATATAATCACGTTAAACTTTGCATGCATTGGCTCAACGTTTATAGACGAGAGGGCGCTGCGGTGAAATGCTCAAATGCGTATATAACCACGTTCCATACCACACATTCTCTTTCTGACATGGATGAAAACGAACGAAAGGCTCGGCATGCTGCGGCTCAGTGTCTACGTAGACAAGCACCACCAGAGCTTCGCCCCAATCTACATCATTCACCACGTGGAGATGCGGTCATTTTTTTTAAATCAAAATTTGGAGTTGTTTTGAACTTTTGCTTGTCATACACAAAATTTAGTTCTTTTTTTTTTTTTATGTTCAGCATTATTGACTTATGGAGAGAATCTCGATTTGCGAGTTCAATTAAAACGCCCTTTTCAGAGAACTCGACAACAGCAACATACTTTAAAAAAAACAAGCTAGCTGGTGGTGTTTCATGGTAATAAAACCCAAGACTCGGAAACACAGAAGGGGACGAACACGACACAACGTCTCAACAGACGGCCTTTCATGATACAAGTTGGAAATTGGAATACAGTTGATTAAATACACTTGCCTTTCTTGAGGCAAGTTTTCTTCAGATGGAAGGACAGATGGGAATTCCAGTATTCAGCAGTTCGGACAAGTCCTTTTTCGTTGGCCATGGTAACTTGCACACGGCAAAACTTGCAGACAGTAATGTCATTGCTGCCATTCACTTTAAAATTCAGGTATTCTTTGGCTCAATTACCGGGCAGCTTTCGCTTCCTGCCCATCGCGCGGAGGTGCGGAAAAAGCCTACGAAATCTCTCGAACCTCCGTCGTCAGTGCGAACGACAAGTTTGGTCTTCAGCAAAAGTAGGCCCAAGAAAGGCGAATTAGTGACTCTAGGCATGTGCGGGAGGAAGGCTTCAAGTGGAACGGAAGGGAAGACTGGAGGTCGTTGGAAGGGTACCTATTCTTTTTGATAAGGGGTCAAAAAACATTCTTTTGTGACCCGCAAAAAAAAAAAAAAAAGGTTAGGATTTTAGAGAAAATAAAGGCCGATCAGTTTGCACGTGACAGTCCCCAAATTTTTAGTTTTCTGGCATGAAATAAATGTTGAGCACATTTTCTTCTAGGATTGTTTTTATCCCATATAATTGCCATTTCAGTAGTCACATTCACCTGGAGAAATGTCAAAGGATAGCTGAGCGAAAATGCCCAATTTTTAAACAAGCGGCCATTTGGAAAGGAAATGCATTATTTCTTTATGGAAACAGAGTTGCCCCTCGAAATTTCCCTAGATGAAACAAACCACTCAGATGCGCTTTGGAGGATGATTCCAGTTTGCTGCATCAAGAAACTACTACTTCTGTTGTTTTTTTTTAATATTATTTATTTGATACCTACATTGCCCGGGTGTATCTCAAAACATTCCATTCGCACTTAACCTTGCGCATTTCGTCCCATTCTCATTTGGTTTGCCTCGTTTGAACCAAATTTTCATACAATCCAAACCAATTTCTTTCGCAATGAGTCCATTCTCATTTTGCCCATTATCTGAGAACATTCCATTCGCATTTGGACCTTGCACATTTCATCCTATTTTCATTTGGTCTGTCTTGTTGGCACCGTATCATAAGATTTGAACCAGTTTTTTTCGCAATGGGCCCATTCTCACTTTGCCCGCTCGTGCTACGACCAAATGGCGCTAGTTCGGCATGCTTTTTACGTCGATATGCCTTCACGGCTTCGTTGGTGAGCCTTACCAAATTTGGTCTTACCTCGTTTAGGCCCCCAGCATACCATCAGATATATGTAGGGTCCTTCATTTTTGGGCAAAACTTGATATTTCCCTATATTAACACCTTGAATATGCTTTTTGAAAATCTGGTTAACCGAATTCGGAACAAAAATTACACCATTTTCATGTTTTTTGGTGTTCTAAAAGTGTGGAGCTCAATAATGGAACTTGTTGAAAGTACGCATGGGAGAAGTGATGCAAGAAATATTCGAGTAATACTTTCTGGGGGGATAAACTTGTTTTAGCGAAGGCAATTTTGATAAGAAAGCGCTACCCCAGAGTACCGAATGACTCGCTGACGTTTCTGTGCGTTGCAAACGGAAATTTTGATGTTGAAAAAACATTATCTCAGTTAAGATATGTCTGAAAGCTAGAGAGGTCTACTATCGAACCAGAAACGCCATAAATGCAGATTATTATGTTTCAACAAAAAGTTGAAATGACCAAGTGAGATGGGCGAAACGAGAACGGGTTCAAATGAGGAGGGTTTAAATGCGAAGAATGAAACGGGAAAGAGCCAAATGCAATGGGTCAAAGCGAGAAGATCTTTTTGAGAAAGAGAAGAAGAAAACACACAAAAAAAAAAAACAGTAGGTCACAACAATAACATTATTTCATAAAAAAATGAGCAAGCAGTGGAAATCAATACCTATTGGGTATCACATTCCAATCATGAATGGTCTACGGAAAAAAAAAAAAAAAAATAGTACTACTTTAGTGGGTCAGTGCACGCAGAAAGTTCTCGGATCTTTTAATTATTGTTAACCCTACATAAAACATAATGAGGAGCAAGAATTTATTTAGGATGGCCTATACCGATCAATGTTTTTTTTTATTTTACGGCCTAAGAAATTTTTTGTGATGTAGCAGGTCGAAGAGCTCTACAGACGGAGATTTTTTGTTTTTTATTCCCGGCTTTGTAATAGCATGGTTACTCTTGCACCCAGGCAAATGTTAGGCAGTGAAGCGGGTGAATTACCTCCACCAACATTGCAAAGATTTGCAGTGTTGACAGCTTGCAGCATATTCCCGCTCAGCTCGCAGCAGACCCTCATGCAAGGATTTGTGCATTGTAACGGTTTGCGATGGTTTGTGCAGAGGGCCAAGCTGGGCAGCAACCTGGCTCGTATCACCTTGGAAAGCTTCCTGGCATGGAAGAAAGCAAAGATCCAGGAGCGCCAAGCGACCGAGCAGAAAGAGCGAGACCGCAAGCGAGACGAATTCAAGGCTGGACGCAACATGGGGGTGCGTCTTGGTGTATCTGCTCTTAGCTTCCACTTGATTCATTAGTACTTTTTTTCTATTGGCCGTGTACGATAGTCACTGAATGTTCCCAGAGTACCGAATTCTATTCATTCCGCTTGCCAAAAATCAGGCCCCGCAGAATCCAGTTCTGATTGGCTGGTTTAACCTGTGTCGGAAGTTATCAGTCAGCCATTCTGGAGATAGGCCCAAAACAACAAAAAAACTTACACAAGACGTTTCCGCGTTACCACGGCTACGGCTACGAGTTGAGAATGAACAGAAGGTGTGTTGAATTTTTCTGATTTTTTTTTTTTTTATCGAATCTAGTTTCGGCAAAAGGATTACCGGCTTGTTTGCTCGCTCCGGTTGCGCTGGTGCTGTGTTTCAAACTATGCCTCAGACGCCAAACCTAACATTCGACTTCGATGTGTTTCGAGGTGAGAGAGAGAGAGACGAAACAGCAAAGAGCAACTCACAAACGAGTGTCGCCACAGTTGTAAATATATCAGCTTGAACTTTAGAATTAACTTTAACATGAAGGAAGAAAGGACAGGAGAGGACAAACAGCTGACTACCAACGGTGTTTTAGTGTAAACTTCTTCCTTGCACGCTTGCTTCTTCATTTAGAGTCCAAAGTAGAGCACGATAAACCTATTACATAAATAAACCTATTGCACTAATAAAGCGTCTCTTAAGGGAACAGCGGCAGGACATCTGGCAGCTCATTGCAGGACATGCCAGTGCAGTGCAGCTTTTAACAGCACAATCATTCTAGCCAGTAACAACAATCCTCATGCACGTGAGATGATCGAGGCGCTCGCTATCGAGGAACATATGGAAGATTGCGTCAGCCCCCCATCAATCACCGTTCACAAAAAAGAAAGACAATACCTACAAAATGTCACGCCCCGAACAACAACAGCACGAGCTTGTGGCAGGTTAGTTTCAAAAACAATAATTTTTAGGGAATTCTGTGTAATTGTTCTCTATCATTTGTATAAGAGTAAATATCGGTAGTGATCTTTATTACTGCAATAGGTTTATTTATGTAATAGGTTTATCAAGTTCTATTTTGGACTCTAAATGAAGACGCCAATGCGCAAGGAAAAAGTCTACACTAAAACACCGTTGGTAGTCAGCTCTTTGTCCTCTCCTGTCCTTTCTTTCTTCGTGTTCAAGTTAATTCTAAAGTTCAAGCTGATATATTTACAAGTATGTACCAACAAGCTCAACGCTTAACCGTTATTCAGTCGCCACAGGCCAGGAACGTCAATTGAAGAGCTCACAGAAGGACGAACGCTACACTGTACGTGCTTCGCTTCAACTGCACAGGGCAGTGCTATGTTGGGGATCGCGACTGCTGTGCCGCGACTCAGTTCTGAAATGAAGCTTGGGAGTTTCTGTACTCTGGGAACATTCAGCGACTTTAGGGTATGAAATTGAAGGGATGAAAATTGGTTAGGACGCCCGAATACCAATACCCTATGACTGCGCAAAATGTTATGCATGGTGTTTATTAATGTCGCACTTTAATTTTCTGTGCAGTTGAGCGGCAGAGACATGTTTACTTTCCGGCCTGAACTGGCGGACGATGACCAGAATGAGGAGGATGAGGAGGCGTACGACCTCACGCGATTTGGAGGGGAAGAGGACAGCACTCAGGTGAGATATCCTCGCTGCTTCCTTTGTGACATGAACCCTAGGTGAGGACTCAGATTTGGCATACATTTTGGGCTGCTGCATAGGTGTGATTTATTTACAAAGCAACCTACCTGCATTGCCGTCGAGCATTTTTGCAGGGGTGGGTTTTTCAGAAAAAAGTTATTTAGACAACTGAAAGAGAACCAAAACCTTCTATGAAATGCAACTAGTACAAAAAAGGCATCTATAAAGCAACGAAATAAAACGGGCATTTTGTGTCCAATGCAACTGGAAGGCAACTTGTCAGGAATACGTCCTTTGGCAACCTATTCTACTTCTTCTATAGTTCTTGGGGAAAGAAATGAAAAAGCGAAAACTTCAGTCTGAAAGGAGTAAGTACGGTCGGATTCTGTTTGGGTGGTCCTCCCTTCCCATTGCGTAAAATGGTTCCTGTTAAAGCATATTGCCATTAATTAATAGTTTATTGTTATATGTATTGTTATTATAATTCTCGTCATCTAAAACTTTTAACCTATCAAAAAAGTTTTCTTCTTTCGTTTAGTAACTCTCAGTGTATGACCTTTTTAATGCTGGTGACACTCGCTCCAAATGGATCCCACTATTCAATCAAGATTCCACTCTTAAAGAACCACTAAAAAGAGAAAAAAAAAAAAAAATGCTTTTTTTTAAACAGTCTGGTTGGGACATTCGTGTCCAAAAATAAGTTTTATGCGAAAAAAAAAATTTTTTAGAGCAATATTGATGGCACGAGATGTGACTTAGTCGGTTGTCACCCCCTTTCCACTTGTTTTCTCTCTTGGCATTTCGGGTGCATGAAGGAGAGGTAGATCGGCTTGGCCATCATGTTGAGGTGGAAAGAGTGTGTGATCATTCCATGACATCATGGACTCTGCGTGCAGAATTCAAAATAAATCTTGCATTATCAATATTGCTCCAAAAAAGATTTTTTTTTTTTTTTTTGCGTAAAAATAATTTCTTAACACGCGTGTCCCAACTAGACTGTGTGAAAAAAAACATTTTGTTTCTTTTCAGTGGCCCTTTAATCCACAAAAAGAAAGTTGAACAAAGTTGAAGAAACTCTTTTTAAAACTCGGTACAGACACACTGCACTGGGTTTAACTCTTTAGTGATGGGTAGAATGTAGGGTTTCATGGTCAGGGAGGGAGCAGAAGAGGCTGGGGTTGGGCCAGACAAGCAGAACGTTATTCCCAAAACGTGCACATACTAAGAAGGACACTAATGCAACGGACATCGAAAGTGTGGATAAATGGTACATAAACAGTGAAACTGATAACACAACTGCCATCTCTGGTTTCACATTTTCAAATTTCATTTTCTGAGAAATTTGGAGGATGTTTTTCCCAAGTTTAGTTGTTGCCAGAAGTTTGGTTTTTTAAATATTTGCCTGCTTTGACCTGCAATTTTTAGTTTTTAAAGTTAAAACTTTAGTGCTCATACTATTTTTTCTTAAGCAAAGTTTTTCGTTTGTTTGTTCCTGTATGTTTTCATAATTTTGACGAGGCAAATTACCGTGTGCCTGATAAAATGAAGTATTTATTATATATAAAAAAAAAAAAAAATTTGTTATCTAGGTATACCATTTGACTAGGCTGTAACGTTTTGTGCCTTTTTCATGCAAGATGGGAGTTTGCCGATGAAGGGAACAGTGGAAAATGATGCGTGTGCTTCTTTATTTTCGTAACTCGAAGAATGTCTGCGATATTGAAATGTTTTAAATCTGCCAAAGCTCTGTCATGATCTTATGCACAGGCTGCATAGGCTTATGAAAGGATTTATATTTGTATGCGAGGTGTGGAGACTAAATAGAATAGACAGAAAAAGACAAGAAAAGTTTCCGAAAGGAGGTTAAAGACTGGCCACAATGCCGGCGGTCCTGCCCTTGTGGCCGAAATTCAAAACGCTCGTCCGCCACACTTCCTTCCTTTTTACGAGGGAGGCGAAGCGGTAGCTGCTCGCCTCAGCCACAAGGGGGCAGGACCACTGGAGCAAAGATGCTCTGCGATAGAAAACAGAAGAGACACGAACGCCCTGTATATGATAATCTTTTCCTCCGCATTTGTGGACTGCCAGCGTCACACCTGTGGCACGAGTGGAAACTTTAGCGCAACCCTGCGCTTACTACATGCTTCAAATTTTTCTCAAATTGACTGATTTGAGATGACGCTCAGCAAATTTCTAGCTGGAACCATTTCTTTATTTTCACTAATTAAAAAGGTAATTAACAAATTTTAGTTATTCGACTTATTGTGAAGATGAGCCCCCATGGGTATCTCCCCCTGGCTGTATAATTCACCTGTACAGACTGCAATATTTTACGGCTTTTTTTAAGTAAATCTACTTGAAGTAAAATTACACCCTGTATATTTATCCAGCAACTCTTGTACCCTACGTAGAAGTGCCTTGCACCATAACAACAGTCTGCAAACTTTCGGTATTGACTGGCAGGCAGCCTCTGGCAAATTTCTACAAATTCACACATGGACAAAGATGAGGAAGTCTGATTTGCAGCCAAACTGTGCCTTTATTACTTCTACTGGTACGGGGAAGTGTTAAAATTTTGATAACTACCTGTATTGCACCGTACCATGGGTGCCATTTCTGGTTGGAATTCTTTGTATAAACTTGTTTGGTGTATCAACACTCAGCCTTTTTCATGGTGGGGTTCATTAAAAAATAGCGCTTTCGCCTATTATGACCTTTCTTTTTCTTCTCTTGTAATTGCCAGTTTTGAGATAACTTTACATTCATTTGCAAATGCTTTGACCCACACAAACTAATGTCTGAGAGAGCAACAAGGCCCTTAGTTGTGTCCACTCAAAGCTTCGCAATTGCATGTGAACATTTGGTCGGCCTGCACTCGTGGATCCTCAGGTGCTGTTGCGAAACCCCCTTTGACCTGCTGTTGCGAAACCCCCTCTAAGATGAACAAAACCTTCCATTGCTACCTTCACCACCTATGCTTTTGTTTACGCTTGCTGTTAGGCTGTACGAGAGATCACACTAGAAAACCTGACAGCTGAATCCTTGCAAGGAGGAGACTTTGCTGCCGGAGCTTCAACAACGGGTGAGCTCTTGATTTTCGCAATTGTATTCTTCAGTTGTTAGGGACAGTACTGTATTAGCTTCCTCTAATGTATACAGTCTTTGAGGGAGTGCTGGCAATATGCTAGCAGCTGCAAACATATTTTACAGATCAGAATTGGGGTTAAGGCAGCCCTACTTAAAAGTGTGCCGATTTTAATCGCACAACTGAGTCGCTCGTTGTTCACACTGGTGAATGAACCAGGAAACTCTCTTTACATGCAATCATTACCATTTGGCTTAATTAAGTCCCCTTTCATAAGGGTGTTCTTGCTGATGCTGAATATGTTACTGGTAGGATTTCACTGTAAATTATAACAATGGCTGTGGAACTTTTTTTAGGAGGAAGTATGGCCACTTCTGTTCCAATTGACGAAAGGCTCTTTGAAGATGATGAGGACCTGGATGACCTTGAAGATGATCTTCAAGACCTGAATGTGGAGTAATGTGTCAGGTTCTCTGACAGCTTGTTGCAGTTTTATTTTTGTGAATAAGTAAATAAATGAATGCCACAAATAAACTAGCTTGAATTTTTTTTTTTTTTTTTTTAAGCTTTTAAAGGTTAGCAATTGTAGACTCGGCCTCAATTCGAATGGATAATCTATCCAGCATATTTCATGCCAAGAGTCCACCATACTATAGAAATTTGCATAATTGCGGTCAAGTGGTAGCAACAGAAAATAATTTGATTCCAATCGAGCTTACCGTAAAATCCCGAGAGATGCCCCACCTTTGAAAGATAGCCTACCCCTATTTTTGGCTTGATTTGCTATATTTTTTTAAACACCAAAAGATAGCCCACTCCTGGTAGTAGTGTTGGGATCAATGATGGCCTCTGCGTAAATGCGGCTAGTTCGCTATGGCGGGATATAATCAAATGTTGCTGACTGGGATGTACAGTCATCTTGGCTTTGTTGCCCCTCGCCACCATAACAAGCTTGGAATGGACACGACCTAAAAATAAAAATTTTTTAAAACTTTTGATTGTACACCGAAAGTTAGCCTACTCCATATTTTCAGCCAACTTGCTCTTGACAATGGTTAAACGTTGTGAGTGTTGATACATACCTGTGAATACATCAGCTTGAACTTTATAATTATATTTGAACATGAAGAAAGAAAGGACAGAAGAGGACAAACAGCTGACTACCAATGGTGTTTTAGAGTAAACTTCTTCCTTGCACTTTGCTTCTTCACGAGAGTCCAAACTAGAGCATGATAAACCTATGACATAAATAAACCTATGGCACTAATAAAGATTACTACTGATAATTACACATATACAAAATTATACAAAACAATTACACAGAAATACCTAAAACTTGTTGTTTTTGAACTAACCTGCCACGAGCTTGTGCTGTTGTTGTTCGGGGCATGACATTTTGTAGGTATTTTCTTTTTTGTGAACGGTGATAGACGGGGTGCTGACGCAATCTTCCGCTTGTTCCTCGATAGCGAGTGCCTCAAGCACCTCGCGTGCATGAGGATAGTTGTTACTGCAGTAATGTTTGGAGGTGGGCTAGTCAGTGGTGCATAGTAAACATATAACTAAAACAATGCAAAAAAAACAAGGATGCGTAGAAGAAGAAAGAGCGCTATGTCGGTGTCCCTTCTATGTGTCCTTGTTTTTTGTGCTGTTTTAATTATATGTTTGCTATTGCTTGTTACTGGCAAGGATGGTTGTGATGTTGAAAGCTGTACTGCACTGGCATGTCGTGCAATGAGCTGCCAGATATCCTGCCTGTTCCCTTAAGAGACGCTGCATGCTTGCAGGCTCTGTCATTGATCCATTGGCCTGTTTGGCCAATGTAGCATTTCCCTCATGAAAGGGGAATGGGGTACACCACCCCTGTTGTGCATGAAACGTTCTGTGGGCCGTATCAGTTTTTTTTTTCCATTGTCCTTCGGTTGTCTGCACATGGAGTAGCAGGCTTTGTTAGGCGCGGAGCATACTACTTGAACGTCATTTCTTGCAGCAATCTTTTGCAACTTTTTTCAACTTTGAACTTGTCTGCGGTTTCACTAAAACACTGTTGATTTACACTAACGTTTAGTGTAAAGTTTACACTAAAACACCGTTGGTAGTCAGCTTTGTCCTCTCCTCTCTTTTCTTTCTTTGTGTTCAAGTTTAATTCTAAAGTTCAAGCTGATATATTTACAAGATTGCTCTTGGTGTTACATGGGCTATCTCTCGGGATTTTAGGGTATGCAGAGATACTCAGAACTTTGGTATGTATTCACATTTCCATCTCGTCTCGGAAGGCTTGTGAAGTCGACACTGCTGTATCTGAGGTTAAGATTTCTGTAGTTTGTACTTCGGTAATGAGCAACACAATTAAGGGCTGCTGATGGATTCTTGGTTACTCATTGACGTAACTGATGTTCCATTTGTGAAGTAGTAGGTCGTTCGTATTAGCCTTGCACCAAAAGCTAACTTCCTTCTCAAAAGCAAATCCAATAACTGGGTGGGTGGGGGGGGGGGGGGGGCACTTGCTTAGACATGTGTATTAGAGCTTTGCGATAATGATTGTTATAATTTGTTATTCACTTCAACCTGGAATTGAACACTGAAGTTTGAAACATTTCTCGTTATGAAACATGCTTGGATTGGTCAGTTATAGTCCGTTGCAACCTAAGAAGGTAGGGTGAGGGTAAAACGGGCTGGAGAAAAGGAAGCAGACGGAATGCTAGAAAGAGGAGGATTCCCCCTCTTCTCCAGCGTTCCGCCAGCTTCTCCGGCCCGTCTTACCCTCGCCTCACCTTCTTCAGCCTTAAGCCAGACTCATTTTCTGAAAGTTCTAGCTCCATTTTACATAACACGATATACTTCGAGCCACAATTTCCTTCCTTGTGGAATTTATACTAATTTCTATGAAATCTTGACCAAGCCAGTTTATTTGTGCTCAAAAGTCATGTTTCTAGAATAGTCAAGCGGGTAATGGGAGGCTGGCTTGATCACCAATGCTTCACCACTTTAAAGAGAGGATGAAAGAATGTAAATTATAAACATCTGGTAATTTATTTTAGGCTTCATATGAAATGGGCCATAAAAAAGAATGGCTGTAAAACGAAAACGATGTAGAATCTCTCTGGTGCATGCAGCATTAGTAAAAGTACAGGGTCGAAAGCGTTGCCCCAGCAGTTGGAAAAGAGGGGAAGGAGGAACCCCCCTCTTACCCAGACCCCATGTTTGACTCCCTTGGAGACAAAAGCGGCTTTTCTCCCTCTTACCCGTGGCTTCCACAGCACTACACGCAATTAGTGAGAATAGTAGCAGAATTCTCGTTAATAAAATTTGGAACACGATTTACCTTGCATTGGGAACAAAGGATGGATCCTTCCCAGCAACCAACTGTGCGCGCGCTTTTCGAGACCCAGTTCAATACACTTATAAGAATACTGAAAAAAACTTGAAAATTCAAACGTTATAACTGATTATCGTTGTACCTGGACAGGAAACTGCTCGTTATAAGCGGTACGTTATAAGTGGTACATTATAAGTGGATTGCACTGTATCACATCACAATTGTTTGGCACAGCCAATTCTAAAATAAACTTAGTACATCAGGTGCATCATCATCTTCTGCATTACATTTCCTGGAGAACCCTTCTACTACTTTTTAACTGCACAGGGATGCTGCAGATAACTAACCACATTTTTCCATCTGGCAATGTGGGGCCCTTGGGTGTCAGCACCTCAAACCCAGCCTGACCTAAGCCTGAATAAGGTTCTGATAAATTGGCAAGAGCACACCCAAGCCTGCACAGATCCCCACTGCAGTAGTGAGAACGGCTCGGCCCGCCCGCACTACTACTCCCAAGTGTAGTGTACTTAACACTGTCCCACATCTAGTAATCAAGTGAGGATACTTTGCACATTGTGCCCGCCTCCTTCAGGAGCACTAAACAAGTGTTCTGTCTGGTCTCTGTTGTACAACTTGGACTGTGACCAATTTACGTCTTTAGTTTCAGTTTCAGACGGTCGTCGCTGTACATGTATGGCGGCGATTACGGATTTTAAAGTGCCTGCCTAATTGCGAAACCGCATGCACCGCGGGAGGTGTTGCTCTTTTGGCGTACTATAAATGTTATATCTTTGGCAAACTATAAACATATTTGCATGGTGTTTCACTTTGCTGGGACTATTTATAGTTCTGAAATTGGATGGTTGCTTTGCATGTCTGGCTGCTTTGGTGGTAGTGGCAATTGGAGCGCAGGCTCTTCCAGTTCGGAATCTCGAACCACCGGAACGTTACGGAAGCGGACGCGCCAAAATGAAACCAAATGGAAGAAAGGCGACGTTTCACCGTCAATATTTCAATTCGATGCTTCTAAGCCTCAACAGCTTGCAAGCACTGTAAGTGCTCTTGTAAGATAATTAAGAAAAAAACCTGCGCATTGACCCTTTCTTTACACTATTCCTTTGGAGACAAAATCCGACCACTGGGAAACATCTTTTGGTAAAAAAACTCGACCATCAAAGTGTTAATAGGCGAGTATTTTTGAACAGTAAGTCCACAGGTACTCGGACATTGTAATAAAATTTACATTTATTATCTGACTACCACATTGGTGCAATGGAATTTTGGAATGTAATCTCTTAAACATACATATGTATTTTTGTATTTGATAAAAAATTGAACAAAAACAGGTTCAAGAAATACTAAAAATAGAGTTCCTTTGGTGCGTGGTACACATGCACATAAATGCACTTTAAAAAGGGGGCATGTGGAGCGGTTCAAGCCTTCATGACGATGAGGTTGTTCATAAGGTCAAAGCTGTTTCCATCGGGCTGCAGTTTGTATTCCTTTCCGGAGGCAACAGCGACCAAGTACCCATAGTCGTCCAGGCCTTTGATTAGTGCTTTGGAACCAAAAGTTTGAAGGGTGACCACTTGACCCCTGGAAGAGATGTATAATGGGTATACTGCAGAGAAGACGTACATAAAGCCAAGCACCCGACACATTCTTTTTGGTACGCAATAAGAGTAAAAAGTGACGATCGCGTGGGCGAGAGCAGTCTTGGAGATTCATCCTGTAGAGGAGAGTACAGCAGCGCCACCCCGCCCGTGAGCGGACAAGAGTGCAAGTGCAGTTGTGGTGCTGGTGTCGAGCACTTTCGCCAGTGGGGCACAGCGGGCGAGTCTTACACCTCTCTCCTCTAGCTCATTCGTACCCAGTGACGGAACCGGCATTTTAATTTTTGCAGGAGAATTTGTAGCAATCAAAATAATGGTCTGAAGGGGCCACAAATGCTTTTGGAGCAGATGTCAACATCTGTTTGCTCACCATTTTGAAACGAAACAATGATGGCATCACCGAGTGGAACACACAGCCTTATTTTTAGAAATAAGGCTCAGGTCATAAGTAGGTCCCATTTGCAATTTGTATTTAAAAAGAAAAGTAAAATAAAGCCTCCCCTGCTCTCTCTTTTACATGATAGCTTATTTAGTCTGGTAACATTCTTGTAAAATGCTAGCAAAAACTAGCGTATTCGCTAAGGCGTCTATTCATAAAAGTACCTAGGTCCTCCCAAGTTCTCTGAACTTATAGAACTGCAAAAACGACCACCCAAAAATATTATGAAAGCCTACAGTTGCACTTCAAAAAGTAGCACTGCGCATTTAGCGGCGTTGAAACCGTAGTCGAGTCGAACTGCGCTGCCATATCGATTCACTACTGCGGGTGAACTACCTTGACTGCAGTCTTTATTCACATATAGACCCGCGTTTCTTTTTTCTTCCCCTTTCTAGGCACAGCCATTTAAAATTAGAGGTCAGCCCACACTCAAGTCCAAAAAAGGTTGACCTGTAATACCAGTGAGCGTAATTTCCGAGTCAATCGTGCGAACCCGGGTGCTACCCCGTGTCAGCTGCTGCTGCTCCTAGCACTCGGGGGCAAAGCGGTGAAGCTCGATGCGCGCGCTGCTGTGGGGCAGTGAAAGTCGACGGGAGCGGCGGGAGTGTTCTGGTACATTGTAGCCAGACATGGAGGCATGTGCCAGACAGATTTGTACGGTAGGTACTCATCACAAGTAATCAAATTACTTGTAAGCGAAAACTTTTTGGAGTAATCTGTAATTATTTGAATACATTTACTGGGAATAATAATCTGATTACTTTTGGAAGTACGGAAATTACTTCTAACCATTATTTCTCTTCCCTCTCCTTTCTAATTGTGCTCTGTCTGTAAAAGTTTGCTACCAAGGAATTCTCCAACCAAGTCTTTGACAGAAGGATGGTTTACCAAAATTGATGGATTTAGAAAAGTAGTTTATAAAATATATATAATTTAGTGATTTGAATTCATAAATATTGAACATAAAGAAATGCCAACCATTGTCAAACCGGCAGAAAAATCTATCGGCATGGAAACCTGAAGTAATGGACAAGTAATGTGTTATGTATTCCAAGTAATCTAATTTAATACTTTGAACTACGTAATGTAATGGATTACTTTTTTAATTATGTCAGTGATGAAAGCGGCATTGGACCCTTTGTAGCAGGTTCTGTAGCAGCCAAAATATTGATTTGGAGCAGCCACTGATGCTTCTGGAGCAGATGCCAACATCTGTTAGCACATTGCTTGAAAATTAAGAAAAGTGACTGCATCGCTAGATCAGTTCATCTTTGATAATGATTGAGGGTTCCTCTTTGATCCTGGAGCATATTACTTATTACCTTTTGTTATAAGAATAGATAAGGCACCAAAGGTAGTTTATTTAGCCTGTATGAGGAAGTTCTGTAAAATGCCCACAAAAACCAGCTCGTCTATCAACAAAAATGTGTCCCCCAAGTTTCATGAATCTACCGAACTCAAGACTAATATAATGAGCTGCCAAAACAACCACACCCAAATATTGTGCAAACCTACACTTGTGCAAGTGACACTGCTCCTTAGCAACGTTGGAACCAGAGTGAAGTCAAAGTTCGCTGTTCCTTCGATCGACAGCTGCATGCGAACAACGTTGAGTACCGTTTATTCAAATAGAGACCCACATTTTTTTTTTCTCGGCGCAGACTTTTAGTATTGAAGATCAACCTACCACCAAGACAAAAAAAAGTAGACCAGGAATAGTACTGAGCACAATTACTGAGCCTATAGCGCTAACCCAGGCACTCACCCATGTCAGGCGCTCACACATGTCAACCGCTGCACCTAGCACTCTGGTGCAAAGCGGTGAAGCTCGACATGCGCGCGCTGGTAAGAGGCGGCACGGAGGCATGGGGCAGACGTGATAAGTAATCTCATCAGGAGTACAAGACCCTGGTCGTGTCTTCTCACAGTAGCTGCCATCCTACTATTTGGCAATGTTTTTTCGCAACTTTTCGCTTCTCACTGGAAATTTAGACAATGTCAGCGATCAATCTGCCCCAACCAGCGCGGTTGACGAGCAATTACAAGCCAATGGGACCAACCAGCGTGAAAGCGCGACATCAAGGCATTCACCCATCTTCATGTGCATGGTCTTTCATCGACTAAACAAATCAAGTACAGCGAATTTCCCGTGACTTGCGCTTTTAGTATGTGTTTGCGGTTGTATGTGTTCGAGCCTTCGGCTGTACTCTGACCCCAAATAAAACAAACTATACGGTGAGTAGGAACATTCTGAAATACGTATTTGTAGCATTTTCTTTTCCTCTTAATTCTCTAAATATTCAAGTCGACCAATTTTTTTTTTTGCTTTATTTATTTCGGTGCAGGTGTGGCGCAATTCTTAGCAAAAAATGGCACAAGATATAGCAGACTTTCGTTCATGGCGCAATTTGGCACAAATACGTAAAGGACGAGCGTGTTGTTCATGGTACTGAATATGAGGAAGGGACAAAGGGACGGACAACAACAGTTGTTGTTTGCGTTGTTGTCTGTCCCTTCGTCCCTTTGGTACAAATGGTGCAGCATTTTTACCACTGCATACTTGCTTCTCATGGACAGCGGCACAAACAGCTTTACTCCATTTCAAGCCGAAGCTAAAAGCATGAGCCTGCTGCCTTGGATAATGCATCTACTACGAAAGTACACATGCATGGCAGGCTCGCTCAAAGCAGGGGGTTCACTCTTGTCACTTTGGCTACTTTTGTGCTTAACGGTGAAATAAAGCTTGGCATTCACCTGTGGCTGGGACTAACACACAGAATTTAACTAGCGATCTCAAATAATACTCCTAGACGTAGGGCACCATAGTCTTTAAAATGCTTTAGTTTGCCTTACCCATGTAGCCAATACCGATAGTAGTCCTGAAGAATCATGTTGACACCACCACCCTGAAAAGTGGCCACTAGGAATTCCAGTTCGTTGAGTGCCTTGGCGATCACTTCCTCCGATGTTAGGGGTCTGGGACATTCCTGACTTGCATTTCTGGACACCACTTTTGCAATGTCGTTGATGCACAGCGTGGGCTGGCTGTTGGAGACGTTCAGGCCACAACCTGGGTGACACAGTTTCTTGTGAGTGCTAGAGACAGCGTGTATATAGATTTTTATCCAAAGGTTCAGTTCCCTAATGAAGAGTGAACAAGTTTTTCATACACAACAGCCAACACTTCTAAAGTATAAGCAGATACAGTCAGTGTTTGGAAGTACTTTAAGTACATTGTACTTAATACTACTTCAAGTAGGTTCAGAAAACTTGTACTTTACTTGAAGTACAGTCTCCTGCAATATGAGAGACCCACTGGGAGCGCGTGGCCGAGATGGCGGTGGGCGGGGACGCTGTGCGTGCCTCGGGCGATTCCATTCTGCCTCGAGGGGAGGACACTCACTCGGTGCTCAACCGGGCTTGAACACGCTCAACTCTTTCGTGACCACGTTCATAGGCCATCAATCACCGGTGATAGATGGTTTCCAAGCGCCATCAAGAAATTAAATTTAGTGCAGAGAATCATATTCCACAATCTCGTGGATAGCCGAAGAACGCTAGTTTCGGTTCTAAGGTAGGTTTAAGCTTTATCACAAGGTAGTGGGCTGTCAAAACTAGTCCTGGGATCGGAGGTTGCACTTGTCTAACATGACTAACTGCTTGCATTGGTCTATGTAACAAAGATGGCATTATTTACATAGTCAAACTGTATTGTGGCATATTTTTTAGACCGAGCTCTGGGACACTTTAAATTACGTTATAGACGTCACTTAACAGATGGTTGTCGGTAAGCATCACTATAATTTCCAAGGCTGTCCTGAGCCGGCGTGCACATTTTATCTTCCCAACAAAGCGCACAAAATTTCTAAATACGAGGGAACTGCAATCAAGGCTATGAACACAAAGAAAGCATTCTGCTGGGAATGTGAGGTGTATTATCTGTGTTTCACCGATAAGCATTCCTCTGTTGAAAAGCACACATTACGGAAGATAACTCTCCGATGAACGAAAAATAGACAATGTTAGTTAGAGTACACCAACTTTCAGAAGTAATAGCCCTGGGTGTGGAGCACATTTTCTATATTCCGATTTCTTTTTTTTTTATTTGTCGTCCAATTTGACATAGCTGTAGAAGTTTCGGCGTTTATACACCCTTCCACACATGCATCGCATTTTCAAGAAATATAATTTTTAAATCTTACCGACATTATACCAACCTCTGTTTCTTGTTAAGGGGGATGGTAAGGTAAACGGGTCATCTTGGTTTTAATTTTGTGTCTCAAGAACTACTGCATGTTTTATTGTGAAATTTTATGTATTGAATGGATAGACCTTTAGGGTTAATTTTCTGTTGCTTTTTTACTAAAGCATTTTTCATATTATTAGTAACAATGTCAAATCTTAAGCTGAGTTCTAGTTTTTAAAGTACCTTTTCTAAACAAAAAATAGAATGCTCATTTAATTTGGCACATATATTCTACATGTTACTGGCTTTGAACCGAACCTGAAAAAATAATTGAACATGCAGCATCCAAGAAAAATATTGTTCTTTCTATTCATGAGCCATTAAAGGGAAACTTTTATATTTTAATTTTTTTTTAAATGTTATAATGTAGTGAATTCTTAAAACGTTTAGTTTCGAATTGTTGGCAAGATTTTACTATAAGCTGTAAAAGTTTTAGTGTAATCGGATAAGTAGTCTCTTAGTAAAGGTACATCAAATTTCCAAACATTTCAAAAATGTCATTTTGAGAAAAAAAAAGATTTTATGTCTCTCCACAATAGTCAATGGCCAGGGACCGCGGATTTTGGCGCCATATTTTAGTGGCTTAGAACGCTCGTTCGCTCTGCCGCTTGCTGGTTTTGTTCCTCAGACTGCATATAATTTTTTAACACTAAAACTGCAAAATCGATTTTTTGGTTGGTTTACCCTACCATCCCCCCTTAAAAAAACTAACTGGCTAAATTTATGATGTGTCACTTTTCTCCATATGCAAGTTAGGAAATCAAAAGCGTTCACGCGGATCCTTTAAAAATTCCTACTTTTCCCATGTCAGGAAAGAGTTAACAGTTTTTGGTTTCGGTTTAGCAGAAGAGCGTGCTTCATCGACGTCATGACCAGAGATATGGTCACGAAGCCTCGACACAAGCTAGTCATCACTGTTTTTTATTAGTTGTTTCTGGTGTAAAATGTCAGAACAGACACTACCAAATAAACAAATATTAAAGTGATACCCGAGCCCTATATTTAAAAGATAAAATTTGTTGACGAGTGCATTTATTGGTTAGAAGAATGGCACGGATCCTGCGCTTAAACGAAGTCAGAATATTTGCCTTGGCTCAGGCCCGTCTCCCTCAGACAGCAATTGCGGCGTTAATAGGACATAGCTGTGGCATGACGCTGACGAAGTGCTCTCCACCACGAAACCGAAACTGACAAGCGCATGTAGCGCCCACGCCAGCCACTCTCTCGGCCACGCGCTCCCGTTGGGTCTTTCATATTGCTGGAGACTGTACATTCTCCAAGTATGTACTTGTACTTTGTTTGAAGCATTTTTTCTGGTACTTTTGCAGCAAAGTACAACTCCCGACTTCAAAGTACAGTCCCCAAATTCCGAGAAACCTTTTTGCCATAGTAGTGGTGTATTAAGGTGGCTCCCTAGAGACACAGTGCTAGACAAAGAGCACGGAAATCTTTTGGGCAGGCTGAGATTACTCTGCTGTTTTCGGCATCCACTGCCCAATGTTTTTTCTGTTGAGGTGTGGATTCACCAAATCGGTAGATAATCTCCAAGCTGGTGCGTGCCCGCAGGAGCAAGCTTCCACAGAAGTCATCTCTTTTGACGTTCTCAGAAAGCAATAACTGTATTCCACATGTTGTGTAAAGTGCTGAGAAAGGCACAGAGACGAGCGCATTGATTTGGGTAGTGCCTTCTTGCACTCGGCAAAATTAAGCTCTTTCAAGAACCACACGCTCGCGTCCTTGGCGTTCCCAGTAGTACCTATACTACACTATGTCTGAGGTCGAGTATAAGAGTTCACCAACCTCTCTCAAAAAAAAAAAAAGGCGTATCGTCTTTATGTGAAAACATGCTATCGTCTTTCGAGACATCATCCAGTCATTTTTCTGAGTGAATTTCGAGGAATGTATTTGGAAAAGTATTTGGAGGAGACCAAATACATTCCGTTGTATTTGTATCTTGTACCTAAATGCTTTTCTGGAAATGTAATTAGATTTGTAATTAAATGCATTTTTGACAAAGTATTTTCTATTTGTATTTCGATACATATTTGCATGTATTTTGCCCATCCCTGGTTGGGGGTGTGTTCCTCCACATTTCTGGCTTCACGTCTGGTGGCGTCATATCACCTCCAGAAGCTTCCTACCTCCATGTTATATGTGGATTGAAAGTGTTCCAGAGCTACTGATAGATGGTGCCAGTGTGCCAGTGCTCTCTCATCAGAAGTTGTCACAATCAAACATTGTGCAGTCAACCCCAGTCTTAATAACTCCTAAATAAGTGTTGCTAGCTAGCAACTAGATGTCCTGCACTACTCGTGGAGAAAATTCAATTTAAACAGGATCACATCAAGTTTTGCGACATTCTACGTCAATTGTACCCAACATCAACTAAGTTAGTACCCCATTTAAAATGGGAAGTAAACTACTCTCACCAATCAGTGCATCAAATCACCACACAGCAACAGCTGAAAGTATCGCTTACCGATGTAACAGGTGATGGTATCCTTGTTCACGGTAGATGTCACTAGGATTCCCCCAATCTTGGCGTGGGTCTCGTAGTAAATGTCATTTGGCCATTTGACGCGGATGTTGACACCCTGGAAAAGAAGTCGAGCTGCAGGTATCGGAAAATAAACACGTAGACGTATAAAAGGGTCGTTGACTGGGATTTTTATTTCTACAGGCATTGGAAAACCTGGCAGAACAAGACTGTGCAAGTTTTTTTCCAAGTACCCCGCTTGCACGTCCAAGCACCGCGGCCATCGTATTGGGCCGATTCCTTTTGCATAGAAAGAACTGCGCTGCATAACTGGAGTTAGACAAACGTGTCCGTGTGGTTCATGTGCCACCGGCAGTCGTCTTTCGCCAAACTGCCGACACCATTCATATATTGATGTCCGTGACATTGTTTCTTCTTCACACTACGCCTGCAATCTCCTCAAAATTTCAGCTGGTTTAAGTTTCTCCTTCACTAGAAATTTAGTTATGCACCGCTTCTCTACAGCTACACTGCTCGTCGCCATGAGGGCTGGAACTTCTGCGCGTGCGTCAAATACATAATTCCGGGCATTGGATATTCAAAGAGGATTATACGTTAACGTCCTATGCGAGTGTCATCACGTTACACATGTTCAGCGATTTTTCATGAACAAAAGTCACATTCAACCTTGAACGACCCTTGTACACCAAACATGCACAAGGAAGCACCATGGAAGCACACCTCATAGCCCTCTGTATTTCGCACTGCCTTGGCTAAGGCGAGGGCTGCTAGATGCTGGACAAATGGGCTTCTCTGTCCCAGGGGAGAGTGGAGAGGAATGTGCAGACACACTGTGAACATGGCACAGCCGGCAGGTCCGAGCCATGCATTGCCTCCTCGACCTATAATCAACATAATCCAGTCAAATACTCAAGTTACCAAGAAAAAAAAACGTCTGTATTTCCTTCAGAAGAAAGCTTCACCTTTTCCATTTAGCTGCCGAGTAGCCACTGCAACAGAACCATGCGTGTTGCACAAACTAAAAAAAAAAAAAAAAGATGAGTAAGCACTTCCAAGCTAACGCACAAAGAACATACTGAAAACACACCCTTCAAAACTCAAGCACAAAGGAAAAAAAGACGACTTTAAGTTCTTTAAAGGGGCAGTGCAACGATTTTCAGACTTTGGCCAATTAACTGCGGAAATTAATCTGCGTCACCTATGGAACGAAAAACCGAAAGCCGCATTTTCTTGCGAGTGCTAGTTCTTATTTAAAAAAATGATACAAATCGAAGGTCAAAGTGCCTCTCAACTCTCCACTCCGATTTTCGAGTGACATCTCTGGGGGTTCACGTGGTTTCCCCTTGGGCCCTCTCTTCAGAGACCCCAGCCGCTTCCTCCGCGATTTTCGAATGTCAAAAGATTAGCCTCGTCGAAGGTCGTGGCGAGCGATGGACACAAAGGACGGTTCGCCACGGGGCTGACGGCGAGTGTAGCAGCGGAGGGGACAGGGTTTGTTGACTTCCGTGTATCCCTGAGAGATGCCGTCATTTTAGTTCCCGTACCCCCGAAAGGCGGCTGCAAATCGGCAAATAATTTGTTTTTTTGCCTAGTGATTACGCAGCAGAATAGCCGTTTTTTGGGGAAAGGTGACGTGTTTTTGGTCACTTGGGCTTGTATGAACAATATAAAAAATGCAAACTGGCAATTCTTTCAACATTAAAACCGTTGCACTGCCCCTTTAAGCAGTAAAAGAAGGCATATTGTATAAAGGAGCAAAGCGACAAAAGTCTGCGTTTTTGTTGACAATACATTAATTGGCTTCACTGAAATACAGCAGCAACTCGAGGACCCAGATTGTCAATTAAAATTTTAAGGTTTCACTTGGGGGTTTAACGATCTAAACTAACGAAGGGCACCTGGCACGCCCCAACGAAGAACTTGGGATTAATCTTGACCACCTAATCGTGTAACCAAAAATTTCGGTTACACAACAATTTCTCCGCTATAAGCATCCGTCAGATTGAAGACACTTCAGCCGGGCTTTGAACCCGCCAACTGGGGATCCAGGCGACGGTCTGAGAGCAACCGAGGTGGCTAGACAGATTGTATCCTTCCATCCTATGTGATTCAAGAGAAATCTTTCAAACCCTTTGACTATGCCTAATCACCTTTTTGTGAGGTTTGTATTAATGACATATATTTACAACCCATAATAGAGCTTCTGTAAATGTAAACAGCCTTCTGTCCAGTCTCACACATTGCATCTTATCAACAAGTCAACATAATAGCTATAATAATAAAGTTGACTATTGTGTGCATGTCCTATAGAGAACCAGTTGTCTTAGAACAATGTATTGCCTAGGCCCTGAGGAAACCAGAGGTGATTCTTACGCTTTGACAGCTGTCATAGTTGTGGTGACGTTCTCCACAAAGAGAAGAGCATGGCCCAAGTTGTGAGTTTTGAGTGCAGCAAAATATAATCTGCTGTTGAAGACATCACTGCTAAGCAAGCCCTCACTGCTTGACAGAACAACAGGAAGGCAATGTGTCGTCGGCGTGATGACCTTTGCCTGATCCTCGGTGATGTAGCGGAAGGTGATTTCGTTATCCACAATGGTACCATTTTTGGCACAGCTTTGGATTCTTGAGAGCAAGTTGTCATGTGCCACCTAGAACGAAGATAAATTATGATTTTCTACAGTCGGTCATTGGTTCACCAATAATGCAGTCCTATTTTTGCGGACATGAATTCATCAAGGAGCTTGCTCGTGGCAACTGAACCTTTTTACACAAAACTAGCTTGCCAAACTTTACTTGCAGGCAATCTGCACAATTAATCTGGAGCTGACTGAGCTGGCTACGTAAGCCAGTTTCTCGACACTGCATGGTGAAATTGACCACAAGAATTTAATCAGGAGGTTGGTTCATATTAGAAGATTTTAATGCACCAAACGTACAAGTAATGATTTTTTGTAGACTAGAATAATTTTTAAGATTCAAGTTGGATGCACTGTTTGAAATGACACATCATCAATACCAGGTAAGCGATGGAAAAATATTTTACCTTGTTTGCTGAAAAAATGTGTCCAAGAGAAAGTTTATGCTGAGGCCTGGCATCACAGTTCAGGTGAAACCTTGTAGACAAAATATGACGAAAGATGGATATCCTTGTTTCATTTGATTTCTTCAAAAGTGCAAAGACGTCTTCAGAAGGACTGAAGAACACCGGGTCATACTCCAGGTGAATCTGAAGAGAGAAGTTTGAATATTGAAGCCAAAACAAAAAAAACATTGGAGCTTTGCATCTAACCCAGAGCTTAAACCCTACATCTTGTACTCCAGGAGCCGAAATGGAACCTTGAAGGTTCACTTGCTGCAGAAATCAAAATGAAAATCTGTACATTGTCTAAATGGCTGAATATGTGGCACCGAGGTTAATCAGCATACCAATAGAGTTCTAAATTGCTGCTACGCAGCAGGATAAAATTAAAAACCGTGAAGGGCAAAGTGGCTGCACATATGCCTCGCCAACTTCTGGTATTGTTACCTAGTGGCAATTGAAATCAAAGTATTATTTGTGTTGGAACTAAAAATAATGCTATTTTAAGCTCTTCTCTGGAACCAGCAGGGTATGATATGAGAAGGGTTTCATGTTCTCAGGGATTACTTTTCTTGCAATTCGGGGGCATTTTTTCAGGGCGGGGGTCCACAGATTCATTGTTTTTGGGTAACTATTTTTGATGTCGGGCGAAACACCTGTGTTTATCAGAATTTAAGTTGAAGAAAAATAGAACACGGCCCCCCTTTAAGGAAACGTGCGTTAGACCTTAATACCTGGAAAACGCCCCAGTACTGCTAACTGAATAAGGAAACAAAGTAAAGGGTATGGTTCCAAAGAAAGCAGCAGCCTCATGGACAGTTCACTGGGGACTCTGTTCTGGATTACCAGAAAATAAAACTACATAATGAGTTTCTCCTCATTAACCCCTTGCCTACTCATTTTTTTTCTTTAAAGATCGTACAGAAAGCCTTATTTAAATCAAGCAATTTGCGTCAAAATAAAGAAAAACGTTTCCTTGGCTTTCAGGCGTAGTCTCGTGCTCTATACCAGGACTTCTGGTCGTCTCCTCTTCTTCAGTAGTTCTTCACAGTATGATAGAAATCGAGAGATTAGCAGAAACCTCACATAGGACATCGTTTTGCCGAAAATTGGGGTCTCCACTATGGACCTCTTGGACCAGTTCATTTTGACTGTGTGTTTTTTCACTTGCGTCATAATGATGCACAAGGCAAAGTATGCCTTTATCTCATCAGGAGTGGTGTCAAACCATTGCTCCTCATAGCATTTCTTGGGACGGTCCTCGTCGCCCATCTCTTGTTCGGCGTAGCGATTTGTCTCAGCAGAGACAGATGCCCAAAAATCATGACTTGCAAACACGGAAAAGGTCGACAAGGCGCTTGTCTTCTCACCAAGACTGCGTTGAACCCTTGCTGACACACCTGGGGTTTCTACAAAGGTGAACTGAGCAGGCTGGTTGTCCCTCTTCCCCAGTTCCACTGACGTGCAGACGCCGAAGTCGATGAAATGCTTCCAGGATTCGCATCGTTTTCAACACTTTTCTCACTGTCCTTTGAACTCTCATCGGATTCCGAGTAATCGGAAAGGCAGCAGGATTCGTCGTCAGAAATACTGGCGCATTCATCACTTTCAAAAAGAAGTCTTTGTATATCTTTGTCCGCCAAAGCAGACCTCCGCGCCGAAGACATGTTTTTGGCGCGCTTGCTTACAATAGCGCGCTTATTTTTTGTCAATGGAGCGCCCTCTCTCTGTCAAAAGGCAAAGCAAACAAGAAAAGAACCCAAGGTAAACCGGAGCAACAGGGTTAGTGCTGCCATCTGCCGCAGAGCTCACAAAACAAGCTCTGAAACCGAAACACGAGTCACACTCGTGGTCGGGTTTTATGGTCCGTAAATGGCGGCACGAGTGACACTCGTTATTAGTAGGCAAGGGGTTAAGCTTGGCTTTAACTTGCTCAAGGACAACTCTAATTTGCAGTTTTTCAGTTTTCTCTGATTTGGATAAAACTGCCTTGGGGGTTAATTTTAGGTGTTTATTGGTATCCACCCAAAACACAGAATCCTACAGGGTGTTCCCAAGCACTCTTTGGGTGTAAAAAAATTAATATAAATAAACCAATAAACTGAGTGCAATGAAACTTCTCACAAAGATGTCTTTACGTGGTGCATTTATCATACTTAAATTTCACATGTGTAGACTTCAGGAAAAAAAGTCGGGCCTGAAAAAATCTTTTTTCGTATGCACAGAGAGGAAAACCGCAAAAACCTTCTGGTTTCTGCCACTCCCAGATGGCGCCAGACACGCTCGGATCTGCTCGACCTGCTTTTGGGTATTAATCTCAAAGCTTTAACGCTTTTGCCTTGCATTCTGCCATCTGTGGGTGGCAGTGTCAACCAGAAGTTTTGTTTTTACGTTTTCCTCCCTATGCATACAGAAAAAAACATTTTTTTTTTTTTCATGCGTAAACTTTTTTTTTGAAATCTACCACTCTCATGAAATTTGAGTATCATAAATGTACCACCTAAAGACACCTCTGTGAAAAAATCTATTGCCCTCAGGTAACTGATTTATTTATTCAAATTTTTTTGATGCCCGAATAGCGCTCGTAAACACCTTGTAAATATGTCTCATTTTATGGAGCATTCTGCTTCCGGCATCAAGCTAAAGTTATTTGGACACAAAAGTACAAAACCGAATATGCACATGCTGAGAAGAACAACTTGACCTGCACTAGAAAACAACTAGTTTCTTTCAGGTGCTTCCCATATTATTAACCATTTCACTTCCCTCCAAGAGTGAAATCTCAATATCGGATGTCTAGAAAATGCCGCTGTTGGAGTATCTGCGATAAAAGAAGAGGCGACTGCCCTTCCGATGTGGTCAGCAGTTGCTATCTTCCAAATACGATAAGGTAGCTTAAGAATGTAAGGTGTGCTGTGCCAATATAGGGGCTATACAGCAGCATGCAAGCTGGCATAGCCTGTAGATGTTATAAAACAGAAAACAACAATATGCATAAGAGTAGAGGTACAAAGGAAATTTGTTCATATTTAGTAACTCGAACAGAACAAACAGTTATAATAACATGCCTATTGGTTAAATATTTTTACTCCCCAAGAAAAATAAGGTAGCACATTATGCATATAGAAGCAGAAATGTTAAAAAGATCTAGCACCAATTATGTCATATTTTAACACATACTTCATGAAAAATTAAAAAAAAAAAAAAAAAAATTCCATTCATCTGGTTTTATGCAACCCTTGAAAACTTTGGAGGATGCTGGTGCTCAAGAAGTTCAAAGTGTTTGCACCTTGATATATTTTGGTTGCTAGTGCACCACTTGATGATTTCTTTTATTTCACTATTGATTTTTTTTTGCATAATTAATTATCTACTTTATTGAAAGTATTGCAACTTTACACAAAGGGGTAGCTAGATGCTGATTGTATATTTAATAAAAAAATCTGTACCCTGAGAAGAGTTGAAACAAAACAATTTTCGTTTTCCTATTGTGGAGGTTGTTCTTGTCAAAATCTAAAACAGTGCTGGTGGTCGCTGTGACAGCAATTTGAATAAAACAGTGGTAATGGAGGAGAGCAATTGATGGTCCAACCGTATTGTTTTTCTCAAAATAAAGGCCACCATGATACAGAATGGTGGTTATTAGTTTTGCAAACCCAGCTATAGGAAAATCATGCATTGTTAATTTTTGATGCCCTACATTCTGAACATTGAAACTTTAGAAAGATGTATCCAGCACATATATTAGTCAAGCCGTAGGCGGAAAGCTTTCAAAATTCCCAAAGGGGGTTAAGGGAGGGGGGGGGGGGGGGGGGGGGGGGGGTACACGAGTACACGAGGAGCCTGCCACCATTTGCAGTTCCCTTTAAGTAACAGCAGGTCACCCCTTACAATGGTTGAACTGTGTCATCCCAAGGACGTCAAATGAGCTTTCTGGACGCACGTAAGCAGCCATTCAGAATTATGGGTAGGGTTCTGCGTTTTTGGAGTTTATTTTTTTTTCTCGAAATTGGGGTATTTTTTTCCGGGGTTTCATTTTTTCCTACAGACTCGGTGTTTTTTTGTGTAAATTGGTTAAGTCAGAACCAATTTACACAAAAAAACACTGAATTTGTAGGAAAAAATTAAACCCCGAAAAAAAAAAAAAACCTCCCAATTTCGAGAAGAAAAAAAACCCTGAAAACGCAGAACCCCAATTATGGGGTGCCTTTGTAGGAAGTCACAAAGAAGTCTGTAGAAATGCCTCATGGTGCCATGCAATGCGGTTGCGCCACGGGGACCTTCAACCAAAGTGCGTTTTCTGAGATAATCTTAAAAAGACCTTTTCAATCAGTTTCATTATTTCATAACCAGTAAAGAGTTTTTGCTCTTCCCTTTTTTTCATTTTTTTTTTTTTCATTCCATATGATGTTAGAGCGGTGGTCTTCAAGCTTTTTGGCTGAGGGGCCGGATAAGAGATCCATCAGAATTTCGAGGGTTGGAAAAAAAAGGAGTAGCTCAAAACGAGGAAAAACTAAATAAATAAATAAGAATAAATGAGCATTCGAACACAGAAATGAATGTTAGAGTAACGCCCGGTTCACACAGCTCCGTCTGCTTACGTTATGCTATGTAACAAGAGCTTACGTCTGCTTATGTCGAGAATCACCGTGCTAGCGTGCACAACCAGCTCAAGGGGTGGACATGCACGTGACATTCGAGGCACAGATGTTCTGGAGATTGATAACGTAAAGTAAGAAAACGCTCCTATGTGAATGGGCCTTTAAGGTGAATGAATATGTATACTTCAACTTGAAGTTTAATATTTAGCGAATTACGACATTACGCAACAGCGACCAACTAAATCAAAGCGCGTGGGAACTTTGCCACATTCGCACAGTGCAAAAGACTAATGAAAATGATAAAACTCATGCTGACAATATGCAATAGTTGTGACACAAGACCCTAAGCACAATGCTAATGAGAATGCAAAAATAATTTTAACATAGTTAACACAGACATGAAGCAAGGGACTAAGAAGGGTGGCTTGTGATGACAACGTTTAATTAAAAATATGACGAGAGGATCCACGTTAGGATGCAGTTTCTCTCATTCTTTCTGGTATCTTAGTTTGCCCATTTGGAGCGTGTCAAAGGCCTCGCTTCTTTAATTTAAGCTCATTGCTTTTCCCGCTGGTAGCAGCGGGTCTGCTGGAAGCAGGCCGCCGGCCGGGCTTTATTGGAAGGGGCGCGGCCACCACAGACCGGTCGGAAGACTTCCATAGGCGGGATCTGGCCCACGGGCAAGGGTTTGGAGACCCCTGTGTTCCAGTTTGATTTGCCCTTTCTTTTTGGAGCATGTCAGTAGTGAAAACAAAAAGTCCAAGTCTATGTACAATACTCGGAGCTTGCTGGGTTTGGTTAAAACTATGGTAAGGGTTGATTTCTAGATAATTTCTTCAGTGACCTTTTTCTGAGAAAACTAAACCGTCAAACACCAGTTGAGCACATTCTCACCAGTATTGATTGGTTTCCTCTGAAACCATACAATTCTAATTGTAGCACGGAGTATGAACTAGCTCTTGCACGGAGTATGAACTAGGAAATCGCCATAGTTAGGTTATCCTTCAAAGCATAAAATAAAGGTGAAAGCAGGGTAAAACTTAAAGGAGCCCTGCAACGACTTTTTGACTGGTCTTTAATTTGCACTGAACCTGGTCGTACTGAACGTAATAACTTAGTAAAACTTTTCTTGAAATTCACTTTATTTTAAAAGTTAAAGGCAAATTAAAATTACCCAAACAAGGTAGAAATAACCTCCTTCATGATGTCCCTGGTTCTGGCTTGGGAGACCAATGGTAGAAGTGAAGCGACTGGCTAATCGGCTGCGGCTTATGCCGACGGCCGCTTCCCCTGCAGCCGCATGTGCGTCAACGGCTTGTTGCTTGTCTCAGGCCACCACCGCGCTTGCCAGCATGAATTTACCGGGTCTGTTGGAGTTGGAGCTCCAAATTCTCGATAGAAGTGCGGAGTTGGGTGTAGTAATGTACAAGGACACTCCTCGTAAGTGTCCGGAGCACACTGGCAAAGCCTCTCGGCCCCAACTCAACGACGCTCAAGTTCAGGGCAAGTTCCTGGCCGGTTTCCTGTGGCGGGAGACCACAGGAGACAAATTCATACTTTCACTTCTTGAAAATAGTGCCGCCAGCGTCGTGCGTCGTCTGCTAGGATCCGCGGGGGCACCTGCGCTGCCTCTTCCAGCACTTGGTGGCGGGTATGTCGACGGGTCATTGTAGAGATCCGGTCATTGCACATTGTTTCTTGTTTCCAAACTTTCTAAACTGCATTTGTTTCTTTTCTCATCTAAAATACTGAACAAAAACTACTTTCATAAATAACTGAAATAGTTTGCGCCACTTTTATTTTGTATTTTGACTAAAAAAAGCTTTTAGCGGCTCTGACCAGTCGTAAGGCAATACCTGACCGAAACCGACGACATCACGAATTCGTCACATGCCGCGCACGTTCGGCGCCACTTGGCGTCCCCATAGAAGGAGGAGGTTTCCGCATCGTCCAATTAAAATGTGATGCATCAATATTTAGTGACTCTCTCTGTGCCCGCTTGGTTGCCAGAACCACTAGAGATGTCAAAAACACAAAAAAGGTAGACGTTCAAATAGGATTGCAGGGCCCCTTAAACCACCTCCTAGAAGTCATGCATAATTTCCAAAATATAATTCCCCACCCTTAACTTCCTCTATCCTTGATGAGTAAAAACTTAATAAAATTAATTCAATATTTATGTCAATACGAGAGAAAAAGGGCCCACAGAAAAAGTGTCATCATTTTGCTGCCACCTGAAGGCCACACAGAGAGGAAGTCATGCTGTCACAGGTCTTTGTGCGGCCCCTAGTCGCTTGCTATTACAGTCCTTACCTGGGATAGAAGGGCGACACCTCTGCTGCTTTTTAGCTTCATTTCAAACATGAGGCTCCTGCCTTCTTGGTCAGACGCAAGTGTTTTGACATTGGCATCACTGTCAAACGTGTACTTGGACTGTCCCTCCATAATGTATGCACCAGACGCATGCTCATAGTTCACACAGGCAGGACGCGGCTGGGCACTGAGTTCGCTGGATGTGACACCGGGAAGGCAGAGCCGCGAAGCCATCACTAGAAGGCTGCCACCACGAAGGAGGTATTCGGTGAAGATGCGGGTAGTCGTGTAGCTCAGTTCCTTGCAGGCAACGATGAGGAGCTTTGTGTTGGAGAGCCATGGGGTGCTTTTAACCTGCATGCATTTGCACGACATTACTTTCTTATAGTATGAGTCAGTGAAGTGAGTGGGGTGGGGGGGGACTGCTCCGGGTGCAGCGCTCAGGGGGGTGCAGCTGGGCAGTAAAGGGGGGGGGGTTGGGGGGGTCGCGGTGAGTTACTGTCCTGGGTGACGCTGACTCTAGTGACCAGTAGCGTAGCCAGGATTTTCTTTTGGGGGGAAGGGGGGCTGAGGTGGCTGAAATGTCCATGATTTCGGGTACGGAGAGGGGGGGGGGGGGGGGGTGAAGCCCCGTCAGTTCCCCCCCCCCCCCCCCCCCCCCCTTTCCCACCCACCCCTGGCTACGCCCCTTCTAGTGACGCTACTGGTACGAGTATATTTTATTCTTGCATTTCGTAACTTTATCTAGCACACACATACCTCTCGCCAGTGATGCCTTTGACGAAGAAATTGCACGCTCAAATTGTGCAAACAAACACGCAGGAGCTTGGGATGCAGAGCTTCCGGTCACACAAAAAACGCCCGAGAACAGCGCTTACTGAAGATGTGTTTCCGCACTCTAGCCCGCACCGCCTAAGCACGGTCTATGTCAAATATGATGGCGAGATCGAATAGGTGGTATTCACTGGCGGCCATAGCTGAGCTTGCTACAGCTGAGCACGTGCTGACGGCAGGCCTCCACAACGCTTCCAACACGCACATTGCACACCATCAAAATTGACATTTTCTTTTTCTTTTTTTTTGGGGGGGGGGGGGGGGGGGCAGCACATAAATAAGAACTCATCCAGAGCATACGCTGTGAGCAGTCACCTCAAATACGGCATCCAGTGAATACCATATCTACGATTAGACAACTTCAGATGCACCAACGAACCGGTGCACATAATGCAGCCAGGAATTCGAGGGGAAAATAAACATACCTGTTGTTCCGAGAGTAGGTAAACGGTGTAGTAGTCCGGACTCAAGCACATGTTCAGGGTTTCCTTCACCGCATTGAACCGCGACTGATCCGAGTCGTGTTCCTCGTTGGTGAAAACCAGCACATTCGGGGGCTTCGGTGGCGGCATGTCAGGCGAACTGACCAGTCTCCTGGCAAGGAAACTTCCAGGCGACGCGACTCCTCGTAAAGGTAACTGAGAAGAAAAAAATGTCAAGCGACGATTACAGTCTCAACGAGGAAAACTGGTGACTGGGGGTTTCCTTTTCTGCTCGTCTCAGGGTTGATTGTACCCACCAAAAAGTACGATGACGGCTGGAGGGATATGCGGCGAATAGCAAAGAGAAGCATTTATTGATTAGTAGTTTCTCGGCTCAGACAGATTTACTACTCACACAACCATATTCACAGCAAACAATCACCCAGGATCCACCGACCCAGCCACGCAGCAGTGGTGTGTTTACAAGTTCGTAATCGTAAATACAACAAGAAAGGTAAAGAACGGAGTTCGGTCCTCAGATAACTGTAGATAAATAAAACAACGTTTTGTTTATTTTTGTATTGGGAAGCAGCTTGCGCCACCCCTCGTATAATCTACTCACTAAACATAGAAAGTGAAATTTTAAAACGAAGAAATGATAATAAAGACATATAACTGGATTAGATTTTTTTACGACCCATTGATTTATATTTAGTATTAGTTTTAACAATAGAAACAATGAACTACATTTAAAAGTCACTATAATATGTTTCGGTTTCTGTTTCCCGTAGCATAAAGCGTGTTTCACATGCAGCGGTTTTGGCCCTAGAGCGGCGCGATTTCTACCGTCGCGGCGCTCTCTGATCAACACCAGAGGTTGAGCGGCACGAGCGCCGCGACGGCAGAAATCGCGCCGATCGCTGCACGTAATATGCAACGTTTACCTTCCGAGTTTGTTTCCGACGGGTAGAATTAAAACAAACTGAATAAGTTGTAGAAAAATAACTGCCGGGCACAGATACCAATTTAAAATAGGTGGGCTCGGCGTTGGCCAAGCCTCAATTAAATATGACAAATCGTGACAAGAACTTAACGTTGAAAGGACTACAGTTAGCAAGAAACACCGCGAATTTCGAGAAGTCAAACAGCGAAGAGACAAGTCACCTCGCACGATGGGAGGTATTTACACAATCAATTTAACTTGAGCTACCTAACCGCATACACTGTGATCAGGCGTGACGCCTGATCACAGTGACCTAACTCTCCCGAGTTAAATAAAGAAGGAAAGAAGCAAACAAAAAAGTAATTCTCACGAGGAAACGGAGCGCCGATGGGACAAGACGATCTGGCGCGACGACGACTGTGACGTCATTATGTCCTTCGCAATAGCGGCGGAACCGAAACACAATAAAAATAACCACCTTCCTCAAATGTTTTTTTTTTTTTTTTTAGCGGGTTAGTTGAAGTCATTTTATTGTGTTTTAGCGACCGTACGAAACGACTATTGTATGAAGATGAGAGAACAAGGAAGCGAGGATTTCTACAGTATCGTCATGGCGTGCGTACGTAGCTGCGTACTGTAGGTTTGTGTACTTAGTACTTACGTACAAAAATCGAGGGGGAAAAGGGTGTATTTATTTATTCACTTAAAGAAAATGACCTGCAGCATTACAGCAGGTACAGACCTCGAGAATAAAGCAAAACACACAATAATATATAATAATGCAATATACAGTAAAGGCTGTAAAAAGTTCATAAAAAGTGCACGTAAAGACCAAAATTAAAAAAAATATTGAGACCACATTTCGAAAGGAATGGTCCCACATCATTATGCATAAAATAGGCTTCGGGCAATGATCATTCCACTTAGTAATTGTTTGAGGAAAAAACTAATGTTTCTTATAATCTGTACGACAGAATATTTATTTTATCTTTCTGGAATGGTACCTGGCGACTTGATTGTGTGTTCAGACAAGGACAATCATTGGGGAGTCATGTCGATTTTTTTATTTTGAATTGTTTGTATGATATAGCAAAACATGTCCACACAGCGGAACAGACCTTGATTTTGCAAGATACTTCCTTGTTTTCGCGAGGAAAAATCGCGTCCGAGACGAGAGGAGGTGGAGAATTTCCCGACTGCGCGTTGACGCAACTTTGAGGAATATGCAACCTTTTAAAGCGTTAGTATTTTTATGTATAATGCACGTAAACTGGTACACTAGAGTTAATTAAATTAATCTTATTTGAGTTTATATTTGAAGAGAATAAAATGACAAACTTGGCTTCTTAAGCAACGCTATCATTTTTAGGCCTTTAGTTAATTTTTAACGTGTTTTTAAATAATGATTTTGAGCTGAAACTTTCTCTGCAAAATAATTCATACTTTGCGCACTTTTGAAAAAAAAAATAGTGTTCTGCTGTTGTAAGTGTTTCTTACATCGCGCCCGGAATTTGTCTGAAAATTGAAAATGTAATGAGGCGAACTTTGAGCAGCAATAATCATCGTCGATTTTCTTCAAACGTCATCAGACATGGATCATTGACAACCGGTAATTCCAGATCGGCGAAAACATGTTGCGCTATTTTATATTAAAAAGGAAATGTTTAGCCACGTCTACTATTATGCAGTCGATTACCGGTGGAGTGTTTTAGCGATTAGTGGTACTCGAGCACCGCGTGACACATTGGCCGCACTTGGTCATAATAACGCGCATAAAACACTATACATATAAAAAAATAACTGTGCGTTGTTTTTTTGTTAGTGAGGTGGTTGGTATTGCATATGAAAAATGGACTTTGCAGCGCGCGTTCGGTTTTTAGGATGTTGTACTTGATTGATTATAATCAGTGGCGTGGCCAGGATTTTATTTTGGGAGGGATTCAAATGCATTATCCGCCCCCCCCCCCCCCCCCTTTCCCCAATGACGAAGCAGGGTGAACTCGGCGCTACGGACGCTCACGCAAAGATGAGGGAGGCGCTGTTAAAAAGGGTGAAGGTGCATTTTTATTTTTTTTTAAACGGAGCAGGCTTCATTTGAGTTCCGTGTTCTACTGTCGTCATAATTGCGGCCCACCAACTTTAAAAGCTTCCTCACAGCACACAACTCCCTCCGCTTTTTGAGGTAACACTGCATTACCAACGCGTGCCGGCCAGACAAAAGAAAAGGATAGCTATACTGTCACAAAAAATAAACAACACACAAACAAAAAATCTCGACGCTGAAAAATTAGAGCAAACGTCCACCCACAAACACTAGGCCATATTCCAAGCCGCTATTAAAATGGCCGAGACAGCGGAAGTTGAAATTCAGGAAAGAGGAGGGAGGGCTCTGCCCCCCCCCCCCCCCCCCCCCCCCCCCGGATCTCACCAGGGGGGGCACGAGCCCCGATGCCCCCTCGAAGTCTACGCCTATGCCGCGAGTAACAAGTCGACAACGTCATTGCTGAAACATTCCCGCTAGAAGCACGGAAGAGCATCTTAAGCGCTCCATGTTCCTTTCTTTTATGGATTACCTGATCACACTGTTAAATGGGAGATTTAAAAAGCATCGGCGTACGCTACAATTGCTTTCGTCGCTTCTGCCAGCAAAGATCTTGGAAAGCGGTGCAGCTCCTGGCGCTGAAGAGTTTTTGGAGCTCTATTCAGGCCTGGTTTCAGTTCCTGAACTCCAATGCGAGCTGCACATATGGGCTTCCAAATGCAAGAAGGAGAAACGTGAAACGCCAGTCACGTCCGCACTACAGGTGGTCGCCCTCTGTCCGGACGCCCTATTGGTAACGAGATGTATTTGGTTGCGCCACCTCGCGGGCGCCCTCCTATGACGCAGCTGGTAGAATGCGAGCAGACGACGCGCTATGTCAAAGCACGGAGTGGC